CAGTTTGCAGACTGATGATACTAATTAAGGTTCAGTTCCATTCAGGTCAAACAGAGTCAGGGTGCTGCTGTTGTGCGTGTTGGCTCACTGGAAAGGCTCTGCTACACTAAGTGGAACAGAACCTTAATTAGTACCATTGGTAACACGTGTGATTCCCCTACTATTTCATGTCAAAAAGGTCTATTGTTTTAGTAAACTTCCAAGCAAAAATGCCAAACATTCAGCTTGTTTCAGCTTCTCAAATGTGAAGATTTGAATGGCTTCTTTGTTATATACCTTAATAAACTGAACAAGCTATCTAAATAGATCATTGGGCTGCTGGAAATTATAACAGGCATTTTTATATTTTATCGACAAAAAATGTATTAGTTATTTGAGACAATAAGATAAACAATAAGTAAATAAATAAAAAAAGAGATCATGATGTAATTGACCTTCATTTTAAAATAAGAGCACACTGTTTTCAAGATGAGTTCATCTAAGATTCACAAATAAGAACTCTGATTGTGTTCAGAGGACCAAGTTATGTCACAGTCAGTCTTTCCGCACTTTATATGACAAACTGTTCCTGCTGCTGTTTATTTTGATTTAAAGATTTACTTTAGCGTTGCATGGGAAATAATGATTCTTTATTCATAAAACCAGACTCACACCAGCCAGTTTCTCTGATTCAGTGTGACTGTAGGAGTCAGAGAACAGAGGAGGAGGGAGCAGGAATGTGATTATGGGATGGATGGTTGAGGTCAGAGATCAAACAGGAAGTGCGTTGTTCAGCAGATTCCACAGCAGCACTCGCTTGTCTTCTGATGACCTCTGACCTCGTCTGTCCGAGCACCTACCTCCACAAAGAAACTGTACAGGCACAAATACACAGTACAAAGTATAAAAATAAAAGCCTGTCTGTGTCTTTGTACTCCAGCTCCAGGCGTTCTTGAGGGGAGATTTTGAAGTCAAAAATTTGGATTTTATTTGGTCAAGAATGGCACACACAAAAAAATCTCCTGCTAGCAGCTCTGTGAGGCTGTCCTAAGGCACAGCTGTCCTTTGAGCTTAACACTAACATCAGCCTGCTAACATCCTCAGTATGACAAAGCTAACATTCTGATCTTATTCTTCTTCATGTTCACCATCCTAGTTTAGTATGGTAGCATGCTAACATTTGCACTAATAACCAGTGTTGGCTGTAATGCATTACAATGTAATATAATAATGTAATAACATTATATTTGTCAGTAACACTTAATGTAACTTCCTTCAACTCCGACACTGAAATCATTGAATATTTGAAGTCGTGGTCAGAGAGATCCTGAAACGTTTCCTTACAGTATCCATGAAATGAAACACAGTGATGCTGTCTAGTGAGTCCGTGGAGAGAGGAGAGGCTCTTCAGCCATTTGAGAGACTCGTCCTCAGGAAGTGTAATCACTACTTTTATGCCTGAATTTGCTGTGTACATTGATAACCACAAGTGGTCTACTATAAAGCCATAGTTTGGTGAGCCGACAACCCTAGTGAGTTTGTTCGTGTTTGGCTTGTTAAGTGCAGTTCATATGACGTGATTTCAGGTAATGGTGCGGAGTAATGCAAAAGAATTGTAACAAGTAGTGTGATATTTATATATTTATCTTTTTAAACATCTTTGTTTTTTATTGGGTTTTTATATTCCATCTGTCTTTTTATGTATATTTTTAACATTTTCATAAATAACACTATTGCATCCATTCGTGTAAAAATAAATAGAGCATTATTACCATTATTATTATTATTTTTATTATATCTTTGTCCTTTTGCCTGTGACCAGTTCCATCACAGCAGAGTTTTGTCGTCTAAAAACTCTCTGCTCCTTCATCAAGGTCGTCCCAAAAACTTGCTGCCATCATCATCATTAACAAACTGCTTCGTTTTCCAGAAACAAAAAAAAAAAAAACAGAAAGAAAACAGCCACGTCTGCGTAAAAATAACACGACATTAAACTTAAACGACTGAACCCTTTACACACACACACACACACACACACACACACACACACACACACACACACACACACACACACACACACACCTCTTTCCTCTGGCTTTTAGCGGTTAATAAATAAAGGAAATGAGCAGAAAGAGCTCATTAATATCAGTGAAGGTGAGCAGCTAACAGCCCCAGGAGGCTGCTGCAGTTTGTACAGGAAATGAATGGAGGGAGAGCTAACACTAATGTTAACACACACTCAAAATATTCACAAATATACTGTGGTATCCTGGTGGTCAAATCCTCTCCTATAAATATTCAAACAATGCTACTAAACAATAATACTGTTATCTGCAACAATAATGACAAAAAAATCTCACATTCTTTTCCAGGTTTTAAATATAAAGTTAAACAAACTGTGCACCACAGCACATAGTGATCCATCTTATTAAAGATTGACACACAAAGAAAGTGGGACTTTTGTAAATGTTTACCTATATGAACATATATCTAACATTTGAATATATGTTTACATCTAAAAAGAACAAAAAGTGTAATATTAGAACAATATGAACTACTGTAGCCCACAGGTAACGGTATTTGTCATAATATGTCATTCTCAACTTGCAGTATCAAAGATATGTTTTCTATTTCACAGAGGTAAAGATAATAATTACTACTAATAATCATCCATGTCTTTATTTAATTATAAAACATGGGACAATTTGATGCCGTTTTCAAATACATGCACATATGGTGGAAGTAAGCTGTCAGGTTTGAATCCAAAAGCTGGCTGGATATTTAATTAACATAAACATGAGATATACATCCATGTCACATACGGTATGTCACTTACATGTTTTGGATACTAATGATATATTTATTACAAATTAAAAGCATTAAAAAGTTAGATTTTTTTATAACTTACATTCATACATCTTCACATTTCCCCTCCTCGTCTTCATTTTTCACTGCTCTCTCTCTTTATCTCTTCCCTCTCAGGATCCATTACCAGGAAACCAGAGTGTGTGTGTCTGTGTGTGTGTTAGTGTTAGCATTAGTGTTAGTGTGACCTTGGCTGGACTAATTATTTATATGGAGGACACCGGGGGAGAGCATGTTTTTCTGCCTCTAATGATTCATAAACAATTTTTAACAGAATGAACTCCATCAGGACCTTAATTAGTCACACACACACGCACACTACATAGACCTACAAAAATATCTTATATGGCTATACTGTATATTCAGTTCAATTAAATGTTATTTGTATAGTGCTAAATCAAAATTTTAACAAAAAAAGAAATTAAAAGTCACTTTGCCTAGTCTAGACCGTACTCCTTAGAAAATTATTTACAGACCCAACAGTTCCCTCCGTGAGCAAACACTTGGCGACAGCGACAAGTAAAACCTTCCTTTAAATGTAAATTCTGTTTCAGTGGAAGCCAGAGAAAGATCAAGGAGGACATTCACATCAGACACCAGAGACCAAGGCCACGTGATGACGCCTACAAACCCCATCGACTGAGGAAGACAGCGATCAACAGTTGAAATCTCTCGATAAAACTAGTGAATCTATTGAGATTTAAAACCACTGCACTTAAATCCAAATTCACTCTGTTTCTGTAGATTACCAAACAACTTTATCATTCATTATAGTGGAAGTTTGACATCCAGGCAGAATAAGGGCTGGCTGTGGTTCAGGAGATAGAGAGGGTCGTCCACTGATCTCAGGGTTGACGGTTTGATCTGCAAGTGTCCTTGGGCAATTGCTCCCAGTGGTCAGGCCAGCACCTTGCATAGTAGCTTTATGCCACGGTGCGTGTGCGTGTGGAGTGAATGGGTGAATGAGAGGCAAAAACTTTAATAAGACATGGAACATTGAGGTGCTCTCCAGTACCACTGATAATAAAGTGCGAGCAAATAAACACAAAACAAACACACACAAGATTTGGACTTTCCTGTGTTATGTGACCCAGAGTACCAGTCTTAGATACTGAGCCGAGCTGATCCAGGATAAGTCAGGATGGAGCATCAGTGCCACAGCTTTGATCTGCCTCCCTCCTGTCTGTCCACCCACTCGCTCTCTCACATTGCAGCCAGGAACAGCAGCATCGCCACTTTCTGTTCTGTTGACCTTTGTTTGCAATAAACTTTTGATGTACTATTTTTCGGGTTAAAATAAATGTATGTAAATAAATATTCACATGGTTGTTTTCTTTATCAGCTATTTATTGGTTTTCACTTCTTCTCAGTTCAACTGGGCTTTATTTTCATTATACTTACAACATACAACATGTAGTCATTCCAAGATCATAAAAAATGTTTTAATAAAAGGGAAACAATACAGAATTGTAAAATTGTGTACTGTAAAAATAGTAATGTATATTAATTATAATTATAATTTATAATATTGAGGTTTATACTATTGGTTGGACAAAACAAACATTGTGACGGTGTCACTTTGGGCTCTGGGTAATTGTGATGGCATTTCTCACTATTTTCAGATTTTTCACAAACCAATCAATCAATCAGAAGATTCATACAGAATGAAAATAATCATTATTTCCTATAAAAATAAAAAATACTTGAAAATGAGCTCCACATCAACCAACTACAACAGTAAAATGCATTTTCCTGACTATACTTAGATACTTTTACTGAAGTCACAGTTACATGCAGGACTTTTACTTCTAACACAGTACTTTTTCAGTATAGCATTAGTACCTTTACCTAGGCAAAGGACCCGAATACTTCATCCACCACTGTATAAGACACTTATTTTATCACAGAAATGTGTTCCTGAGGTGGGGAATAAACGTCCTGCTCAGTTGCATATATGAGAGTTGATATTTAGAGAAAACAATTTAAAGTTCAGAGTGTTAAAATGAAGCTCAGTAGAGTCTCAGCAGGTTGGTGCAGGAGAACGAGGTGCAGCTGGAGAACCATCAGGTCAATCAGATGGTGGGCGGAGCCAAACTTCAGCTCTACAAAACCACCTGCTGCACAGGTGAGTCTGTTTCAAACAGAGGAAACACAGAATAAACTCAGCATGAAGCTGTCAATCATTTTCTGCCTGCTCTGTGTCGCTTCAGCAGCAGTTCAGGATTTAAACTGGCACATGCAGCCTGCAGCCGGCAGGTTTGGAGACCAGGGACCAGACCAGCTTGCAGTCCAGGAACCAGCAGGTAGACTTGATCCACTAAAAGTCCCCAGACCTTTTCGTTCAGTTAATGGCATAAAATTCTCTCTCTGGAATACAGAATGTCAACTGTTGTTACTGATTCATGTTGTTTATTTATTTGTAGACATTTTTATAAATATTTTTATGGATTAATCTGCTGATTCTCCATTGTTTGTTTACTATTCTGAAAATATGTGAGAAATGTAGTCATCAATACCCACTACCCAAAGTGACACCGTCACAATGTTTGTTTTGTCCAACCAACAGTCCAAACCTCAGAATTACTAAAAATAAATTAAAATAATTAAAAGGAAAAAGCAGCAAATATTTAGTTGTAAATCTGGAGCTATGAAATGTATTTGTATGAAAAATTACTTAAAATAGTTGCACATTTTCTAACAAGTGCAACAAGTAATTGATTTGATCAACCAATCATTCCAGGTGTACTTAAACCGTTGGGTAGCTAATGTATAACGAAACACAAACGTTTATTTTCCCTTGCAAAAATCCACATGTGTAAAGTGACTAAAATTTCAGATAATTGTTGCAACCTAAAAAGTATAATATTTCCCTCCTGAGATGTAGCATTGAAGTGGAGGCATGAAAAGACTCAAGTACAAGTACCTCAGATATGTAGGCGTACTTGAGTACAGTACATGAGTAAATGTACTTTTGCTACGTTCACAATGCAAGCCTTGTTCAGATCGGGTTTTATATATTTTGTTTGTTTGGATCACATTGTTTTTTTTTAAATGTAGTCTATATCAGATTCCAGTATGAACAGGTCACAGTCTTGAAGTGATGTGCATGATGAATAGAAATTTAGAGACATAAATGTCACATAAATTCTGATGTGACTGGTTACACTGAGGTTGCATTGTAAAATATCCGACCTGTATCTGATTATTGTGGCCCAATTCAGAATTGCAAAGATTGGATTCCATGTGATTTATGCTGTTATGAAAAACAGATCTAAGTCAATTATGAGCAAACTTTAGGCACTCATGATGAATTTGGCTGTACCAAACTGTAATGGGCTCATTATTGCCCCCTGTGACAGTCAGATTCCAAGGTTGAGAATCAGCTTTTACTGTCATACTTGTGAATTAAACAACAAATCACAGTGATGGATAATATCAGCCCTTCCTTCACAGATGTCCTCCAGGAGAAGCAGTCTTTCACTGAACCATTGTCTTGGAGATACCCGGCTCCACCGGCTGAAGAGGCGCCTCTGTTCCCTCCAGACTTTAAGCTGAAAGTACCAACAGCAGCTGACAGCGTCAGCGTCGTCTGCGGGGAGAGTTCCGTTCGGGTGGAGGCCAAGAAAGACCTGCTGGGGATCGGCAAACCTGTGCAGACTGCAGACGTCACGCTGGGAGGATGTCCTGCCACAGCGGAAGATCCCGAAGCTCAGGCACTGGTCTTTGAGTCAGAGCTGCATGGATGTGGCAGCCAGTTGCTGGTGAGGGTTTTACAATAATGGTTGACTCAAGCTGGTCAGTTGCATTTTTGTACAAGAACGTAATTGCTCAAATGACCATGAGTGGACTCTGAAATCAGACTGATTTTGAGTATCCAAGTTTTCATATCAGTAAACTTTCAGATTACAGTTTAGTAATTTCTGAAAATATGCTTACTACTGTATCTTATGATCTGCTTGTTATGAAGTTGTTGACTTGTGTCAAGTACTTTGTAATGTGGGTTTAGAAACATGTGCTTTTCTAAAAGTCTGCACAGTTGCTGGTTTTCTATGGGTTCACAAACAGAGACACTTTTACCGTTGGTAATTTGATTTGATGGAACTTTAACTTGTCTTCACACTTGACATTCAAGGTGTCCTGTAAACTGTGTTTCAGATGTCTGAGGACTCGTTCATCTATGCCTTCACGCTGCTCTACACTCCCAGTCCTCTAGGAGACAGTCAAATCGTCCGAACCAGAGACGTCACAGTCAACATCGAGTGTCACTACCCAAGGTCAGATTTTATAAAACTGAACCTGAAGAACTTTGGTTTCGTCTTGAGTTTGGCATTTTAGTTTCTGTTCCATTGATTATTGGTTATTTTGCCTTTTTTATTTTTCGATTTTGCTGTTTGTTTCTAGGAAGCATGATGTGAGCAGCAGGCAGTTGGTGCCAACCTGGACTCCATTCAGTGCCACCAAAGCTTCAGAGGAAAGTCTCTACTTCTCCTTCAGACTCATGACTGGTGGGTGTCTGCTCCAACTTCATAAATGATAAAGTTGGTCTGAAGCAGACGGGCTGCAATATTTGATGACTTGGGAGTGAGACCAGGTCCATCAGCATAAAATCAGCAGTAAAGTAAAAGTATAATGCAGAGTAGCTACTGTCATTGTTGTTCTAATGTAATATTGGATCATTATTCTAGATATATTATTATGTAATTGGTCCTTTTTTGATGTTGTTGATCAAGGCAGAGCTAATTTGAACTGCTTCATATACTTTTGGTGGCTTAATCTGTAAAGGGATCACATCTTGTAAAATCCTTAATTTGAACAGTAACTAGTAGTATACAATTGCTTTAAGTGGTCCATTTACTGTTAACTATAGTTCTTAAATATGAAAAGAAGTACACATAACAAAAAAAAAAAAAAAAAAAAGTTCGCCTACAGTATTTCCACAGGATTTGACATGTTGTAAAGGTTAGTATCTCCTCCAATGTTCGTCACTTTTTCTTTTTGTCCCATGACTCTCAGATGATTGGCAGTTCTCTCGTCCATCCGCTCAGTTCCTGCTGGGAGATGTGATGAAGTTTGAAGTTTCGGTCAAACAGTTTTATCACATCCCTCTCAGAGTGATGGTGGACAGCTGTGTGGCCACCACGGTCCCAAACGTTGACACCGTCCCTCGATATACCTTCCTGGGAAACAACGGGTCAGTTGACTGTAATTAAATGCTCACCTTTTTAAATTTCAGTTAAACCTATGTATGAGTGTGATTTTGTGACATCACAACTAGTTTGTGAGTTTTGACTTATGGAGAAAGGGATGTGATCAAGACTTTAACATATCTGGGTGGATCAATATTTTTATTTTAGTTTTCTTTTTGTTAATGTTTGTCCCTTGGGCATATGTAGCCTATATTTATTTATACATGCATTATTCATACATAGCCTGGCCTCCCACACATTGTAATCTTTTTGGGGTCAGTTGTCCGTCTGATGGTCCTCTGTGTTGTGTTCAGGTGTCTGTTTGACAGTCAGCTGACAGACTCAAACTCTCAGTTCCTTCCTCGGTCTCAGGACGACAGACTGCAGTTTGAGGTGGAGGCGTTCAGGTTCCAGCAGGACCACAGCGGCATGGTGACAATCAAAAATGCTGCTCACTTGTTTTGTTATTGTTTATCTACTGCTGACTGAAAATTAACTGGCGTTATCATTTCTAATTTTCTGGTTTCCTCCCTTCTAGCTGTTTTAACTTCATTTCTATTAGTACAAACTGAAATGAGTCTTTGTTTCTCTTTTAGATCTACATCACCTGTCATTTGAGAGCCACAGCAGCTCCTGCAGCTGTTGATGCCACCAGCAAGGCCTGTTCATTTTCCAATGGGTGAGACACACAAACACTTCAACTTCCTTCACGAAATCTGCTGCAAACACTACAGACGCCATCATTTTCTGTGGGTTTAATTAATTGGATTTTGGATTTATAATTGCTTGTGTTTCAGTGCAGAAATGCTACAAAGCAAGACAGAGTGCAGATTTAAATGTTTTTAAATATTCTGTGCGGTGTTGGTGAGACTATTTGGAGTCAGACATGTTTTATATTATCAATATTAAGGACAACTATTTCATATTCCACTGATTTTGTTTTGTCAGACATGGTGGATGGAGAATATCGATCCAAAGTTTGAAAACTGTACAGTTTTAATTTCGGCACCTACTTTGATATTAAACAGTCGTCAGAAATAAAGTGATAATATACATTTTCGGAGTTAAAATGTAAATGCTTGGCCGCCACTACACTGACGTATGTGTAATCTACAGTATGTCAAAAGATGAAAGAATCTGAAAGCCTTTTTTCTTGGAGTTTGTATCTGTAAAAGTTGGAGCTTTTGATTGACAGGTGGAGGGAGGCCAGCGGCAGCCATGAAGTCTGTACCTGCTGTGATACAGACTGTGGGACGGGAAGCCAGAGTCACCTGACAGGAACAGGTATGTGGTGCACTCCAAAACCCAGTGGTGGAAGAAGCAATCAGATCTTTAAAAGACCAGTGTGTAGGATCAGGGGGTTCAGTATCTTGCTCAAGGACACTTCAACATGCAGCAGGAGGGGCACATGTAAGTTAATTTATTAACATTAAGGGGTTGTTTCTGTGTTGCAGGTGCTCAGTGGGAACAGGAAATGGCTGTTGGACCAATCATAGTGAAGGACAGACCTCTCCGGTGAAAACAAAATCCAAACTTTAAAATTAAATGACTTAAACTCTTATATCCTTATGAAAAATGGATTCATGTTGTGGTTATTCCATGGTGCTGTGGTTAAATCAGAAGACACACAGTACAACTGAGTTTCTAAATTGCTGACAATGCTGTTGGTCCACGTTGCAGAAAAGTTTTTTTTAACTTTAAATGAAACTTTAAATGATTTTTAACTTAATGAATAATGAATCTATGGTGCTGTGACCATAAAACAAGTTCAACTGAGTATTTTTGGAGGGTATTTTATTTTTTTCCCCCATTCAGTTTTATATGGATTTTGCATGACAAGTGGCCCAACACAGAAGTGAGAAAGCTGGCTAGAAAACAAAAACCTGCATGACATGCTAATGTAGCAGAGATAAGGAAAACAATGGGCTAATGGAGCACAAATGAGGAAGCAAATGGGCTTGTCGCTGCCTGTACTGTGCATGTGCAACTCTTAATGGAGACGAGACAGAAACAAGTTGGCATTTAGCTCGGGGAAAAAATGTCATTGTCATTCATGCAACATTGTTTTTGTGGGGAGCGTACCTATGTTCCCCCGGGTCCTATGTTCCCCGCTTTGTATGGGACTGGGGAACCCGAACCCTAACCTTAGCGGGGAACATAGGGATGACCCCGTTTTTGTGCTATTAGCATGTTAGCCTCCTTGATTGCTCCAAACCTCCAGGTTTTGAAGCCAATTTGACATAGTGACAAAACCGTGTAATTAGAGCAATGGCATCTGTCAAATGATACACACTGCGCAATAAGGCTTTCCTCCATAATGTTCCATTGGAAAGGAAGTGGCTGTAAATTTGTGGATGTCTCAACCCTGCAAAATACTCAGTTTGATCCATTGAGTCCAATTACATTTGAAAACTCTAAGAGCCGCCCAATTCAATCATTTTATCATTCAAGTTAACAGAGTGCTAAATTGGAGGTCTGTAGTGCATATGCATTTATCCAGATAATTCCTTTGCAGCGAGAAATGGCTTTTTCGGCTTAATGCGGAATGAACAGAGCGCTGCATCCACTTCTCTTCATACATCCATGGATTGCTCGCATCCTCTTTGCTGCAGAGTTCAGGGGCTTGCGACTTCTCAACTGACTTCACTATATCTCCAGTTATCCAGAAAACCAATCTGTGGTGTAAGACGATAATTAGTTTATAGATCTGTGCGTGATCAATAGGTAGTTCCACCGTTATGCTCATCTGTTTTAATTACAGATTCTTCTGGATAAAACTCAGAGTTTAAGAAAGAAACTTTGTCTTTGTTATGTTTAGTTCACTTTATTCAGATTCTGTTTTGATGTTAATGTCAATGAATTTTGTATCACTATAAATCAAAAATGAATCATTTCTCTAAAATCATAGCAGACAGAGATCCTTCAATCTGGCCAGGAATTTGAAATAACTAAAACCCTAAAATCACTGGATTTTTGCATAGTTCTTAACAAATACTGTAAGAAACGCATGACTTTCCCTTTTAATTTATACATCTGAAATATCTGACAAATCATAAATTATCAGTTTAAAATTTCCCTCCCTTCTCTTCTAGAGACAGTCTTTGGTTTGTCTGTTCTGGGCAGAAACTCAGCGGTTCAACATAGCAGCCTCCATGGAAGATGACCCACTCCCTCTTTAGATAAAAACAGCTCACTGTAATGTAACAACCAAATTGTGGTCCTAAATGATACACACTGGACCTTTTTTTTTTTTTTTAAGATGGCCTAAACAAAGGGTTCCCAAAAGGCAAAAACTAAACCCCTTAATGAAACCTTAATTTCCTGAGCACTTAATTATCAAATTATAATATTACGGTGTGGAAGATTTTCCCCTTAACGTTATTCTTGTTCTGTTTGTCTACAAATCAAATCTGGATATGGATTAAGGGATTGTAAATTGACCAAATGGCATGATAGTCATTTCTGAATTTTCACATTAATATAAATCAAGGGATAATGTCCATGTATGTATATCACATTTTGTAAACCAATTGTTGGTAATTTACTCATAAAGACATTTTAAAATACAATGTTAATACCATGAGAGAGAATTTTACATATAGCACCCAGTTACCCAGCAATTTTTTCTTTTTTCTTTTACATTTTTTTTTTTTTGTCATCGTATATTTAATATCCTGTGAACCAAACAGGGGTCTGAAGAGTGCATTTTTGTTTTATAAATAACTCTGACCGATACTTTATAGTTATATAGTTGATATTCCAACTTCAACAGTGCTGCAAACCTTTCCTAATGTCCCAGTAGTGGAGAGTCATCATCTCTGGTGTTATTGGATTGTTTTAATTTGTTCATGAGCTGACTCATTATGAACTTGGCAGCATCAAAATATATGACGGTTTGAAAATGCAAATTACCTGCAGCACATTACTGATTGTGAGTCAGGAGTCCTCTGAACTGCCTCTTAACTTCTCTCACACTGAAACTGTTCTGTGAATTACTAAAAACTGAGGCTTGACCTGTCTAGTCTCTGATCCCGCTCTTCTCCGCTGGTGAGCAGAGTTTATGGACTGGGTCAGTCGGTGGAGTCTTGGTGCTGCGCTGGGACAGCTGCGCTGCCACTCTGCCCATCGTCCATTTTAGATGACATCACCTGAGTGGACGCAGCTGGAGAGACTGCCATAATGCATCACAGAGAGGATGGGGCAAAGGGCTCATCATCTATTTTCTATATATAACCCTGACCTACACCCTCCTCCTCCTCACCATTGAACCGCCTTGTTTCCTAGCCACGGCCAGAGCGTCTGAGGCAGCAGCATCCATCACGGGCCAGAGAGAAGCTTCCTGTCGCACTCATCTATCTCTGCTCACCATCTCTCGGGGGAGGAGAGGACAACTGCTGGCTGTGTGACCTGAAACTGAGAGGTCACAAGGTCAGACACCAATGACTTCACAATAAAAGTCTTCAACACTTTTCAATTAAAACTTAGTGTTGAACTTTTCTGTTGATTTTCTTTTCTTTATTAATTTATTATATTAATTATAAATGACCTTATAAAACAAAAAACAAATGTATGTTTCTGATTATTCAAAGAAATGTTTCTTCACCAGCAAATGTTTTATTACTCTGAGGCAAACATACACTTGGTGGTTTTTGTGTCCAATGTGGGTACATTATTGTATAAGAAGACTCTTTTGGAAGAATCTTCATCACTAATTCATGTCTTCACCATCACCACATGGATCAGCATAAAATTTGAAACTTCTCTAGAGAGCAGTGTCGACCCATGGCCGATATATAATGCTGATATCAAAACAAAGATTATCTCAAAATGCCAGATAATCAGCCCAATTAATCAGTCTATAACTTTAGAGAATGACTGTGGACCTATGGACAAATGGGTTTTAAAGTTTTCCGGTTTGAAACTGTAACAGTTGTAATTTCTTAAAGGTCCCCTACCGGCATGTTTGAAGTAAATATATGAATAGATATCTCCTGTTTCACTGGAAGGTCCACAAGCTCTGAGTTTCTGACCTACTCTCTGGCTTCTAGCCTTCAAACAGTCCACCAGAATAAAAGTCAGTCACCATCACTTCCACCTCATCTTCTTCACAGGCCGACACATGTTCCTTTTCAGAGCTGAAAGAAACCTGATCATCTTCAACATCCCTCAGAGATTGAGTTTAATCAGGGCAATGACAGACAGCCAAACAGGCTGAGGGTCAAGAGTTTTGTTTGTCTTACTGAAGACAGAAAATCATATTTCTTTTAATGCGAAGACACAGAGTCTCCTGAGAGTGAAGTTAAATTAATCTCATTCAGACAAAAATCCAGTTCTAATAATCTGCTGCTGACAACACACTGATCATCAACAGCAGATTTAAAATAAAAATATCAAGCGCAGTTTTATGCTGAAACTGGGATTCTATGGCCTAATATAAACCTTAATTCAATGCTTTCTCTGCCTCTTGGAACACACATTCATTAAATGTAACACGAGTGAACAAGTGGATTTTGGATTGCAGTAAAACAGCCACAACAAAGACGTTTTCAACGGATTTGCATTTAAATCAAATATTGAAAATCAATGTGATTTCATTAGTTGTTCAGTTCAGATTCAGCTGAAGGTTAAAACACTGCTTGAAATTGTGTTGGTTCAAATTAAACCCATCATATCAAAGAATTAATAAAATCTGAAACAAACAAACTCCAGATGCTGAGATCAGCGTGTGCAGCAGCAGCTCCCCCTGCTGCCCTTGCTTAAAATTAAACTGAAGTGAAGCGCTAGAAAACCTGCAGCTATCTTTCCTATCATTGAAACATCCTGTCAGAGTAAACTGGATTGTCAGTGGGTTGATGTCAGTTGATGCTCACATCACAACAAGCTTTGTTTGTATTGTAGTGCAGTATTTTTAGATTGTTGTATTGGTACTTTTACTTAAATAAAGAATCGGAGTACTACTTCCACCACTGGTGATGTTAGATAGTGAGGACCCGACAGTGAAGGTGAACTGTTTCATAGTCCAGGTGATGAAATGGAAAAAAAATCACTTTGACTGGGAACTGATCCAAAGATCTGAGGAGTCTGCACAGATTAGGGACTGAGGAGATCAGAGATATCAGCTAGTGCTGGTCAATGTTGTGCAATAAAAGAACCTTAAAATCCATTGTCCTCTCAGTCTATTGTTGTGAAAAACAAGGAATATTTATGTGACAGCAGAACAGATGAGTTTCTCTTCAGATGTCAGAATTCCCTCTCACAGTCAGTCTACCCTTCATGGTTTTGTTTGAGTGTCTCCAAATCCCCCAAACGTCCTCCAGATGTCCACTTGTGATCTGCAGATTAGAGCTTTAAACAGAGCCGAACAGCTGCTGCTGTCAATATTTATCACCTCCTGACAGGAAACACAAACACATCCAGAAACAGTGAAGAAGAGAGACAGCTGATCTGAACAGGTGACCAAACAATCTCCACTCAAGGTCCACTTACTCACTTGCTCTGGAGCTTTCAGCTGTATATAACAGAGACTTCCTGAGTTGTCTTGGACCTTTTTATGTTCGGAATTTCCATTGTTATTATCAGTGGTGTAGTACTCGGATACTTTAACTACTAACAGCAGACAAATGTGACTGAAATAAACGTAAAAGTATGTAAAAGTATTAAAAGTACTCAGCAGTTAGATGCCCAATGGGACTGTTATACTATGTTCTCATAAGATTATTATGACTAATCCATTTGTGTAAAAGCAAGATTTTACCATTGTAGTAAATTGAGGTTGAGCTAATTTTACTTGGGTAAATCTGATTATTACTTTCATAATTAATCAATTGATTATTGATTTTTAAAAAATCTGAAAATAGTGAGAAATGCTGTCAACAACTACCAGTGCCTTAAGTGACACTTTGACAATGCTTGATTTGGTCAACCAACAGTACAAACCTATAAATAAAATAAATGAAAGTAATCAAAAGGCAAAGTAGCAAATCCTTGTTTTGAAATGTTTTAAAATGGAACTATGAAAAATAACTTTTAGGCCTATAACAAATATCAAAATAGCTGCCAATTAAATTTCTGTCAATCGACTAAAGTGCACTTGTATATACTGATGGGTGGTTTAAGTTAATAATAATAATAATCATATTTTATAAACTCGGTGAGTGTTTTTTATGCAAAAATCTTAAATGTGTACAGTAACCGCAGAAGCAGAAAGAGGTTTCCAGCAGAGGGGAGCTTTGTGCTTCGTCCAGCTCAGGATCAGAGGACGGGATGACGTGATGACGACAGACGTAATATTTGATGCTTTCATGTGCTGTGTAAAATGTTGGAATTATGATGCTTTTTGCAAAAACACAAACTAAGAAACGGTGAAGAGTAGAGGAACATAAAATATTTGGTGGAAAAGAAAAAAATACCATACTGAATCAATCTGGCAGTTAGCGTGTATTGATTCTTTGCTTTGTTTGATACTTTTGGACACCTTTGTGTTTATAGAGGCTATGTAAGGTTTTCAAGACAGGTTGGGGTCCATTATGAAAAAATTGATTTCAAGCAATGGCAACCAGTGTTATAGGTTTGTACTTGTACTTGACGTATTAATAATAACAAATATTTTTAAAAATCACAAATCAAAAGTTAATAAAGTTATTAATATCACAGCAAAGGTTTTGAATAACTGCACAATCCCCAAATAGATCAATTAAGAAATTTAGAAAAGTCTGAGTTTTCTGGCAGCACTTGAACGCAACTCCTCCAACTTCCGGTTAGAAACCGCTATCTGTCAGAAAAAAAACATCCAGATCTGGAATCCGCTACTCGGACGCGTTGACGGACACCGCTGCTGTCGGGAGGTCGTTTTCTGGGTTTGGAGCCTCTCAGGACAAACAGAGAGAGTATGCCCGGGTGGAGGTAACCGTCCCAGGACTGTCGCTGCCTCCTCAGCCTGCTGAAGGACGGAGCAGGACGGAGAGACACAGATGGAGAGGCCGGGCAGGCTGCTGCTGCTGTCCGAGCTCCGCGTCAGAAACACCGCGTACGATGTGAGCCTGAGCCGGTCCCTGCTCACCTGGAAAAGACGAATTTCCAGCCCGGTGTACCACCCATTTAGACCCAGTAAGACCCGCGTAAAATATCTGTCTGTGTCTCTTTACCTCCCTGTCTGTCTCTGTGTCAGTGTGTCTGTCGGCCTTAAACGCACCGCGACATCCTGTGTGATAAACAAAGGACATAAAGGAGACACAGAGAGGACGTGTTGGACACTCAGACAGTGTTTGGACCTGTAGCTAAGAAACACATCCATGTAACGTTACAGAACAGCGTGTAGTCCAGGCTGTAGTAATAAGTGAGGCACGATATATCCGGTTACATAACACTCAACAACAAGCCTGACACACAATATGTGGAGGTCACCGTGAGGCTGCAGGCAGGGGGAGGAACAATGTACACCAAACCTCATATATTTTCTGCTGTATTTTAAACACAGGCACATGGGGAGAAACAGAGGAGATTGTTCTGTTAATTTTACAAAGAGGAGTATTTTAACATTAAAGTATTGCTATTTTTACTTAAAGGATGTGACGACTTCTTCAATCAGCATGTGTCTGCACCCTCTCTCTCCCTCTTTGATTGATCATATACTTTGTGGTGAATCGATGAGGAGAGTATCAGTGACTCTGGTTCTGCCAGGGGTTTTAGGAGGTTACTGTTACCTCGAGCCTCCATAACAAAGATTCAGCATCAAATGTGTATAGGATCACGTGGTTCTGGGGTTTCATTGTATTTTTTTTATTTTCTTGACAGGGCCTTTGTGTGTGTGTGTGTGTGTGTGTGTGTGTGTGTGTGTGTGTATAGTGGGTTATTCTACTGTCAGGAGTACATGAACACATTTTAATGTCATTGTGATCTCTTGAATTAAAGTGAACAATAATTAGTAGTAGAATGTAAAAACAAACAATATTGGGCAAACTGCAACATAGTAAACACAGAACTTATAGCTGCAGTAAGTAACTCTTAAAAAAATAACTTTTTATCATATTTTCTTAAACTTTCACTATATCCTGACATGAGACAGATAATCTGTGAAACAATCAGCTTCCTGTGGCTCCTCCTTGTGCTCCTAATGGTATTCACAAGAATCCATCGGGTCTGAATGAAAAGAACCAATCAGAGCCAAAGAAGATACGCTTGTAGATAGTTGATGGTTGAGGCTCATTCCCAGGGGCCCAAAGCTTCTGTGTTTGACGCCCTGCAAATAAGAAAATGACTCAACAATTAGCTATCTTTCTTGGCTTTGATTGGTTGTTTCCGTTCAGGCCCGGGGGATCCTTGTAAATGCCATTAGGAGCACTAGAACGAGCCAGAGGAAGCTGATTTCTTCCACAGATTGCCTCATGTTCCACTGTCAGGATATAGTGAAAGTTTAAGCAAATAAATAGATTTTTATACAAGGTACTTACTGCAGCTTTACAAAAACAAGATATAACAAGACAAGACATGGCAAAAACTTCAAAGTCAAAACCAGATATTCTGAAATAGTTGTATTAACACTATATATGGACATAAAATACTCCAAGTATTCAAAGAGATTTCTTTTTTCTTTTGCACAAGAAACAAATTAGTGACAGCAGTTGTTTCAGCTATGCAACAGTATAAAGGTTTCACAGGTAAATAGCTCAGCACGAGATGGATCAGTCCATTCATCTGTAGCGGGAGCTTGTGATAAAAGATGAGTGTTGAGAGCATTTTGTAAGATATTGAATGGCTCCATAATAATAATAATAATAATAATAATCTACTTGTAGAGCACATGTGTGTCTTCATCAGGAGACCCTCCCTTTAAATCTGGTTGTCTCCTCAGTCAGACAGGTGAGCTGTGTTCAGGAATCAGACTATTTGAATATTCAAAGCAGAAGGATAGTTTCAGATCAGGCTGAGGCTGCTACAGGGTGTGACCGGCTGACTGCCTGCAGGCTGCTGCAACTGATCTGATCCTAAACTGATCCAGAATCAGAAAGTGACCTCATTTACACTGCTGAATGTTTCTGCTGGTGAACATAATACGTATTAGAACTATGGCTGCACAATTAATAGGAATATTATCAAAATATCGCAATGTGCAAATCAATCAAGTGAATCACAAGCTGCAATTATAATGAAGTACTGTAATGCAGCAGAGATGTACAGGCCTGCAAATCTTGTTATTTGAGATTTAAGAAAAGAGATTTGGTACAGATCCCCAAAAAACATCACAGAATCATGAATTTAATATAGTTTTTTTTATAGGTTTCAATTTCTAAGTCTAATGTTGAGATGCTTACTGTTTTGGTTTTTATGCATTTTATGCAGTGCTTTCTGTGCTTCCCCAACCTTTATGGTTTCACTGGTTATGTTTGTACCAGAAATATACCAGGATATGTTTATAATAGAAATCACAGAACTATGTCCTCACAAAATAATTAAAGAGGAAAAAGGATATTATCATGGAAAATGGTTCACACTAAAGTAAATAAGAGTAAACCAAAAAAATAGCATCCATCATCATCCAACCTTACACAAAACCAATTTATATTCACAAAAATATATTTTATGTCCCTTTAACCAACGTTTTGTGTTTAGCCACACATACCCTAAAGCCACCCTACTGCACATTGCCAAAGACGTGCACATATTGACAGTCCGGTTCCCACAGCTGCTGACGGCCTAAAGCCATAGATCTCTTCTGTCACTGTCCTTCGTTCTTTAGGGGACTAAAGAGGAACTGAAACCCGAGTTCACAGGCTTGTTTCTTTTAGTTTTATTTCATATTCTCTCACACAGTTGTTTATCTTTAATTAACCAGAGAGTTTCATTTGTATCCAAAGCTGTCAGTCACCTCATGCTGTCTGTGTTGGCAGGTTGAAGCTCCTTTCTGTCTCTTCTGATTCAGTGTTTCAGCTGATCACAATCCAGCTGTTTATCACTTACGTGGCTTTGTGTTTCTGTTGTCATGGTGACAGCAGAAATGCCAGCTGAGTGTGTAAACCTGAGTCAGGTAGCAGTGTGTGTCTGTGTTTCAGGTGTGAATCTTTAATGTCTGACTTTCTGTCTGCTGCTGCTCTTTTCACAACAACATGTTGTTTTAGGCCCACAGAGCATACTCACTGCTGCCCAGCCCATTGAGAGCTTGTGCGTCCTCGGCTTCCTGTTGGCTCCTGACGCATATGATAGTAATTCTTCTTCTTCTTCTTCTTCTTCTTCTTCTTCTTCTTCTTCTTCTTCTTCTTCTTCTAGACTTTCCAAATATTATTGGACTGACTGGATCAAATTCTGATCATACAAAATCATGTTGGACGATTCACCCTTTTACAGCAGCTCCTTTTCATAATTGTTGTCTGTGGGGAGGAAAGCCAGTCTGTGTAATGTGATACTTTAATATCCAGTGGGGCCACTTTGGAAAGAGCAGCTCACAGCCCAGTGGGGTGTTAGTGAAAAGCTGCTAAACATCTGCAAGGTAACATGGAGATAGGAAAATTACATTTATTTTATAAACTCATTGAAGGTTTTTTTCTTTTTACTAACTGTATTATTTGTACTTGTCTGATAACGTATCACTGCCTCTTGATAGTGTTGGGACTTTATACTGTAGTGGTCCACCACAGTTGACTCTCTGTAGGAAAACACAGAGCCAGTGTTTGGGATGGTTAAAGGGTTTCACACCTGCTCTAACACTCTCCTGGATGAACCCTGCTCTGTGGAGCATTTGGTAACTGTGTGGTTCTCCTGCAGGGTTTTGTGTTCCTTCGTTCCCTCGTCGACCAGACTCAGGTAGGAGTTTTTGCTCCCACAATGCAGTGGGCCACCTCCACCTGCTGACTACAGGTTTCGTGATTGTGGTGCTGCTGTTAGAACATGTTTCTGTGTTTGATGGCTGAGCTATAAACTCTGTGTGTTCCCAGACTGAACCTGTAGTTATGTTCCAAAATGATGCAAATTCATTTTTAAAATAAAATAAATTACTTCCAATCTTGATTTTCATCAGGATTCTTAAAACCTTAAAAATCAAAGTGGACTACGAGTCCACTAGACTACTGTCAAACTACTACCATTAATTTTTATTTCATTGATTGATTTCACTAAAGGTTCAGGAAAAAAAATCACATTTTGGAATAAAACTCGTGTTTTCAGTAGTAGATAGTGTCAGTTTTAGTGCAGTTTTCCATCAACATCAAGCAGAAACATGCTGTCCTCCTCGCTGCTCCTGGTTCAGTGTTTGATGTGTAGTTTGGCTGAATAGTTTCAGTAACTCTGATCTGAGCTGCTGCAATTTGTTCAGTTTGTAAATGACTGCTGCTGCTGCTTCCAGAAACACCCTGTTTAATCACGTGTTCTTTAAAAGGGAATGGTTCAAGACATATATTTTCTTTTTCTTTTTTTTGTGAGAGTAAGATATTCAAATAAAGAGCAATCTCTCAGTGTTTAGCCCATAGCTGGAGTCAGGATGTAGTTCACCTAGCATAGCATAGTTCCAGCACACAAATGATCCTTTTTCTGCTGTCTCAAGCAGGCAGTCAGAAAGCTACAGGTTGTAGTTGGTTTGGTATTATCAGGTTGCTTTATGACAATTTTCCAAGACAAAAACACACAGATTGAGTCCAGCGTAAAACATTGACATGCAGAAACTCAAAACAAACTAACAAACTGTTTTGTATAAAATTGAATCACAGGATAAAACAGTAAAAGTTAAAATAACTGTCCAGTCAGAATATCTTCCTTCCTTTATAAGTAGAGGATAAGTAGAGCTCAGACAGCAGCTTCAAAAGCCAGGTGGCCCACTGTTGTTATATGTGGTCCTGTGACCTCTTCCATGGCTCTCATATCTGTTCAGGTTTCAGGCGACTCTGTCACATGACCTGTACTGGTTTGTGATGTCATGCAGTGGACGGTTTGTATTGTCCTCTGAGAGCTGATGAATCTGCAGCTGATGAACTTTGGTTTAAAGCGATGAATAAAGTAAATCTACTGATCTCCTGTCAAATGTCTTTTATATCATCTATTTTTCCCTTGACCGTCCTGGTTTCAATGTTCTATAAATAATGATGATGTTTGAAGAGAAAAAGAAGAAGCATTAAAGCAAGTGATACACATGCAGTTTTATGATATTTAGGGATCAGGGTAAAATGAGGTTGTGGGTTGATCCCTGGCTCATGTCAAGTGTCCTTGAGCAAGACGCCTTGCATCTGTGTGTGAGTGAGTGAATCAGAGCCGTACAGTTATTACAGATGTCAGCGTGATTTTAGATGAGGTTTCATTTTTTTTCTGGTTTCACTTCAGTTCTTTGTAACGGTTTAGTCATTCAAAACCAAAAACTCCTACTCAACTCACTCTGATCTCTTTCTTGTTGTTCTCGTTTGGTTCTGGATTTCTTCTTTTCCAGGAAACTCAATTTCTTTAAATATCATATTAAGCCTGCTGCATCACAGTGAATATGTGGTTTTATTTGAGTCACAACCTCAACCAGATGTCTGATGGTGCGTTCACGTGCTGCAGAGAGGCTCTGAAATATCTAATGTACATCTAACAAACTGTGTGTCTGTCTGTGTGTCTGTGTGTATTAGGTGTATGTCACAGTGTGTCAGTGTCAGAGATCATCTCTGTGAGAGAGGAAGAGGAGGAGAACAGCAGCAGACAGAGAGACGATGGCAGCTGGAAAAAGATCAAAGAGAGAGAAGGGAAGGACTGCAGGCAGGCCTTCACAGGTAAACACACCTGGAAACAGTAAAAACATCTAGAAACACATCTGTACACACACGTGGAAACATACTTAAAAACACACTTATGGAAAACATTTGGAAACATATCTGGAAGCAAGGTAAACACCTTGACACTGAGCTGTAAACACAGCTGTACGTTCACTCTGTGGATTGATAGTAAGTACCTGAATGAGGCAGCATGAGAAATAACTGGTGACTAAATCTGTCTCTGTAGTTCTTTCACAATAAAAGCATTCTATTGGCTCACAGGTGAAAAAATCAGAACAATTTATAAATCATTAATTTATTATTTATTAAGTGATAGGTTTTGTGTGTGTCTGTTGTGTTTCAGTATTGTATGTGGAGAGGTGTCGGCAGCACCGCTGGCGGTGTGCTGAGGTCACATTCACGTGTCCAGAGGAGGCGCTGTATCAGCGCTGGGTCAGCAGCATCAGAGAGCAGCTCGCCTCTATCAGTACGAATCCACACCAACACACACTGACCAACACACACTGACCAACACACACTGACCAACACACATGTGACTGTTGCCAGAGACTGTCAGTAATGTTGTTGTTTTCTACAGCCAGCAGACCCAAACACCTGCTGGTCTACATCAATCCGTATGGCGGGAAGCGTCAGGGCAAACACATCTACGAGCAAAAGGTCGCACCGCTGTTTGCCCAGGCAGGTGTCTCCACGCATGTCATCGGTACGTTCTGCATCACTCACTTCCTGTTCTTGGGCTTCCTGTATCAGGGATTATACATCTGAAGGACGCTGTGTCTTTGTGTTTGTCGTCATAGTGACGGAGTACGCCAATTATGCTAGGGATCACCTGAGAACGGAGGCGGAGCTGAAGAAGTTTGATGGGTGAGCAGCTTTACTGTAATTACATCACAGACTTTGTTTTTGTAAAATGAATAAATAAATGAATAAATAAATAAAAAGGTCGCTGTACCCTGTAACAGACTTTTAAGTTTCTGTTAACATTTGACCCCCTCAGGGTGGTGTGTGTCGGAGGGGACGGCATGTTCAGTGAGATCATCCATGGGCTGATCTGGAGGACACAGATCGATGGCAGCGTAGATCCAAACTGTCCAGATCAAACTCTCCTTCCCAGCTCCCTTCACATTGGAATCATACCTGCAGGTGGGAAACACTGCTGTGACTCCTGCTATGTCAAAACTACTTTTACTGTTGGATTTTTGGATGATTTGGTTGATTCAAATGTTGGCAGTGTTGCCTATGGTCCTCTGTAGAGGTTAAATAGGACCCTGAGGAGGTTGTAGTGGTCCTTGAGGAGGCTCTAGGGATCCTTCAGAGAAGCAAAGCAGCATCAGTCCTGTTGCTATGGCTACGCTCTAGTTTAACGCTCTGGGGTCCAGGTTAATTTTTCTATGCATTCGTTTTTGTCTTTGTTTAACACCTTTTACCCACATTCATGGTTCACTCATTTTAAGCACAAACTCAGCTATAAGTGTGACTTATCATTTTGTGACTTTAAGGAAGTGTAAAACTTCAAAATACATGATAAATGACACAGGCGCTTATAAAAACAATACAAATCTTTATTAATAATCACTCAAACTATTATTATAGAACAGTTAAAGGTTGTGAACAACATACTTTCACTATTTATACACTCAAATACACCAGAAAAACTACAATCTGTTTATATGTGAAATGATTCTATTCCAACTCACTTTTGTGTCAGTTTCATTAAAGGTAGATTTATTAACGAGATACTGTGTGAAATCCCCACATTGGCACTTTCAACTGGTTGTCTCAGCTTGTCTCTACATGACATATAAATAAAGTTGTGTTACTATTCATAAAACAGTGCTCAGTGTAGTCACTAATGAATAGACGGATTCTAGAGGGTAATTACTGTTTGAGGGGAACAATGTTGTGATTTTAATAGACACAGCTGACAGCCAACCATAAAGCAGGGTTCTCTGTTACAGGGTGTAAATGCAGGTACTGACTGTGGCCTCGTTTTTCAGTTTGTTCTTTTTGTTTGTGTCCTTTTTGTTTTTCTGTTTCTGTTTAAGTACTATAAATATACACACACACACACACACACACACACACACACACACACACACACACACACACACACACACGTACACAGTCATCAGGGAGACATACAATTTCTCTGCAGCAGTGGAGGAAAAGCACCTCACCTAATTAATGGCTGCTGTGATTGGTGCAGGTGTGTATTTGTGTTTGTGCAGCAGTGTTGTTGTAAAACACGAAATTCTAAAACTTTGTATTCAAATAGGCAATGATGTAAATAATCAGAAAGTTAGTTATTGTCAGTAGCTTCAGTCTTGCTCTTCACCTCAGTGCAACTTTCTACACTGTCAAACATGATGTAGGCATCAGTGAGAACTAGACATGAAAAGGTTGACATTGTTTCTTCTAATGCACAATTTGTGTTTTTCAGGTTCAACAGATTGTATCTGCTTTGCCACTGTGGGCACCAACGACCCAGTGACCTCTGCACTGCACATCATCGTGGGTCAGTCACATGGCCTCACTATACATACATCTATACATCTACATCTATAACTACTGCTGCCCCCAAACATTAGATTTTTAGTCATCAGTCAAGAAGAACCCACTTTTTTAGCTGCGTCATCATACACAGAGAGACAGCATGACAGGCTGTAAACTTTACAAACAAAGAGTCTCAAAGTCGCCTCAAACCATGAAACTCACCATAATGATGCAGAGAAGAGTGATAGTTAACAGAGGACAGCGTGACGCCAGACAGCAGTGCAGTGGCTGCTCTGACGCCCTCTGACGCCCTCTGCCGCGGTGCTGACTGTCAGTGAAGTCAGTTAAACCAATTTGAACCAGGTGGTGGTACAACCTCCTCTACTGCCATCCACTGTAATTGACTCTTCAGCTGACAGCGCTGCAGCAGCCCACTAGGCTCACTTATAAGTGAACTATGAGCAGGACACACACTTTTACTTTCTCTGTGTGGACAAAGAGAAACCACAGATGACACAGAACAGCATTAAAAGGTTGGCTAAAACATGAGACTTGTGTAGCCAAATCTTTGTAAAAGACAAAACTCATTCACAACCCTACCTATAATGAAAAACTAGATGAATTATTTAACCAGACAGATTGTTTTATACACTGGAGACACATGTAATTAAAATCTAAAATTATCAAAACTAAAAAAAAAAAAAAAAAGAAAATAAAAACTAATGAAGGTCACATGATAAAGAAGCTCCTCCTCTACTAAAAATAAAATTGCCCATGTCTATTATAATGGGGCACTATAATCAATCTTGCTAAAGTTACACATTAATGGACATTTTTTGCTTTACAAACCCAATGATTTTTTTAGCCATATTGTTTGTCCTCTAATAAAGGAGGTATTGAAAGATGATGTATTGAAACTGCATTGATGCACATTACTTTACTTTCCTTGGTCTTGTGCTGCCATGTAGTGTTCTTTCAGGAAACAGGCTCTGAAAGTGCACATGATGCACTGTAGGAGGGCCTCTGCGCATGGCCAAATGTACAAACGGACCACTTGTTTGAGCCTTATTTAGCAATGCTCTGAGCTTCCCTAATAGATCTCCGTTATACATAGTTGCAGTTTCTAGTTTCCTGATTGTTTCTCCTAAAAAGATTTGAGTCTAACATAAAATGATTTGTATGTTGATCGGGTCTGTTTATGTGTGTGTTCAGGAGACTCGCAGCCGATGGATGTGTGCTCGGTTCACCACAACAACACCTTCCTGCGATACTCTGTTTCCCTACTTGGATACGGTTTCTATGGCGATGTGCTAACTGACAGTGAGAGGAAGAGATGGATGGGACCAGCCAGATACGACCTCTCAGGTTGGAATACAACATGTGTTGAGAAGTTTTCACTGGAAATCTGTAATGTTAGTTACAATGATGGGAATTGAACCTGCTGCTGTTGTTTATTAGTGACTGGAACTTCCTGTAGACTAAACACAGAAAACAGCTCAACAACTTTTCCATCATCAGAAAAACAAAAGAGTCATGGATACAAGTACCGATACAAACAGAAGCACTGAGGCAGAAACACCAGACTCCATCAATGTGTAGGTTTTTTTTTAAGTCAAAAATAAATAAATTTTTTAGAAAAACCTGAAGCTTTAAAACTATATCAGTGTAATAAGTAACAAATTCTGATGAGGTTTCTATAGTAATGAATAGTAATGATGCTTTATTATAGAGTTGGAAATGACAATAATTAAGCATTTCTAGCAAAATTATTAGAAGAGATTGATTGATGTAGGCCTGTTACTTTATTATATGAAAGGGATAATGGCTGACAAGGTGTTCGTCACCAAATCTATTGAAAATCCATTGACGCACATTACTTTCCCCTGCTCTCGTGCTGCCATCTAGTGTTTTTTCAGAAAATAAGCTCTAAACATGCACTTGTATGAGGGCTTCTGCTGCACATTGGACAGTTCTGGCCTCCACGCCGTCCATTAATTCCTGATTACGGACACCTTGAAGTGCATTATCTCACCCATACCATGAGTCATAATCATTCATTTATAGTTTGATATGTCCAGAAAATTGAGCAGCACTGATTGAAGAATCAGACCTGATTGCAAAAAAGGATACAAAAGTAAAATAAAAAGCATTATAAGTTTATTAGTTTTATTCTCCTGGTTCATCCTGAATCTAAAAAATAAAAACACAGTGCAGGACGCACTGTACAGCAATACAACTAATGAAAGACAGCAGAAATTAATGTTAAAGAATATTAGAACATTAAAAGGTGCGATTAACAGGTGAGGTATTTCTCATATATATAAACAGACTGAGGATGAGAGTAAACATTGGTCCGCCACATTCATTTACTTTCATGTTGATGCGCCGACTTTTGCAGGTGTGAAGATGTTCCTGACTCATCATTACTATGAAGGAACAGTGTCCTACCTGCCGGCCAGAGGCATCGTAGGAACGCCACGTGACGCTGCCAAGTGTCGATCTGGGTAAGTGAGATGCTACATAAATGTAAACTATCTGTAAACTAACTGTTTTAATCAAAATAACAAAAAAAGACAAAAAATTACTCTTTAATTTAGTATCCAACTCTGTCCAGGTCAGATAAGTTGCAAAAGTTGAATTCTGTTTGAGTTAAGTTTAGTTTAACAGAGAAAAAAGAATTGATTTGGTTCAAGTGATCTAACAGTTTAGCAACTAAAACAGTTTGTTGCTTAATCTCATTGTTGATTTATGCCTTTTTTGAAATCACATTGGTGTATCTCTAAATTTCCAGCTGTGTGGTTTGTCAGCACAACGGGCAGCTACTTTCAAAGAGAGCTGAGAATTACACAATGGATGAAGACAGCGGTGAGTCCAACAAATCCTCATCTGTAGGACCACAGTGAAAAAGAAAATCAGTGTTTTGGGACTAGATGAACATTTTTACTGAAAAGCAATCGGTCACAAAGACTAGAAGCAGGGGAAAACTGTTCAAAGTGATAGAAATACACCTACCAAAAAACTCCAAAACATTGATTCTTGTTGTATCTCAGAATACACAGATTATACTTTACTATATACTGTATATACTATATTTGGAAATAAAAGTTGTCCATGAATGGAACCCTGGGGCACACCACAAGATGGTCACATGAAGTTAAAATTACCATCGTGGACATGAAAAGAACTACTTTGAATATAATACCTTGTTAACGTCAATGCCAGTCCATTTAATGGCTGCTCTGGAGATTTCAGTCATATCACATTATCTTCGTCAGTAGAGACTTAGACCAGTTGTCACAGAATTGCAGACTTTCAAAAATTAAATATACTTTCAGTACTTCTCATCCATGTTGGCTTGCAAATTAAGACTCCAAGTTCATTCTTGACCTTGGAAACTATAATTGACTCAACAGTCTCACTTCAAGTTCAATTAAGTAGCTGTTCTGGAGGTTTAGATCACATTTCCCAGGTCAAGAACAAACTTTCAACCTCAACTTACCTCAAGTTATTCAGTATGTTGTTATTATATTAAAATGGACTTCTTGACTGGTATCTGATTTTATTTTAGAAGTTACTGAATTTATTCATTGTTGACTGTGGCTGTACTCCTGAAACCCTGAATATTGTATAAATAACATTTTCCTCAATAAAAGCCAACATGGAGTGATGAAGTTTTGGCAGCAGCAACAGCAAGAAAGGTCAAATCTGTCTTTTTGGTTCTAGAGAGTGATGGCGAGTGGAGGACAATCCGAGGGAAGTTCTTGGCTATAAACGCTGCCAGTATGAGCTGTGCTTGTCCTCGCAGCCCCAAAGGCCTCTCACCTGCTGCTCACCTGGCCGACGGCACCACCGACCTCATCCTGGTCCGAAAATGTTCCCGCTTCGACTTCCTCAGACACCTCCTCCGACACACCAGCAAAGATGACCAGGTAATAAATCCATAATCTAGTTCAGTGGTTCCCAATCTGGTTCTCAGCATCTGGTTCACTTCTGTAAAGAAATCTAAATGTAAAGGAAATTGACTATTGACTATTGACTAAAATACATATTACAGACAAAGAATTGTATGAAAGTTCCCTAAACAGGAAATAATCTGCTCAAAATTCATTCAAATCACTTGTTTTACACAAACTTCTTGCAGTTCACTGTTCGGGTTCATTGCATAGTTTTTGAATATAATACGAAATGTCATTTAAATGATAGAAACAGATGATCTAGCACATTATTCACAATAAAACCAATGAAACCTTTTAAATTGAAATCAAATCAAATTAAAAACTGATTTGATTCAGATCCCGAACAACACCTGCTTTCCCTCCCTTCCCTCGTTCTGTCTCCACCAGTTTGACCTGACCTTCGTTGAGGTCCACCGGGTGCGGCGTTTCCGCTTCACACCACGTTACTGCCAGAGCGACTCAGACCTGGAGCTGGACCTGCGAGAGAATGGCAAACGCCAGATCTTCAGCCAGATATGCCGAGACCATCCGGCTTGCGGCTGTGCCCCCGCCTACAGCAGCTGGAACTGCGACGGCGAGATCCTGACCCACACGGCCATCGACGTCCGGTAAGGTGACCCTGTGGGAGTTTCTTGCTTTGAATTGTCAAATATTTCCGTTTTTTTGGTCATTATTTTCTTTTTTTAAAATCTTCTCTTTGTTTTTCCCAGAGTGCACTGCCAGTTGATCAAGCTCTTTGCACGAGGGATCGAAGAACCAACGGTGTTCGAGGATCTCACCAACCCCTGTGCAATATAGACCCACGCCCCCATTATTACCTGTCAGACACTGGAGTTGTCACTGTGTCTTCAGCCTCTGCCTACATCACTTCTGCTGCTGCCGTCATGGGACACATCGTTCACTCGACAGGATTTACTGACTCAGCAATGAGTTGTGCTTTTACTCTACAAAGATCAGCAGTACGGAGAGAAACCAAGAAATTGTTTCCTCACAGACAGGATGTGATGTGTAGTTTTCCTAAAATGCCCTGAATAACTTCAAATCTATTCTTTGGAAACTATTAGGATATAATCAGGAAAATATTGACCCAGAGAGTAAAGCTTCACCCTCACATTTGTTGAGGTTGTTGTTGTTTTGATGCGAACAGATGAATGGTTGCCAGGTGTCTGGCACCTGATTTATTTTTAATATTGAACAGTTCTGAAAGTGCCGTTTGATAATATTTTCCCCCATAATCCAGAGACCATGACTCCATGATGTTACCTTGAGGTTACAAATGTTGCCTGTTACAGTAACAAAATGTGTAAAAAGCTGCTGTAGGTGGAAAACGCAGGATGGACTGTTGTCCTAAACGCTGCCGCATGTGTCACTACCTATAAACTATAGAGTAGACTTGTTGTGTCTCGGTCTTGTAGGTGCCTGAGATTGGATTTGTTTTGGTCTTGTGGGGGATTTTATTAGACAGAAGAGGCAGAGGCAGACAGGAGGAGAGACAGGGGTATGACGTGCAACAAAGGCTGGACTTAAACCGGCTACATTCTTACCTGTTACAGACTTCTGTTTCCACAGAGTCCAGATGTTTTCTTAGTAGACTGGAGAGGTCAGCTGTTCTCTATTATCTTGGACTCTCAACTGTAGTCCTGGTGCAGATAAGAACACACTGAGAGTTTTTGTATTTATTCAGCTTATAAGTAGATTGGAGATTGTTACATAAATTATAGCTTATTTGCACTTTTTAAATAGTTGTAATTATTTTGAATAATCAAAACCTATCTTGGATTTTGAATGATCTAATACATGTTTTAAGGATACCAGACACCTGCCAGCCATTCCTACAGTCATGTGATCATTAGGGATCAGGGGTGGATTCACATTCACATGAGTAGAAAGTAAATCCGCTGCACGTGTTCAGTACAGAAAACAATGCTGGGAGGAGATTTATTATCCACTATTGAAGCATCCCAATTCTTCAACTGCAAGAAGGTTTCTGTTACATTATGCTTCTCAAACAGGTCCATTAGAATAAACTAAAACATAAATGTTTCTCACATTTCTCAGGAATATCTGAGCTCAATTGTAACTATGAAATTGTATTTTTACATATTTCAACTCCCAGCAATTTAGGAAAAAAACTTACATTTGAATTTTAGTGAAGAAAATCTTGTGCCAGTCAAGCTGGTCGTGGCTGAGCAAGCTGAGCAGCGCACACATGAATGTTTTTAATCTTCCATTTCCGCTTGTTATGCAAATGAGGTCAGCTGGAGTAAACACAGAATACAAATCAGATCAAGTGCTGGAGAGAACAAGAAGTACTGCTTTAACACCAGTGTTTTACACAGCAGATATTCTGACTTCTCAATGAGCTGAAGGCATAGCTGTAACTTCAAATTACATACAAGATTAAAATAAGATTCACATACAACAAAAGACAAAACCAATACTGAAGCAGTGGTGCCCAGCCTGGGGGGTCAGGAAACTGGTTTGTCTGGACAACTATTTGATTGATTTGAAATAAAAGTTAATATTAACATCCACTTTTCCCTCAGGACAAATTGTAATAACTGATGATCCTCTTTTCATCTAGTGCCACCATCAAGTCAAATGTTAATTTTAATTGGTCCAATACTTTGGTTTAAGACCAAATACCATTCCTGTCCTCCTCGGCTGTAGCATGTTAACACACTGAACTAAGGTGGTGAACATCTTATGGCTAAACATTAGCATGTTTTGTCATTGTTACCGTTGAGCTCAAAGCACCACTGTGTCTAAGTATAGCTTCACAGAAGTTTATGTCGTAATAATTAAAATAAAACAATCTGGACTGGAATCTAGACATATGCAAGCTGTGACAAGGGCTCATAAGTAGACATAGCCTTGTTTTTAGAGGTCACAGTTCAAAAAGGTTGGAATGGCTGCAATAAAGGGTATGGACGGGCCTCTCCAAGTACACAGTTTTTAAACGTTTAACCACAGATAGAAACATTTTTGTGTATAAATGAATCAATCTCACTGTGAAGGATCATTTAACTTGCTAGATACAAAACTCGGTTTGGACTTTTATTGTGTTGTATGGAAGGTTCATATTATTGATTTGATCTTTTGTGACGGAAGCTGCACTGTAATGTCCAGTGTTGATATTCAACCACCAGCATGTTCAGTGTAGAGTCTTTTTCATTTTTGAATCATTGTAGGTGAGTTCACAGTGGACGGCTCTGAGCATGTCGTAGCCTGATGTTAACTGTCTCTGTAGCAGCTGCTTTTCGGTGTCCACAAAATACAATCTACCTGTAGCAGCACCATTAATGTTACTTTCCCATATTCTTTAATAATATGATGCATAGCAAAGTTGCATTTAATTCACTAAGCCTTGGGATGGCGATGTCCATCAGTTCTGTCCACATATCCGTTTAAATTATCATAAAATGTCCTGATCTCAAGAGGATGAACCCTTTAGACTGTAATTATCCATTGACCTTACATCTAGCACCATCCTCAGGACAAACTGTACAGCTTTGCTTCGCTACTGGTGTGGCACTAAGGATTTCAAAATCAGCATAACGTTGCAGCTTCCAAATAGATTTGAAATAATATGATTGTCTCCATCCTGAAGCTCTGTCGGGACAGGAAGTTGCGTATCATCACTGGACTATCACAGTGTAGATTCTGTTTGTTTGTTGTCCAGCAGTCCTGTTTCCTCTCTGCTGATGTTAACACAAACTGACCGAGGAGGGAACCAGTAGCCGCTCACGGTGCTCTAAAACATCAGCTTCCAGCTTTCTTCTGAGCTCAATCTGACCAAATACCAGCCGGGGTTTAATGATGTAGCTGTCTGTCTGTCTGTGACAGTTTGAGCTTAGCCTAGAGGTCTTCAGAGGTCCAAAATCTTTGAGACCTTACAGACCTGATTAGACTGACAGTAATGTGAACCCGGTCCTACTTGGGTCTCAGGTCAAACCTCAGTTAGTAGGAACCTAGTGGACCTGTGAAGATCTTTAGCTCAGCCGTCTGTCTCTTGTTGATTTATCTGTCACTGTTGTATTGATGTACAATCAGAGTCTGAATGTTTGCTGTAAAACCCCCAAACAGTAACAAACCAAATGTGTTAAATGCGCACACACAGAGGTCGACTGATGACAGATGACTGAAGTGGATTACAAATATTTATTTACATTTAGCGAGCTGTTACTATTAATTAAACCAGAAACTGGCCAATTCATTTGTATGTTTTCATGAAATAGACATCGCTGGAGGCTTTGTGACGTAGTAAATACTTGGCCAGCTACAGTAGCTGGTGAGCTGACCGCTAACAAGCTATTTAGCCAAGAACATGCTGGTCCTAGCCAGCCATAATAGCTCACATAGCTAGCTCAGTTGCTAACATGCTACTAGCTAATGTCGCGTTCACAAATCGTACAGACTGGAAAAAAAAAGAAGAGGCACACTGGCTTTAGGATTGTACATCATTTTATTCAACAAAGAGTTGACAAACTCTGCATTCAGCGATGGGACAATGAATTCACACATTGTACCATCGACTTTAGTGTTTAGTCTCATAATTGTCTATAAACCGTCTCTGTTGTGGAGCAGTTTATACTGTGACAGCGGGACTTTCATAAAACTGGTTGGGGACACACAGCTAACAAGCTAAGCTAAGTCAGCGTGATACTCGTGACGTATTTTAGCATGGCCTACCCTACAGGAAATTTACTGGCATATTTTGTGTCATACAACAAAAGGTGACTATGTCTTAAGCTTGTGTTAACCACAAACCACAAACCCTCCCCCCGACTTTTAGGCAAGGGAACAGGAAGTACAAAAATGCTAACTAATCTCGAAACACTATTAGTCAGCAGCATGAATTTGTGTTTATGTCAGCTAATCATCATGTCAGCAGGCTAGCTATGCTGCTAACCGGACAATAACACAGTTAATGAAGAGAACCTGTTAGTATCATGGACTACTGGGTGACTGAGCGTACTCCAGCAGAGCAGACTTATATAAAACTGGATGGTAGCACACAGCTTATATGATGGCGTCCTCAATTTTGGACGGCCCAACTCTCCCTCAATGGTCAACACTGTCAAGACGGTTTGAATGTGATGATCAGCACAGATCTGCATGTCCAAGTTAAGAGTCAATGCAAAGGCTTCTTACAAATTAATTTAACTCCCAATAGCGAATCCACTGATTGCAGATATAACTATAATTGACATTAAATGTCATTAAAAGCGCGATTGTAACTGAACAGGTAGAATTAAAGATATAACCAATTCATCTCTAGTGTCGTGTTAGGTATTGAAGCATTAAGGACTAGTACTGCAAATAATGATTAGTCTTAATTGTCTTTCTGATTAGTTATCTCTAAAATTTCAAAATAAACATTATGTCCAAAGTGATTTTTCATTTCTTTCTTAATTTTTTTAATTCAAAAAAGACATCTAGCTCTGTGAAGCATTAGTTTCTCCCAATTTAAACCTCTCCAGCTAATAGGGAATATTGTTATTTTCAACACTGTAGTTTAATCTGACGCTGGAAACTAGTTTGAGCTAGTGAATCAGTCGACCTCTAGTTGTAATCTGAGCTGTAACTGATCTTTACCTTCTGCTGTAGCTGTTTCATTATCAGGAATTAAAAATGTATTCAACTATTCCATGTGTACAGTGAATTTATTCTTAACATCAGTTCTCTGTATGTGTTTCTGCTACATGGCTCCAGTAGCTGACAAGTTGTTTAAGGGATTCTTTCTTTTCTTCCATTTATTGGAGCAGTTTCTCTCAATCACCTGACCAGCACCTTCATTGTCCTCCAAGATGCTCCAAACAACCCTACAGTTTTATATCAAACAGGAAATCCCTGATGATTTTACCTTCCCATTTCCTGCCACCGCTCCTTGTTTGTTTCAGGATATCCTTCTGTCGTCTCCCAGAGGATCCACTTCAGTTTAGACTTCTCATTTTGCCCCAAAGACCTTCCTCTTGTCAGCGTCACTCCCTCGACGCTGCCAACTCGCTGTCCTTGCAGCGTTTGGGCGCCTGGGTTCAGACTCACCACTGGTGAAGTCCCAGTTGGACTGCAGGGAATGACGCATTTATTTGACCTCTCAGGTCTGTTGTCAGGTTTCACAGCTAGTAAACATCCTCCATTCTCACAGGGGATACCACCACTCTGTCTACGGGATGTAGAGCTGGTAGTCAGACTCTCAGACTCTGCTGTCTCTTCTGGGAACACAGGGAGATTCCTGGAGCTACTAGCTCACTAGAAGCACATGTATGGCCTTTTGTGTGAGTCACTGTGTGTGTTGTCAGCAGTATCACTACATAATCATAGCCCTGCTGTTTGTTGCAGTTAACGTTGCTGTGAATATCTTAATAAGCTCTGAATACAGCACAGGTATTGGTGGGGCCATGTATTGGAAATGGGAATCACAGCATTCTGCGGTGGCGCCACTTTTGGAGGATAGTGTGCATAGTCACTTTTAACTGGTCACCTGTCAATCATACATCATCAGAAATGTATTAAAGTACTGTACTGTACTTTTACTAAACTAAACTCTGATTTAATTTGATATACACACGTTTATTAGGCACAGCTAACTAAAACCAATGCACTCTAATTACATTTTAACTTTCATCAAGGTCGTAATGTTCAGTGTTTGTTGGAAATGGTTTAGAGAGTTGTTGATTCTTTTAGAAGGAGATGTTATTTGGCCTACCCTACTCGGTATAAATGAGGTAGACAAAATAGTTGTTTATAACCAAGAGGTTATGTATGAGAGAATTGAGAGCAAATGGAAAGAAAAACAAACACAAGTGCATACAGTGTCTAAGACCAACACATAAATCACCAAAAAGATTAAAAGTTAGAAGTTTAAAATCACCCAGTGGGAGACATTCAGGTCTTAAAATCCTCTATAATTCCTCCCATTTATTAAGGTGCAAAGTAGTGGATGGTGACTTCCCAAGTTCCTTATTTACCCAAGAGGTAACTGGTGTTTAAACAGGTATGAGGTCTGGTATAACAAATATAAAGAATACAAATAAAGTAAAAAAATGAGGGGTGAAAATGCTTATCCCATTGATCTTTTTATTTGTTGTTATTGTTTGAATTTAGACCAAATTAGATTTTTAATTCATCATGCTTATTTAAGCCCTATTTATTTAGTTATTTATTTCCTGTGTAACTTTTGGGACTCTGATATGTCCTTTTACACTTGAGAGCATATAAACACACATTTATTTTATAAGTTGTATGTGAATTTATTGTACTGTTGACAACATTACATTTTATGTTCCATGTCTTAGAGAGGCTGTGGTTACACCTTTTCAATAGAAAATCATCCAAATATGTTATATGTTATACAAAGCGTGCCACAAATTATGAAATGTAAAACTAAATGTAAAAAAACATGTACTGTACTGAGTACTGGACCATACTTTCTGAGTACAGAAACAAAGCCTTTAGGCAGAGAAGAATAAATAACTCCCTTTTATTAATTTGTTAGATCTAACTCCAACATCATAGCAGAGATGGAGGAAGTATTTAGATTTCTTACTTGATGAATATTGTGTCTGTATGGTAATTACGAAACCACCAACTACAGCCGGTTAGCTTAGCCACCCAAAGGTAACAAAGTCGGCCTACCAACACTTCTGAAGCTTACTAATGAACAAGTTTTACTACTTTTTTAAAAATCTGTATAATGGCATTTTGTTGTTTTCACATTTTGTTTTTGTACAGATTAAAGAAATATAAAATAAATAAAATACAATGTTCATTACTTAGCTTTAGAGGTGCTAGAAGGTGGATTTAATGACTGAGGAAGTACTGATAAGCCTCACAGCCTTTCAGGTTGTTCAACACTTCAATGTTGGCACCAACAGAATCAATAAAGAAATTACATTTCTTCAGGTCATCCTCTTACCCCTCACTAAGAGAAGGCAGAGATAGGCAGGACAGATTTATTTCCCCAAAATCTCTAAGGAAAGTGAGAAATGCTTTAGTACGTCAACAATAATGTCTGTCATCTAAGTAATACTGTAACAGCTTATGAGTTTAGCTATCAGTTGGGTCCGCAAAGACACAAAAACCTTCTAATAATTCTCTAAGGTCAAATTTGCCACTGGGAACAGCTGTGGCAGAGCAAACACGCACAAATCACAGTAATAAAGAGATATAATCTCATGTTTGTGGATCAATACTCTGCATTGATGGGAGGATGATTTAATGTGAACAAACAGCAGAGAGCTCTCACAGGTAATTAGACCTCATTAAGGAAGTCGAACAAACCAACACTCCAGCTGGAAAATCTGATCCCTCACTCAACATGTTGACACGGTAAATAATCAGAACAATAAAATCAGAGGGAAGTCTGTCGGAGGGTCGATACCTGAGGGGGTACTTAAGGAGGCGGCCCGGACCCCAACAGCCAGTCTGCAGGTCTGATCTGGTCTCTGAGCAGAATCTGTCCAGGTGAGTCTGAAGACGGAATTTGTATGTAGACTTTATTTTCTTTCTTTCTTCTTCTCTTGATTATCACACAGTTAATGTTGTTCTATTCACTTCTTTCTCTTTATATTGGTGAGGTTATAAAAAATATGTGGTTGAGGGTTTTTTTTAATTAAGAATTACACTATTGTCCAAAAGTATGTGGACAGCTAAACACTGCAGCGGTTTGTAATAAAAGTCAAAACCAGTGACATTGAACTGCTGCTCTGCTGCTGAAATCCTCTGGCTTTCCACTGGAGTCTGGCTACAGAAATATTACGTCATTTAAAAGGGTTTATGGATAATTTTGTGGTTTTTATAGCAGTAATCTTTGTTTTATGAACTTGTACTGAATACTTTACATATAACATGACTGAAAAATATAAAATATATGTCATATGGGATGAATTGTAGAGGTGGGAAAGATTCCTGTTTTAGTAGTTAGTAGTGTAGTTGCGTTAAAACGTAAACACCCGTATCTACAGCCAGTGTTTGGTTAGTCCGGACTGGCCTACTGTAGAAACGTGGCGGCTCAACATGGCGGACTCCATGGAAGGTGACATGTACCATCAGCAGATATAAAAGAGTCATTATAAAGTAACGATAAAATAACAATTCCTATATTCAGGAGATTATACACTGATGCAAAAATGTGAACTGAGTATTCATGTAAACAAGATAAAACCATATACATTACATTTTGTTTAATTAGCCTGAATGTTGAACTTCAGGCTATGTCCATACTGATGTCCATATTTGTTATCTCCTATTATTTTGTGCAAAGTCAGATATATGGAAGCTTTCTGGGAAATACAAGTAGAGATACAGAAACAAACACAAACAGTTGCTCAATATAGTGAAAAATCAGCTTGTCTCCTCAGGAAATCATCATCCTCATCTTCATCATCCTCACAATGCCGTCCATCAGTGTGACTCAGGTGTTCTTGCTGTTGGCCCTCCTCCATCTCACCACATCACTTCCTGTCAGGTACCATCACCTGCACACATCTCACAGACACAGCCTAAGAATCAAGACATCTCTCCCAGATTTTTCTGATATTGTTGTTTGTATTTGTTTAAATGTTGTGTGTCGTCCTGTCATGTGACCTCAGTGATGAAGATGAGGTGGAGAGTTTCCTGACTCAGATCAGACACCTGAACACACCGTGGTCTCTGTCAGGGATGAACTCTGGAGACGCTCTGCTCGAGGCCAGACTCAGGTGAGTTCGGATTAAACATTTTGGTGAAGAAAATGAATCCTCACTTCCCCTCTGGAGCCTGGAGCTCATTAAATTGCCCCTTAAAGTGTCTAGTGTTGATATTGTGTGAAATGACAATGTCAAAACAATGTGAAAAGCTCTAAAAACCCATTGAATATATTGAGTATATGGATATATTGTGTATTGTGTTGTGATTATTGAGGTGAATGTGTTACAGGCAGCTGCTGTCAGCAGGTTTGGACCGCAGGAGGCAACTAGGAGATATCGAGTTCTCCAACAGATACGCAGAGTTTCTGCGATCTAAGGCCAAACACAGCTCCATCTGCGCCTTCCTGCGCCGCATGCAGAGTGTCAAGAAGAGGTGTGAGACACACACATCAGACACATCACAGCAACAGTGACACGCAGTACAAACACTGAGATACATGTTACAGTTATAACATCAGAGATTAAAAATACATATACACTGAAGGGATTCATTTCCTCTTAGGGTGGGGGGTGTATCACTTTCTCACCTTTATGGTTTCAGTTTGATTTATTCACTAAAATCTGAAGAGGAGAAAAGAGAAGTTGATAAAAAAAAATGATGTCCATCTAGGTTGCTTTTAATTATCCCTGTGCATTCATAGCAATTCACTCCCTGCTCCCTTGGACTGACTAAAGGATCTTACAAAAATCCACTCAGATATTTGTTTTAATGACAGAAATGTCACGCTCAAATAATATCTTTCGTTGTTGTAGTAACAACATACTTTTATACTACTTTTATATAATACTATTATATACTTTCTAAAGAGGTAAGATAAGATATTTTTTTTCTCCATTACCCATTCAAGATAAATATCAAATAACAGCTGTGGGATTAACAGATTAACAAATAAAGGCAGAAGGTGGTGAAGTTATCATATCCATGATAAATTCAGTATAATGGAATTGGAGGGGTTCTGCCCTTGAGCTGCTCTGCTTAACAGCAATTAGAAAAACAAATTTAAAGAATCAGTGAATGAAAATAGTGTTAGGAAGGCTCTGTTGTACTGATGGAATTAATGCTGTGGAAATGTATGTTACACTAAACGCATTAAGACAACAGGTAAACATGGTGAACGAGAACTGGGACGGATCAGAAAACAGGGAGGCTTCTTACTAAAATATGACTGAATATAATTGAGAGTACTAGAACTAAAGGCGTGTCTCTGACTGATTCAAACAAACGCCTGGTTCTCCCTGCAGGTGAGGTTAATAAAAAGCACTGGACACTCTTTAAAAACTAAGATTATAACATTGTTCTGCACGTGCACATACACCCACAGGAGCCATAAGCATGCTGTTATCATGGAGGCCTGCCACATGGTCAGGTGCCCCTCAAGCAGTTAGGGCCACCCTCTGGTTCCCAAGTCAAATACCCATGGACTGAGCCCCCAAACTATGGTCAGGTTCTTTAAAACCAATAAAGCCAAATTAAAGTTCCTTAACTTTAAAGGTTTCTTCTTTCTGTACAACAACATCAGTTAGTAAGTTGTATGTTGTTATAAAGAGAACAGTTGTGTGTGTGTTTAACTGTCACTGTGTTTTTGTCCACAGTGGGGTGGGAGGAGACATGGAGCGAGTGAACCTGCTGCTGAAACAGTACATGTGCCCGTCGGTCTACAACAACTGGCCGACTGACCTGTAGGCCTAGAGTACACTCAGAGACGGATTCAAGCTGATGTAAGAAGGACAAACATGTTACTGATGTTCTGAATGAATGCAGCTGTTATCATATTTAATGTGGAAACACAGATATCTTTGTTATTAAAATATGTTTTATGAGGTATTCATGGTGTTTAGTGTGTTTACTGTGTGGAGCATTTCACGTTCACTCACACCATTTATACACATTCAGTTTGATGAGTGGATAATAACAAACACTGGAAGTCTTAAAAAGGACATATTGAGTTATTGATCTCAGTGAAAGGAGCAAACCATTCTGATGTATTGATTTTTAAAATGAGAAGAATGAAGTTTGTCTTGAGGGTGGCACGAGAGTGAAGGTCATGAGGATCATTTAACTCTCTCTCTCTCTCCCTATTTCTTGTCTAATAAAAGGAAAAAAGCCCCCAAAGGGGTGAGAAAGAGAGAGAGAGAGAGAGAGGCAGAGAGGGAGACAGACAGACAGACAGACAGACAGACAGAGACAGAGAGAGACAGACAGAGAGAGGTGCACAGCAACAACAGTAGCAACAACTACACTAATAGTAGTGACTGATGATGATGAACATGAAGAAGATGATGACGATGACGACAACGATGGGGGACAATGAGCAGTGATTATAGTAATAATAGTAATTGTAGTTATAATAATTGTAATAATAATAACATAATATTTCAGTAATATTAGCAGTGGGGGTCAAGCAGGACCATGGCAGGAGGCTCCACCAGGATCCAAAACCTAAGAAATCGGGGAAGTGAAGAGTAAATGCATAAGACAGAATGGTGAGAAAGAGGGAGGGGAGAGGAGCTAGTGCATAGGATTTTCATTATATTCCCCTCCCCCTGTCACTTCCCCTCATTTCTACAGCATGCCGGGGCCACTTGGAGCGTGGAGGGAAAGTGGGCGGGGGAGGAGCGGGGGATTTAAATGAAACACACTTGCCCTTACTCGGCGTTATAGCGGCAATGACGTAAACTGCAATGCATTGTGGGTGATATCCACCTCGGAGTGACCATCGTTGTTCACTCGCTCCCTCAGCCCTCCGAGGGTCCATCTCACCAAGTTCACTTCAGTTTTCCAGACAATTGTAACGACACTTCACATTCCACATGATGCCGGCGGGGATTCCCCCGAGGGCAAGTGAACGAGGGCGCGTTGAACGACTAATGAAACGCAGCCTAGGCCTATAGCAGCATAACTAAGGGATGGTTCAGGACTCACCTGATCCAGCCCTAACTATAAGCTTTATCAAAGAGGAATTGTCTTAAGCCTACTCTTGAATGTGGTGAGGGTGTCTGCCTCCCGAACCACAACTGGAAGCTGGTTCCACAGGAGAGGAGCTTGGTAACTGAAGGCTCTGGCTCCTGTTCTACTTTTAGAGACTATAGGAACCACAAGTAGCCAAGCATTCAGAGAACGTAATGTTCTAGTGGGGTAATAGGGTACTATGAGCTCTTTAAGATATGAAGGGGCCTGACCATGAAGAGTACTTGAATAAAGTGAATATTAACATTAACATTGTAGAAAATAATAAAAACTGAGATTTTATTTTATTGCTTAACTACTATAGCTTTGTCTATACAATGTAAACACAAGCCTTTAGGCTCTGACTGCAGCTTTAAGTCTCAAGCTATCTGCATCATGGCTCCCCAACATTTCCTTTTATACACTTTAAAGTACTATTTATTCTATGGCTTTACTGAATACTTGATGGTTATTATTTATTGAGAGGTCTGCATCCATATTGCCCAGTATGCCCAGCTAATCAACATTTAAATTCAATATTAAATCAATAGTCAATGTCAATCTCAAACTACAAAACTGTAACTAAACCTTGACTGAGAGAAATAGATAATCATTGTCTTGTATAAAAGTTCTGTGCGTCTGTGAGGAGAGCCATCGCACCCATATATTGTCTGCTTGAAAGCACGAGTTACATTTTGTGCATGCGCGTGTGAACAAAGCCCGTGCCATCTAATCTTTACCGAGCTGCAGTTAATAAACACCGCTGCGTGTTAGTGTTTATCAAACATAATAAATAGTTGTATTTTACAGCCCCGGCAGACCCGTACAGACAGAGAGCCACACTGTGCTGTTAGTGAGATAGACACAGAGGACAGAGGTTCACTGCACATGTACTGTACATGTTATTATTTACTGACATCGAACTTAGAGGGAACACAAGTTTACCTGATTCCTGTTGCCACAATTCACTCTTGTGTTTTTTCCCCTTCTTTTTCTGAGAGATAGCTCTGTTCATTCTCTCATCAAAGCTGTAAACGTTGACACCCATGCAAATTTACATGGCCCTATGTAGCTTGTGTTGTATGCTGTAGGGCGGACCAGCTCTGCTACAAAGACTCTCAGTCATCCAAGTCAAAGTATATCTAGAAGTGCTAAGTAAAGGGCAACTTGACTTGCTTTAGATTCTTAAAGTTGTTTAGATTCTAATCAAAAACATCTTGCAGAATCTAGATCCAGGCCGATTGCCCTTCATTTAGCTATTTTAGATATTCCATTCTCAGCAATGTTACTAGGAAAACATCCTGGTAAATGTAAATAAACTGCATGAGCAAATTCTTAAGAAAGAAAACCGCTCAGCAAGTTGAAAGGTCACCAACTCTGCCTCCTCATGCTAGCTTAAAGTCCCACTCTACTCAAAAATGTGTTTTTCTTCTTGTTCCTACAACTGTATGTTTGAGCTTCACTGTGCAGAATGCTGTCTGTGCAGAGTTTGACACTAGGAGGATGTTTTCACATTCATCTGCTCAAAGTGGAAAGTTTCTCTGCTCACTGAAAATCTGATTTTAAGGTGTGTATCTTCAAAGTACCTAGGAGCATGATTTGTGACATCACAAATAGTTTAGAAGTCAGTCCTGGTCCAGTATGCAACTTATACAGCGTGACGAAGCTTGAAGCCACCAGTGCACAGACACTGAGAATGGAGTTTACAGTGAAGTAGGAGACATCTTGTGTCCAGCAGGAAAACTTTAAACTTTTTTTTTAAAAGTCACTAAATTTGCAAATTTGTATATTCTATCATTTTTATTGAGGTAGAAGTATATACTGTATATCTTAACACATGTCTGGAGGGGCTCTTTAAGCAAGCCCGAATTTGCATATGAAAATGTGATCACAAAGAGAAGCTTGTTAATACCAGGTGTAAATAGAAAGGCACATGGATCGGATATTACTAAAAACATCCAGGTATACTGTAGATGACATGTTAATAATAATTATTAATACATGTTTATTCAAGTTGTGTCTTGAGATTTGATGAATTATATTTCCAGCTGCTGAATGTAAGTGTTTCTGTCATCCGACTTACTTACCTAATAACTGTGATATTATTACTGAAATGTATTAGTTATTAACTAAACCTCTAGTTACTGAGGAGGAAGAAGGTAATATCATTACCAATAATATTATTACTTGTAATGAGTTACTGCCCACTGATAATAGTATCTATATTATATGACTCTGATGTGATGTTGATGCTTGTGTGTCCCATTGAAATGAATGAAGGTGTTGTGATGAACTCCGGTCTGGATGTGAATATATAGGTCATTAAATAAGCAATAAAACTACACAGTATAAACGTCAGTGACACGTGATCATTTCTTTACATGCAGATGATGTTGGTGATTAGTTTGTTTTTTAATCCCCAAATTGTTTCACTGTAATTTTTATTATTTATATCTGAGCAGCCTAAAAGCAGGAGAGCTCTCCCGGAACAGAGGTTACAGTGTAACCACACATCATGGTTTGAATGGAACAAGTTGACATTTTGTTTTTCTGAAGACAGAAGTAACAGGTCATAATCATTTTGGATACAACCCACTGAAATCTGACCTTCCACATTCAATATATTTATGAGGTCTAACTATGTTTTATTCTCTGTATTTAGGTGTTGTTATGAGTATGTTTGTTCCATCATTGTTGTCAACCATAAATGGAAACCAGGAAACATGAACTCTTGATCGAGGGACAGAGGAGAGGAGGCTCATAGAGGTTCTTATATGAGGACATATAGTTGATAGAAAACTTCATTGATCCTATCATTAATTCTTTCCACTTTCCACTCCAAATCTTTCAAATAAAAGATAATTCAAAAAAGGAAAGAAAAAAAAGATCTTATGTGACTTCCCGGCAAACAGAAGTGTGTGTTGTGTTTTTATGATGGGGAGAAAGTCCACTTCAGCCATAAAGCCGAGGTGATAAGCAGAGAACAGAGACGGATAATGATCAGTTCAGACAGGACGGACGGAGACATGGACGGGCTTTGTCCACACTTCACTATGAGGACGTTCTTCAGCGTTCTACTTCTGATTGTGCTTCAAACATCCACTGAGGCCCAGTCCAGTGAGTACTGAAACCTGCTGGTTCAACCGAGGCCTGTTTGTTTTACCTGACTCAAGTTTTTTATTTTATCTGTTTATTTGATAGGGACAGAGCCTGTAATGAACATCGACATGAAAATGAAAGATATAAACAGGCTGGAGTTTGCAAGAATGCCAATTTACATCTGTTATGTTATAAGGAGTTCGGTCTACACCTGCTCTATTTGGAAAGTGTCCTGAGATAACTTCTGTTATGAATTGGCGCTATACAAATAAAATGGAATTGAATTGAATTGAATTGAATTGAATTGAATAGTCCCAAGAAAGGTAGCAAAAATAGAAACATTACAAGTGACAGTACGGTATACAGATACAATGCACACGTAGGAAAAGACAGAATACATTATCTAAAGTTAAAAGTGACAACAGATCCCGTTGTGTCTCAGCTCAGTACTGGGCCTTGTTGACAACACATTTTTATTGAGAATATAGAGAAGTTTATATTCTGGGTGGGTCTTCACTTCCTCAGATGGTGGGAGTAGAAGTTTGTGTTGATTCTTGCAGCCAACAACAGAGAAGTTGGCGAGGTAGATTCAAGTGACCCTGACCTGACGCCTTCAGACTGCGGTGGCAGAAGCAGCCTTCATGTTTCAGTGGATTGTGCAGCTTGTGTTTCCTCCTGCTCAGACAAACTTGTTAGCAGAGGGTCATACTCGGACCCCCAAGAATTAGTGGGAATGATCCTTTTTGCATCAGACATTTTATTTTCACTGAAGAAAACTATTAAAATCATGATGATGAAAAATTGTTGGCGGTCTGTACCAAACAAACATGTTTTCTTACATCTGGAGAACATTCATTCATTATAATGCTGTTTTGCCAAACATTTCATTTGCTCGAACTTGGTCATACTGCGATTTTGATAATATTTCAATTAATTGTGCAGCCCTATATTTTACCACAGCTGGGACAAAGTGGATGTGGAAATAGATCTCATTTGTAGAATGGAGTGGCCGACCACCTTTTTTATTGGTTTGTTTTTAGGTTCAACTACTGCTTAAAGAGATCGATAAATTGACGTACAGCTGTAATTCCCATCTCAAGTGAACACAGAATAAAATCACATGCATTGTACTTGTATGGTGCGACCATTTTTTAGTCAGAACATAACTCATAAATACGTTTAAACATACAGGTGATGCAACAGTCTGCAGGCTTTTATTTCTCTCTTAACCCTCTAAACTTTAAAGTTGTTCATGTTTTTGAGCATTAGGCTAGCACTTTGATTTTTCAACACACAGAGATGAAATTAATAACAATTTTCTAATCTGACTTTGGAGAAGAAAGAACAGCATTTTGCTAAATGTTGCTACGGTCTCTGTGCTGTGTTCTTCTCTCCCAACAGTCTGCTCTGTTCCTGAGTCTGTGAACTTTGCCGAAAACAACATGGTGGATGATACCGTGGCAACTATCACTCTCCAACCAAATGTCACTGTCAATTTCAAACCACCTCCTGCAAATCCCAACAACCCATTCAAGCTTGATGGAAACCAGCTGATAGCAGCAAGGGTGTTGGACTTTGAGGTACCGTAGGTCATGTCTCATAGCACCAGATCCAAACCCATATCTCAGTTCAGATTTTGGTCTGTGAAAATACCTGGCTGTTTAGCATGTAGTTTGTTGTGTTTGCAGACTGCAGAAACTCATGTTGTCGAGCTCACCTGCACTGCAACCACAGGCCTCACGGTAAAACTGTCTTCATACACTAAACATGTTCAACCGAAATGTGTGAAATCTGCATTATACTGTACTAATTCTAACTTTTAATGTTTCACTTTGTGGTGTGTTGAAACTGTTCAAATATGATGATGATCATGGTGAATTGTTTGAATTGCAACATGCAGATAGACACAGACTCAACATAAATGAGGGAGAAAGAAGCAAAACAGCACTAAGGGACCTATTTTTTCTGAAACCTCTTGAAAGGCTTGAAGAGGTTCTCTAGGTTCCTAAGGAGGACATAGATGTTCTTGAAGAGGTTATACAGGAACTTAAGGAACCTGTATTTTTCTGGAGAAGGTCGTACAGGCTTTTGAAAAGGTTGTCTGTGTGCTTTAATGGGTTCTTGAGCAGATTCTTGGTACTTCTTGGAGGTTATAATGATTCTCCAGAGGCTTGACAAGGTTGTACACCTTCAAGAGAAGGTTGTACATGTGCTTGAAGATTTTATACAGGTGCTAAAGGAGGTTGTTTGCATTCACGAAGAAGTTCTCAGAAAGGTTCACCAGGTGGTTGAAAATGTTTTACAGATTCTTGAAGATGTTGTGCAGGTTCATAAAACATTTTAAATGTGTGTGAGGAGGTTCTCCATGTGCTTGGAAAGATTTATTTATACAGTCCATAGTTGCAGAGATTGTGAAGTGGTTCTTGATGACGTTTTAGAGTTTCTGTTATTCCACATATTAACACAAGTAGGTCATGCAGACAGAAAATCCTTGGTATATGATATATGATATCAGGATCTATATGCAGCTCAAAGACGTCAGATTTTTTTTTTTAGTAGCATATTATTTAAAAGTTGTTGTAAAAATGCATATTAGTCATAAATAATATAAGTAGCAATATCCATATAAGTCATTTAAACAAGGATTGTTTCTTTGTTTCCAGTTGAACGTCATCATTATTGTGATTGTGACCAATGAGAATGATAACCCTCCAGTATTTGCACAGAGTGCCTACAGTATCAACGTTGACGAGGTAAGAGTCTGATAAATACATTTAACAAAGCAGGAATTCTTCATGATATTAGTTTTTTGTTTACTGTTTTGCCTCACAGAATCACTTTTTTCATCCTGACCAATGACAAAATGTTTTAATTAATTCATTTCTTTTGAAGTTCATCTGAATTTGTGTTTTTGCAACATTATCTCGTTTTTAAATCGCAGATGCTCTGGATATTGCTTTGTAGCTAAATTACACTATATGGCCAAAAGTTTGTGGACACCATGTCTATATATTTTTTCAAACTGTATGCGTGCGCGGTGCACCCATATATATTGTTGCTTGCACAGATTTTCCGCATTCCAACTTCAGCCCATTTCCTTGCACTCAGGCTAATTCTGTGCACTCATGAAACGTCTGCTTTCAGATTTCTTATATGGGATGAACGGGAATGCTGACTGGCAGCCAAACTTTAGGAGCTAATTCCTTTTCAGCACACAGGACTAATCAGTGTTTTAATTGAGGGATGCTACAGTGAATAATTGATTGACATTTTGAAAACTGTGTTTCATGTTAATATCACACTGATTGTTTGAACTGTTTTGTCCCAGCTGTCTCCTGTAGACAAAAGTGTAGGCCGCTTCACTGCCACAGACTTAGATGGGACACCGCTCTACTACAATCTGACATCTGAACTTGTAAGACCTCGTAATTATTTTTCCTTTGTTTCTCAGTAGGTCTGACATTTAGATAAATCCTGCTGTTGTTTTCTTCCTCTGAGTCAGATGAAATATTAATGTAATCTCCCATAAAGAGATAGGTCCAGAAGCAGTGGGAAACTAAGGCAGATCTAAACAGTGTTAAGTGTCCTGTTTGATTTCTGCAGAATGCCTTTAAACTGAGGTCAGCTACCAACCCGGATATCCTTGTTAAGACGCCTCTCGACTACGACAAAGTCAAAAATGTCCAGCTTATGTTATATGCTCAGGTGAGTGCTGTTCACTGTTAGTTCAAAACACTGATTTTGTTCTTCCAACTCAATCAAATCCAATATTTCTTTCTTTCTCTAGAGGTCAGACATGTTCTCTTAAACGTTAATGCAGACAACCGGCTCCTATTGTCCACATGTTAAAGGGTTCTTGAGGAAGACAAGGAACTGAATAGACCTTTTCCACCGCAGCCATTTTGACTTGAAATAACAGTTTAGTAGACCCAAGTGTAGCGGATCCAGTGAGCTAACATCCACAATAGCAGCACACTGACTCTGTTTGACCTGAATGGAACAGTTTGACAGATTGTCATTTTTCTTTTTTTTAAGGACACACCGTTGGAATCGCCCAGTCCCGGCCCTTCGTTCACTGCCTCCGCCACCATCATGGTCACCATCTTAGATGTGGACACCAGACCGCCGTGGTTCCAGCCCTGCACGGAGCATGAGGTCGGCGGAGCTTTGATCTGCCAGAACTCCGGCTACACTGGCAGGGTCAACTTAAACGAACAAGAGGTGCGACACTGCCATTGTGGTAACACTTTATCCGGAAAGTCCAGTACTGATTCGGAACCGTCAGGGGACAATTGAATACGGGCTGAAGCAATGTGATTTTGCCTCAACTAAAGTAGAGGCTAGGAGGAGCCAATCAATGAGCTCCCTGAAGATCCAGATATATTTGAAAGGAACTAGTTGTAATTTGAAGGCGGGTGAAAAGCCCGCCATCATAGCCTCCTCCTGGCTGCAGGGGTGGGCGATCTGGACAAATAAATGATATCACAATCTTTATAATCGCATCACGATCTATGATCTAAATTACAATCTTTTTCACAATTTTTGGCATGCCCAGTAGAGTCTACATTCGGACATAGCCAGACTTTAAATAGCCTATGCATTTCTACATTTAGCATCATTAAAACACAATATTGCACTGAAGATACTACAAAGGTTTCAAAATGGTGATTAATATGAAGTTGAAAACATAAGCAATAAGATAAACATGAAATAACACTTATTAAGTACTATTTACAATACGTCACCAAAGGAAGAGCCGCGTGAACTAGTTTGTCCAGTCAGCATAGCTGGCACCACTCCATTGGTTTGTTCATGTGGCATGGATCCACGAGTCAGTGAGGCTACTGGTTTGTGAAGTGTGGAAACATGAAAGAACATTAAATACAGTGATTTCTACAATTCACCTGAAAAGTGAAAATCTAAAATGGTCAGATTGCCCACCCCTATCCCACTGCCTCTGTGTCTCGCCAACAACGCTGTGTCTTCTATGGATCCTTGTAGATGCCATAAATCATACATATGGGGATAACAGCACACACTTTCAAACAGTCTCTTCTTAGAGACAATAATTGTGTTGCACTGGGTTGAGAATACCAAAAGAGACAGAAAAGTGCTTGAGAGAAAAGTTCAAACCCCTACTTTTGCACCTCACACTCACCAATCCTTGCGTAAAGACTGCACGATTGTTGAATTGTCGTTTTCAGAAAGTTACATAAATTGTCGGATGCAGCTCCAGCCAATTGCGCTGTCAGAATGGAGGTTTCAGATGCTGTTAAATTGACCATTGTGCTAAAGAACGACTTTCACCACTGTGTCAGACATATGATGATGAGTGTTTTCTCTGCAGATCGGAGCGTTACCGCTGAAACCAGGACCGCTTTATGCCATTGACGGAGACTCTGGGATAAATGAGGAGATAACATACTCGTTCCTAAACGGTAAACAGATTATAATAAACAGTGGTTTGTTTTACTGTCTGACGTGTATGTTTGCAGAAATAAGTTGTTGATTATTGGCAGGTAGAAGCAGCTTAGTCTGTTTGTGTTTTAGGAGATGCTGGCGGCCTCTTTCAGATCAACCCAAACACGGGGAACATCAGCATGCTGAAGCCAGCTGACGTGTTGGAGACTATCAGTCTGACAGTGCTGGTAATGTAAACATTCAATTTCTTTTGCCCACTTTGGCCACACATTGTTGTCATATGAGTCTTTGACAAACAAAAAATTAAATGTTGCCTGATTTTAAGCTTTAAGATTCTCTCACCAGAGCCATAGCAACCACTGATGTCCTCAGTCATATTTGTAGGAGGGTTTATAATGACATGGAAAAAAAGAGTTTACATTCTATATTACAAACATGATATATTTGTAGTTCGTTTTTTTGTAGTGTGATGCAATATATTTCGGACTAAATCGCTGCTAAGTCCAAGTTATTAGACTTTTAGTTATTGACTAATCGATAAATCATCTGGTCTTATAAAATGGACCTTAAAAATACCAGCAAATGCCTTTACAACTTTGCAAAGCCCAAGTTGACGTCTTCAGATTGTTTGTTTCATCATGAAATTTTATATATTCAGTTTAATATCATAGGAGAGTTAGAAAACCAGCACACATTAATATTTAAGAACATCATGCCAGTAACTTTTGTGCCTTTTAAAAAAATAGTTTTCATTTATTTTATGTTGATTGACTGATTAATTGGATGGATTGGAAGTGTTTCAACTCTAACAATACATATTAAATGCATGATTTTTGACTGCAAAGAGGGACGATTTAATGTGATCTCAGTTGGATTTGAAATCAAATTTATTTAGTACTGGATCTGGGCTTTCAAACAACAATATAAACCAAAGTGTAAGGAGATAGAATAAACAGAAAATGGTTAAATTCATTTATAACATGTGAATGCTGTCATTTTTAACAATGTATTTTAGTGAGTTTGGTGTGGAGTGGAGTCCTGCTTTTCACCTGCAAACCACCAAACCTCTCAAAGTCTTTTTGTGCTCAGAAACAAGACAGTCTGTGTCTGTTTTTGGCCTAAAATCTTCCATTGGGTATGTGTTTCTCTCCCAGGCTGCTCAGAAGAAGAACAGTTATCAGTTTGCCTCCACCCCCGTCACAATCAGTGTCCAGGTGAAGAGTCTCCACCCTCCACGCTTTCAGAGGTCTCAATATGAGGGCGTCGTCACTGCAGTGGGTGAAATGGCAGTGGATCCGAAGAACAAGGATGAGCCACTGAAAATCCTCGCCACAGATGATGACTACGTTGTCACTGGGGTAAAAAACTGATTCCACTAACTGACTGCCTACACTTCTCTAGTTCAGTACATCAAACTGTTTTTCTGTGTATTTGTTTATTCAAAACCACTTGGCTGAGGATAAAAGAGAAGAAAAAAACTGCAGCAGATGAAAACAGATCTGTGTGGAAAGATGAGGAGACTGGAACATTCCTCAAATGAATACATAAAACAAACTTTGAAAAAATGCATGTTTTCCACATCATTCATGTTTGGTTAAGGTTTGACTGATGATACTTCACCAGCTGTTCTCAATCAACTTAATAATAATCTAAATTTATATATTTTTTTTCAACTTTTCAAATTCTGGTTAATTACAACTTGGATCTAGTTTTGTCCATCCTTTCTAATAATAAAAACATTGTACTCAGTAGGTTAATAGCTGAGAAACACTGTGACATGTCAAGAAACACTAATCGTCTATCGATCAAGACGGGCTTTAAACAAACCACAACATAAAAACAACACTTTATTTAGAGGTCAAACTGAAAGTGTCTGGAATTATCCCTCATTGCACAGCTACAGTAAGTCAAGATGGTCAAAACTGAAGCAGGAAGTTTGGAAAAAACTTTTACCATTCAACTGTTTGCTCTTGCAAATAAGTTTGGCTAACCTGGGTGTTATGTCCAGTGGATGTGAGGTGTTTGGTTTTTTTTTTACTCTGAATATATTTAGTACTATTTAATCTTTATAGTTTGAAAATGCATAATACAAACAAAGTGTCTTTTATAATAGCTGTACATTTGAGATGTGGGTGGTGAGTTCTCACGCCAGACAACATGTTTGGTAAATCCTCTTAACTTCAGCTAATTGCACTGGCTAAAGCAGCTTCACTGTGAAAAAGTGTTTAACTGCGTATACGTCAAATCTGTTTTGGTTGTTTGATGAGGAAGTCTTCTGTCTACTCGATGTGCACCACTAACCTATTCATTTCTGTTCAAACAGGGTCTAAATCCCTACATCTCATATGACATTATTGGGAGCAGTGATTTCTCCATCATTGACGGCTATTTATTTATGACTAAGGATCTCCCAGAGGAGACGTTATCTCTGCAAGTGAGTTTACAAATCAAGCCAAACTTAAAATGACTGATTGATTGGTACATTTTCTCAATAAGCACTGAACTTCATCTTTGCACTTCCAGGTGGTGGCAAAAGACATGACTAACGACGACTCAGTTACAGCTCAGCTCTCAGTGGAGGTGAAATCAGGTAGGAGGAAAACCTTCACAGAGGGCTCTACTGAAGTTTTTAATGGCTCAATGCAGTATTATGCTCCTATGTACTGCTTGAAACATCAGCGCCAGAAAGAGCTTGTAGCTTGTAACATTGGGCAAATCAGCTCTTAATCCCTCCAGACCAAAATATCCTTGCCTTTCCTTACCTAATGACAGACACAAAACCTTTCCAGGAACCTTGTAATGAATTCAGGAAGAATTTACTGGCATTTCAACCAGTGGAACCAGGGCGTAACTTTAGGGCTGCGTAGCCTAGATCGGACTATCAAATCCATTGCGTGGGAGACAGAGGCCGACTCTTCCCTGTCAATTGCGTTTAGTTATGTTTTTGTTTGTGGTTGGTCTGCTCGGATGTCACCAAAAACGAGTTCAATTGTATTACGACAAAGACCTTTTCATGCAGTCTTGGTGCAGTTCTTTGGAAAACAGTTTTTGATTGGCAGTATTTTTATCAACTTAACTTAACCAGACTGAATGGGCCAACACACCTGAGTCTGTTTAAACCACACAGCTTCAGGTGGGAAAGCTTTTTTAGATTGTGTGTGAGAGAGCAAAAAGTTCATTTCAGCAACGTCTTTCAACTTCGGCAAAAGATGCGTGCATACCCTGAAGCTTGATTCCACTTCATGAACATGTACAGTAAGGACAAGAAAATTTAAAGACTAAAGGGAACACCCGCAGTTCCTGGACCACTGGCTCTTTGTAGCCAGTTTTTAAAAAAACCCTCCGGCAGCCAGGCTCATGCAAATAAATCAAGGTGAAATTTCACTTTGCAACCAGTCTAAAGTCCCTTTAAGGTTCAGAGAAAATAGGGACATAAAAGTGTGCTCTCCTCCCAGGTGTCACCACCACCGGTGTGCCTCTGAGCACTACAGACAGTATGAACACGACGTCCATAGGGGAATCCACCACCAACAGCAAGACCACCGACGATACCGTGTCCACCATCAACCCCAGTACGCCCACTGACCCCAGCGTCTCAACTACCATCTCCAATATGTCTACTGAAGGCATTGTTTCAACCACTAATCCCAGTCTGACCAGTGAAGGAAGTGTCAGTACAACTCACGCTCACACAGGTGGTTTTCTCTCAGTAGCTTCAGTCATATTAAATATTTTATATTACCTTAGTAAATCGTAGGTAATCTGGAATCCAGGCACTTTCTTGAATTGTGAGGGGGCAACCGAGTTCTTGTAATATTAGTGATCACAGTGTGTTCAAGTGCAGCCTACTTTGATGGAAAAAAAAATTGTCGTTGACAATCAGAGCAACCAACCACGGAGCACTGCTTTGTCCTACAGTGACAGCAGTCATGTATGAGAAGGGGCTACGAAACTTAAATAGACCTACCTTAAACTACACATAGTGTCTAATTTAGCCACTGGGCGACTCACCGCATAAAATCTAAACTTCGTAATTTGGGTCTACACCAACACAACACAATAACCCAGACCCTAAACCCTGTTAATTAAGTTACTTATGTTTAGCTTCTGTAATGTTATTATGCTTTTGGTTACCTTCTAGACTGTTTGGATTAAACTAAACTGCCAGTGAGCATAAAATTCACAATCACGTAAAGAATTCCTCACACCAAGAAGTCTTTGCCCATAAGACCATGAGTCTAATACTCTTTCTTTAGTTCTTTCTTTCTAAGGTTTAGTATTCATCACAGAACCGATTTTCAGCCATTCTGCTGGGAAAAAACTCAATCACTTTAAGAGGGACATTGATCATGAGTAAATATGGCTAGTATATCTAGCTATCTAGTATATCTATCTAGTCAGAATCTTTCATTTGTTACTCTTTAAAGATTCAACTTCCAGTTAGTTAGCTGTTTTTTGATGATAGCTGTATTTAGTGACCTTGTAATTGCAGTGATCATTCCGTCCGGTGGCTATGGGCCGACGGACATGGCAGTGCTCGGTGCAACCCTGGGTGTCCTGCTGTTCATCTGTCTGGTGGTCATCGGGGTGCTCATCTTTAACATTAGGAGGGGCAAAGCAGATTGGCGAAAAATCTACGAAACCAGCATGTTCCGAAGCTCTGTAAGTTCACATGGTTGTTAAAGGCAACTAAGGTCAAGTACACTAAGTGTAGAAACCTTTTCTAACCATCCAGACATACCTCTGCCCCGACATACGATTATTGTACCTTTTACCACATCTAACTTTTTGGAATCTGTCCAACACTTTTTACAGCTACCGGTAGAATTTCCATGAAATTTGCTGCGGGTATGAATGAGTCCTACTTCTGGTCATATAGCACAATATTCAATTTACATTTGAATACAGCTTCAGAGTCACAAACCTCCAAAAAGGACTTTATCTATTCAGCCCAATAATATTTGGAAAGTCTAGAAGAGTTGTATGAATTATTTTCATGTGTGCAAGGAGCCAACAGAAAGTCAGTAGGCTCGTTCAGCGGAAGTCTTTAACACACCTGCTTTCATACCACCATCTCTGAACACTGTATCCAGTTCTCCTTAGGAGGCTTTCACATCTGGGACCTGGACCCGGATCCAAAGTCCAGTTTATTTGATTAGCATTTAGGGGTCACCAGCAGGGCTTTAAACTGTTAATCTCTTTTTTAAATTGTCTTCTTCCCCTGAATGTGTCTTTCCACAGCTGGGTCAAGGTTCAGGGGGTCAGAAGGAGGGCATACAGTACACCAATGACGCCTTCCAGAAAGATGAAGATGGAGACAGCACTGGCTCCGGTGGTCCAGAGGGGGGAAGCGTAATGGCTGTTGGAGAGCCACAGAAAGCAGCAGGGAACTTCACGCCCTTTGAGGCTGTCATGACATCTTCAGTGCCGCTGCACGCCCTCTTGAATGACAACACCAGCCAGGCAGGCTCAGACAAGGCCGACAGTGAGAAGGAGGTGAAACCTATCCTGACCAAGGAGAGACGCATGGATGAGGGATACAAGTCAGTCTGGTTCAAGGAGGACATCGACCCTGATGCCAAGGAGGAGGTGGTCATCATTCCAGACAGCAGAGAGAGCGACAGTGAAGAGGAAGACGAGGAACAGCCATCCAGCAGCAAAGAGGAGGACGAAGACGACAACCCGCAGAAAAAAACCCAGAGAGTCATCTTTAACGATGCAGATATGGACAGCGGACTCGGGGTGAAGATGGAGGATCCAGAAGGGGACTCAGATGGTGACGAAATGCTGACCGCTGATCTGTGAGAGACGCCAAAAGGAAAGACGAGGACATGGCGGGAACCACCCTTAATAAAATCTAATGATGATTTATCAGCAGTCAGTCCTGCAACACTCAGCCTTATCAGTCCATTACAGAGGACCAGTGACACAGATCCAGGACTGAACACGCCTTATGGAAAGATAAATGAACATAAATTGTGAATCTGAATTGAATTTCCAAGCCTCGCCCTGTGTGAAGGTTTAGATTTTGAGTAAATTGAACCTTTTGCTACTTTTATTCTTTATGTATATAATTCATGTAGAGTAACCTGATTATAGGCTGCAGTGTAGTGGCAAAGGAGGAATGGAGACGAAACGTTTGTATGGACCCCTAGTGGTCATTGCTAGTATTGCAGGGTGTCAGTGGAAGATTAAAAGTATGTGTATTCACTGATTTATTCTAACAAAAAAAAAAATCAGACATGTATTTTAACTTACTTTTCATTATTAGATTACAAAAATCTTCAAGACACCAGCTGACAACCACTAAGGTGGATTTATAGCTGTGTGTTAAGGCAGTATAGCTTCAGTAGGGCACACAGGTGCATAGAGATACACTTGATATAACTTATAAAGACATAATATCAGGTAACAGCAGGAGGAATCAGCTATTTTAAAATAGTTTGTATCGCATCTACTTTGCAGAGCAACCAGTAAATATGGTTGGAAACTGGAAAGAGGAAAAGTCTGGGAAAATATCAAATTTACCTGAGTTACTGGTATTTTGGGTTAATTATTTACTGGTTGTGTTGGTTGTTCATTGCTGATGGGATATTTTATGTCATCTAAACCTATAACTGCACAGAGAGAAACAGCAGGTGATAAAGACAGAAACATCTGTGTCTGTGATAATAAAACCCTCCCTGCTGATAGTGAAGACTGTAAAACATTATGACTGAAACAAACTCTGAACTTCTATTCAGTAATCCACATTAGTTGTCAGAAATGTTTGTCAGCAGTTTCACTGAGAGAATTAATGCTCATTTTGAACTTAAGAGCAGAAAACTGATGTAAATAAGTCTGTTGATGTTTGACTCAAACCAAAATTAATTTTAAAAAATGTATATTAATAATAATAAACATTTAAAACATGGAATGAGGTGGTTTAAAATTACTTTCCAACTTTTGTGATTTTTTAAACTCAGCAAAAAACAAGTAAGTAATGAGTGGTTGACCAAATTGGATTAAATAAAGATGACGTGATGTAAATACAAACTTACTGCTTATATTGAATATGTGGTTCATGCAGTCAATCTCCTCATTTTATTATCAGAATATTTTGGTGTTTACACAAAAACAGAAGGCAAACTTTCCTTCTGAAACCACAGAGGAAGAATCCAACCTCCAGGTGGCGACACCAACTGGCCAAGGCCGCCGCACAGAAACAACAACAGGAGGCTGCCAGTGTTTTACATTTGATTTTACTTGAATAAAAAAATGTACATCCCCTCTGCACAACAGAAATCATTTTAGTTAAAAAAATTACACCTGTTTGTACAATGACACCATTTTATAAAACCATTAAATCCTAAAAGACACAACAGGTCGACAGAGAAATGTTCACAGCGTTAACGTAAACAGGAGAGAAACGAAACCTGAGGAATCACAAAGACAGACTAAGGAAGATAAGGGGGGTTAAAACAGTCAAGAACCGCAAAAAGCAAAGAGTCTGAAGGAGGCAAAATGGCGTTAACTGGCATCAATATTGCAAAAATTAAAACAGTTAAAACTTTTTAATATGAAACATAATTAAATACTACAAAAGACAAAAGATTTGGCAGCAAAAAAGCTTTGAGAGACCCAATCACACCAGTGAGAAGGATTAATGTGTTGAGGCTTGAGGAGGAAATAAACTACTTCCTTTATGCTGGATGTTTCAAGTGCAGGTTAGAAAATGATTTACTCACTAAAAGACAGCGTCCTCCATTTTGGTCAGATTTCTAACATTTTCATTAAAATGGAGTGAATTTGACATGAAATATAAGTAACACATGCTGGTGTGACAGCCATCAGACTTATAGTTAATACGTAGTTAATACACAGTTACAGACAGGTGGTGATCGGCAGGAACAGACACATTTAAAAATCTACATAACTGCACATTAGCTGGCTGCCAGAAGAGATGTCCTCATTATTCAGCTGTTAAGGACAAATAATAAGCATACATGTTTATGGATGTTAGGATGTCAAAGGAAAATCTAAAGAATATCGCAGACCTCAAAATTAAAACTTTTAAAATCCAAGCTCATTCAGACCAGATTGATAGCAATGTGAGAGCACTAATCATTCATTTAAGAGCAACAATTAGTGGTTTGCGCAAAAATAAAAAACTAAAACTTGTTTAGCTTTAGCCTGTTAGCTAGGGTTAGAAAAAAAGCTGAAGTTAAACAGAAGATGAACAAAAAAAGGTCAACATTTCAGCTTCTTTTAGCCTCTTAGCTTAGAAGCTTAGCTGAAAGATAACAGAGCTGTGACAAAAACGTGCATATCAGGTTATTATGTTGTTTTCAATTGTTAACCTTAAGCCAATTAGTTTCAAGCTATAGAACAAAAGCTAAAGTTTAAACAAATATCTGATTTTAGTTTGTGGCTTTTTAAAGCTAAAGCATAATGTGAATAAACCATGATTTGACAAAACTTCAGTATTACAGTTTGTGTCTGTTTTGTTAGCTTTAGCTTCTTAGCTCGGACAAAAAAAAAAAAAAGGGGGTAAAAGTTAATTTTGTGGTTTACATTAAATGTTGCACAGAAGCTAGTTCTTGAACATTCATATAGGGTACAGTCTCTTACCACCACGTAAAAAAACAACACACTAATATTAACGGACTGTAAGGCTTAGCTGCTAAGTACAATACAGAGTCATAATGAAGATTTTCCCTGAAGACACTAATGTAAATTAATATGAGGTTTAAACGTGTTTATCCGACAATAACACTGTAAAAACAACTTTTTTTTTCCTTCAGATGTAGGTGGAATATGATCAGAAAATCAAGCAGGCTAATCGTTTCAGCACTGACAGGTTGTGCAGTAAACTTTCCCATCTAATACATTACCAGGACAGACAGGACGCAGCAGTAATGAGAGAGACGATGAGCTGATTTTCTCAGTTTTACATTATTCTAAACTGAATACTTTTAGGGTTTCAGCTGTTCGCCAGGCAAAGCAAAATAACTGTTGTCATTATTTGTTTTCTAGACCAAATCGATTAATTGAGAAAATATCAGCAGACCAGCATTATTTGATTAATAATCGCTGGTTGCAGCTGCACTTTAAAGTTCAGTTTGGCTGTGATTGTTGACTCAAGGGTTGCAAATTTCATTTTTGATGCTACCGTTAGTAACTAAATTTACAGAGGAAGACGCCCTGTTATTGTTTGATACAGGTGTCTTCCCTGATACTTTATCTGTTCTTTAATATTTTTGTCTCTTAGTGAACTTATTCACTACATCAACTGCAGACAGATATCCATCGCACTCAAATGTCTGAAAACTTCAAAATATCCAGAATCCAAGTTGACATCTTGTTTTGTCCTGCTAACAGTGCACTTAGTTTACAATGATACATAAAACAGAGAAAAGCAGCAAATCCTCACACTGGAGAAGTAACAGCCAAGAATGATTGGAGATTCTGATTAATAAGTTAATTAAATGACACATTGATTATCAAAGTAGTTGTTGATTAATTCTGTCTTAAACTTCCCGCTGTAATATATAATCAGTTTAACAGACCTCTGTGGTAGTAAGCTGAAATGACACAACCTGCAGCCAGTCACATGACACAGCTGACTGATGAGCTGCAGGTGACGGTGTGTTGGTTCAGCCGATCAGTCTGAACAAACTGATCAATCACATTCTTCTTACATCGTAAACCACTGATTATCTCTGAGAACTTAACAACTGTAGCTTGAATAATGAGCTGTAGATGTTTCACATTAAAAGCCTGCCAAGTATAGGAAAGATTGTGCCCTTGGAAGGCTTTTATTGTGAAGCATCTGCCCAGGAAATGTTGAGCTCCACGGAGATTAGTAGGAATATTGTCTTCAAAATAAGGACAAAAACAGTAACATTTTGTGCATGTAAACTGAGTCAATGAGAAGACATAATTTAAATACCAGCAATTAACTGGAGAATATACAGTAAACTAATACTGTGCCATAAACTGGCCTATTTTGAGGGAACTTTCTGTAAAACTGTTTAAGAACAGTGATTAGTATTGGTTTGGCTGATTCTGACATAAAGTCAGTGATCTGTTGGAATCGGATAATGTAATATTACTGTAATCAGTGATTTAATGTCAGAAAATCATTTAGTTTTGATGACTAAGCAAGTATCCCTAATCACATGGAAGCAACTCAAACTAAAGTTCAGCAGCTGTGTGAAGATGTCCGGTGTTTGTGTAAAGGCAGCCATCTTATGAAGGTGTTACTATGTCTCTGGGTTGGTGGCTGTAGCAATGCCATTGATCTTCATGTACTGAGTGTTGATGGCGTCGAAGGCCTCGTCTCTGTGGATCATGGCACCGAACACCATCGGCTGCAACAGAAACAGAGGAACAACGGATTGAGCCTCAACAGAGAGGAAGCCTGTCAGTTTCTAGCTGCAGTAACCAAAGTCAGTGGTGGAAAGTATATGAAGTGAAGTATATGTACATAAGTGCCATACTTAAGTACAATTTGTACTGTAGATAAGTAAGTAGGTAAGTAAAGCTTTATTTATATAGCACCTTTTTGACACAGAGATCCAAAGTGCTTTATAAACAACAAATATACAAAGTAAATAAAATACAAGTATTTCTATGTTATGCAACTTTAGTACAAGTATTGTACTTTTTACTACTACACTACATTTATTTTACAGATATACCTACTACTTACAGTATTTGGCAAATTAAAGGCTCTGCACACCCACTCAGGCGTTTTCAACATCTAGTCTCATGGAAGTTGAGTGGGGGTCTGCCGGGAATTACATTATGTCACCAAAATCTATGTGTTAATAAGGATGATAACTGGGTAGGTTTGCCCCGGCCTAATAGGAACAACAAAACCAACAGAGAGGTGAGGGAGATGTCAATCAAACACTGTCTTACCCACACATCGATGCAGCACTTGTACAGGTATGTTTACACTGTAGTAGTGCTCTACTTAAGTAAAGCTCTGAGTGCTTCTTCCACCACTGGTGACAGTCTCCGCCTGGGTCTCACTGTTGTTTACATGCCATGTTTATTTTCACACGGCATAAGAGTAAACTCATTCTAACTTCAACATGAGATTAGATCATAGTGCCCGCAGCGTAAAAGGGCTCCTCCCTCTGACCCCCTTACCTTTTGGGTGGAGGGCGTTGCTATGGAGATCCCCATCCCAGATCCCGGCAGCACGGACAAAACTTTGTACTGTGAGGGACAGAGAAGACCACGCATCTAAATCCACATTCAAAATAAACTTTATTTTAATGAATCAGCATCAGTAACCGTTTTAAAAGAACGCTTACAACATAAAGAAACAATATGTTAATAAAACGCTAAATGACCAGCAATAACAGGAACTCATCATAAGGGATGTACAGCTTAATGAATAAAGCTGCTATATCTTCCTGCAGCAGACAAGATTAAGCAGATTTCATTTCAAACTATTCCAGCCAATAGTGTCTGGAACAGAAAATAATGTGTCTGTAGTTACTTCACTTCTAATGTACTGATTAATTTAAGATACAATTACAGATCATGAATTTTACTGTTCAAACGACAAAACCCATCATAATCTTTCTTTTTCAGATACAATTAAATCCTGAAAAACTGAAAAATCCAGACTGGTGTCAAATTCTCAACAATTAAGATCAAGCTAACTCAGTCAGGCATCTTAGAGGGGACGCTGAGACAGAATCAGGGACTCTGCTTACCTTCTGGATGTCGGTGATGTCGGTGAGTTTGATGACTTTGTTCCTCTTAGAGGATCCAGACCTGGAACTGGAGCTCTCGAAACACAGATGACTGAGGAGACAGAGAAGATTCAATTAATCCCCCCTTTACTTAGATTGAGTGAAAGACAGGAACAGAGACAGTGTCCAATGAATGTATAATTAAACTAATTACTGTTTTAATAAGTCAACCTGAGTGATTAAGCACACTGTAGTTCCTGATTGGTCAAACAGTATCTTCCACTAGCCAATAATATCCCCGCTTGCAAGTTGATTTAGCTTTTTGACCTGTTGCACTTGCAACGCAAGTTGTGTTACCAGAGGGAAACATTAACACAGCTGTTCACAAGTTAAACACCAGCAATAACACCTTTCCTTTGTATGTCTTATCTGCTTCAAAAGAATATAAATGTCACTCTTTCATTCAGTTACATACAAACTATTATTTTGGTGCTATACCCAAAAAGGTCAGTGGGTGGCAGCAGGATGCCTCCTTCATATAAATGAAAAACACATTTATATGAAGGTTTATATGTCTTTAAAAAGGTGGTTGCTAACAAGTGGCTACAGACTCACTTCTCAGTGACATAGAGGACTCCATTGCGGATGTAGTCTGTCGGTGTCTTCCGGTCTCTGTTGATGAGGCAGCAGCGCCAGCCGTTCTCACACACTGAGACACAAAGAATACCAGAACAAACCGGGTCAGACAACAGTTTACATCACCTGCTGCAGTTCACCATCAGAAGCCTTCACTGTAACCAGGGCGGTAGCTATGAGCACGGTCATGTTCTTGACTCCAGTGTTTTTAGATTTTGTATATTAAATTATTAAGAATTAAGTATTTCCAAGCAAAATTCTAGAATGAGAACCTGATCAGACCAGGTTTTTATCTGCTGTGTTTCAGTCTGAATCTGATCCCCGGTGCAGTTCCTCCCCTACCTGTCAGAGGGTGCTCACACTCCGGTAGATTGAAGACTTCGTGAAAAGTTCCTCTCTTGGTGCTGTAGTATCGCCCTCCGTCCTCGTCCCGGCTGACACCCAGTGGAGCTGCAGCACCGAAGCTGCCTCGCCCCCCCGCCGCAGGAACCTGAACATGTGGACAGAAGGGGGGCCAGACAGGTTCTGGATTAGCACAGTCAGAGAGTTAAGCTGCAGGCAAACAATTTTGTTTGTAAAGGAATTGTTTTTGCGTAGTTCTGTTTGCACACCTGCCTGCCTTAAATTTTGAATTGAACTGAATTGAAAAAACAATATGCTGATGATATAGTGATTTTTTAGCAGTGGGACTAAAAATGTCACGTTTGTTCTGAGGGTGGCATTAGAGTAAAGAACCAATGTAAACATTCATGTAAAAAAAGAAAATGGTGTAAAATCCTCAAAATGGTAGTAAAATATGACCAAAAACACAAAACAATTTTTTTTAACAAATAAAATGTTGATACAAACCTAAAATTTTGTTATGATCTAATCTAAGTTTGTCCTGAGGGTGGCACTAGAGGAAAAGGGTCACTAAAATCTAAAGGGTACAAACTCCTGATGTGATACATCAATGTGTAAACTGTTGGGGGGGGATTACACGCAGGAGGACTCAGCCTTGGTACATCGGCAACCCGCTGTACCTGGTAAGCTATAGGGGCCCCATTTTCTCTATATTTTTTTAAAGCTTTAATGTGTAAAGTGGTTTTAGGACAAAAATCTTCTACTTTGATTATAAAAATGTACTTCTTTGTCAAATAGGCAGCAAACACCTGCAGGAACTCTCCAGAAAAACAGTAATTTGATCACATTCTCTCCCGTGATTGACACATTTCACCTGACTACTTCTTTTTGTTCAGTGAAACATATAGATAGTTCGGATCGGTAAAACCCTGAAAACTGAAGTAAGATCTGACCGGAGTTTGAAGGAGCCACTAGAGGAAGAGGAAGGGGTCATTAACAGCTAAAGGATTTATCTTCTTGAGAGCAGGAATGACACATTTACTGACAATCTGACCTGTAGCTGTTGGGATATCTCAGCCTTAAACAGAGAAACAGCAGTCAGTGATATCAGTATCAGACCGGTCGGAGGACTCTACATCTCTAACTACAGTACACACTACTGACCTATAAATACACACAACACACACAGCAGGATCCTACCTGTTCACACTCAGACAGCTGAGAGAGAAAAACAACAGAGAACTGAAACCAGACAGACCAGAGACAACCTACAGGGACCAGTAAGAACCAGTAACCCACTGATCCAGTTTGCACTGGTCGACCTTTCCTCTGCAGATCTCAGATGTTTCAGTTATTTCTAAAATGAGTCTGAATGTAACTTTCTATTCAAGTTTAGATAATGAGATTAATGGAGGAGATTATCTTGGGGAAAAAAACCTGCATTAACCCTGAGAGGGTCTACTAGAAGACAACATCAGTGGACAGAACTTGTTGAGTTTCGGGGTCCAGCTGAGCCTGTAACATCACATCTCCTGATGATAACAGACTCTTCTGGAATTTCAATGTAAAATATCAGTATTTATACAAAGGTCCCCATTAATTGGGGCGGCAGTAGCTCGGTGTGTAGGGACTTGGCTTGGGAACCATCACTCCACCATCTCTCTCCCTGTTGCATGTCCACAAGTGTGAAGTGTGTATTGCAGCCTGTATGTGTGTGTAAGAATAAAAAGAGTGAAAAGAAGAATTTCCCCTAGGGGATCAATAAAGTATATCTTCTTCTTCTTGTTAACCGCGACCTACACAACAACCATCACAATCTGTGCTCAAAAATGGGAATTCAGGAATTTTTAAAGAACACTTTGCTCAGACACCAGTGATTTCAGACATCTTAACAATTTACAGCTCTTGTGTAAAGCTGTTTAAAGCCTCTGGGGCTGCAAAGGGAGCTGAATGAAGCGATGATTAAACATCAGTTGGGGCTTAAGACTACAAGTTTGAAAGCTTATCAGACCTCAGTAGCCACCCTGATATCTGCATGAGGCTACATTAGCTACTACTAGCATAACCCACCGAATCTCAAAACTATCGGTGGTTGAGGTGAAGAACTCTGTATATGGGTCGCCAGCTCTACCGACTGAGCTAACCAGGCACCAGTCTTGCATCAATTTTGATCTTTTTTTTAAAAAAAAAACCAGCCATTGTGAGTCAACAATGTTAGTATAATGCTAAATTGGTGCAGTACTCCTTTAAATACATATGATTTCCCATTAAGAGAGACAAACTTTGATTTACAGAATTCCGACTTGCGCATTAGCAAAACAACAGAACCGAGGGACTTGTTTTCTCCTGTCATGATGATGATGAAGCAAGCGACACACTGACTGACTTCAGACCAGCGTTGTGGTCTGGGAGCTGTATGTCTTGATGTTTCAGAGTGTGGACTGACCCGTCTGCTCAGCGTGGTGTTGCTGCGCTCCTTCAGCTGCAGGTCAGTGGGTAAATTGGTCCAGATGATGTAGGGTGTGTCGTAGCGCTGCCTCAGCTTGGGACAACTCTTAAAGATGAAGTCAATGATGAAGAACTTTATACCTGCGTACACACCTGAGGAGGAGGAGGAGGAGGAGGACACAAATCAGAGACACTGAAATATGAAGTGGACTCTTCAGGGTGTCATTCAGAGTATTTGCCTTACATTTATCAGGTAGACGAAAAACAACTCTTACACTTATCTGAATAAAAGTGGACAGCTGTTTCCTAACATGTTAGCCACAGTTACTGTATAAGCTGATAACATGTCAGAGTTGTGGGCCTCAGTTTCTTTTTGAGTTTTTCTGCCCCCAAAATAACAATTCCAGATTTCATCAGCTTACACCTGGCATTAGTCTCCACACCCGTCTCCAGTAACCACTTGTGATCAGAGCTCACTTCCCAATCAATGCAAATAAACACTATAGGGATGTACCCTAATCAAAATGTTGTCAGTCAATTGTCAGTTCTGTGGCACTCTAGCTTGTTGCTTTTACCTGCCATTAGCGTTTACGCTACAAAAGATATGTGGTCAAATGTGTCTCAGACCACCTCGGCAAGTGGTTTGAGTAATTGGATCACAATGTGTCTCGGTGGTCGTTTACAGTTGCATTTAGAGCTGTCCACTTATGACCAGATCACCTAAGACACATTCTAATACCAGGTGTAAAACAGTGACGTGTGTGTGTAACAGTGTACACTTTATATGACGTACCTATGATGAATCCCAGCAGTTTGTAAGGCAGCAGGCAGGAGGAGATGAAGGCCAACCACAGACCAACATACAGCTTCTGAGTCAACTCTGGTTGAACCCACATGAACAGACTGCGTGCGCGCACACACGCGCACACACACACACACACACACACACACACACACACACACACACACACACACACACACACACACACACACACACACACACACACACACACACACACACACACAGAGTATTAAAGATCCTGTATGTGGAGCCTCAGTTCTCTCTGACCAGGAACAATCAGTGTGCAGACAAACTCACTTCTTTATTTTCTCCAGGATGTTTGCCATCTTGCCAAACAGATTCTGTGAGGACAAAACAAAAGAACAGAAACAAAGTTGTTGTGAAATCTGCCTGGGGGTGTCGGCTGTGACGTAGAGGCTCTGAATGTCCGCCACATCTCACCTGAGCTTTCTGAGCGACGTCCAGAACCAGCTGGAACTTCTCCGACACCGTCAGGTCTTCTTTAGGAGGCTCCTGGAAAACAGAGGAGAAATAAACACTGATGCCTGTCAATCACCTGCACACCAGGTCCAACTGTTAAATGTTGATTCAATCAATTATTCATCAATCACGTCAATCAAAACAAAAAAGCGTCATTCCTCTATTTTACATGTAATTGTCGCTGTCTGTGCAGCTATTTCTTCCTGTTCACCTGTCAACAAACAAACACTGGACATCATAAAGTGGCTGCAGGAGTGAAAAGAGATTTCTCACCACAGGCTCTGAGACTTCAGGTACGATGCTCCACTGGATCCTCCAGCCTCTGAGAGCAGTGCATCATGGGAACACACAGGTATATATGAGATCATTTCATACTCACTACATTATCTGTGTGTCAGTACTGAAATAAAAAATAAATTAATAATAAATAATAAATCACTGAAACAAGAAACTTTTATGTGTAACTGAGTCATTTTTAAAATCAGTGAGGTGAGCCTTACTGAAGCACTTTATTTAAAGGTCCGGAGTGTAACATTGAAGAGGCAGAAATGGAGTATAACATTCACATGTTTTCATTAGTGTATAATCACCTGAATATAGGAGTCTAATGTTTTGTTTATTTTAGAATGAGCCGCTTATATCTACAGACGGGTCGCCCTCCATGGTGTCCGCCATGTTGAACCGCCATGTTTCTACAGTAGCCCAGAAGGGCCAAGGGCAGGGCATGCACTGACCTGGCGATGAGATAATTTAAGGAGAGGCGGAGGATGGCGAGGAACAGGAACATGGGGACGGCCCAGCCGTGCCACGCTGCATACATGTAGACCTGTGGGGAAGAAACACACACACACACACACACACACACACACACACACACACACACACAGTGTGAATCTTGAGGCAGTGTGTGTGGATACAGACAGATAAGGTGAATTCAGTGAAGGTGGCATGAACCAAGATGAAGACACATCTATGTGAGATGAAAATGCTTCAACTGAAAAATGTGTTCTTATCCTGAAACGTGTTTGTGTGACCAAACCAAGACATCCGTCATACCAATATGTATAACTCAAAACATAAAATACCGTGACCAAAAATAATAAAAGTAAAAAGTGCAAAAGACTGAGTACTTGAATCTCTTAAAATAATTCATGAAGCAGATTCATGATAAATACACAAAACAACAAAACAATCCTATAGTTTCTGATGTATAAACAATCGTAAAATGATATTATTGTTTCTTTCTCACATTGTTATCGTTATTTTACACATCTACATCTTGCTTTCTGCTGAGCATCAGTAACGTGCTCACTGTCTCTGTGTGGACTCACAATGAAGGCGATGGCCGACGTGTAAACAGAGTACCAGCTGGATAAGGCAGAAAGATTCCTCTTGAAGTTGGTCACAGGTCTGAATCCCCGTTCTGGAAACGCAACAACAGATCAGCTGACCAATCACAGACATGTATCACAACAGAGAAACCTTTCTCTGTATGTTTTAAATAAAGCATCTAAACTGCTTCTCCCACAAGTACACTATGTGGCCAAAAGTATTTGGACACCCCTGTACTTTGGTTTTGGGGCTGCTCTTTTTCTGGTTTGGTATATTTGATGTGTAAGACAGAAATACTCACTGAGCCGTCTCATGTTTTCAGTCAACCTGTGAATAAGAAACCAGATATTTATTTAGATTGAAGACAAATACAGCTCTAACACAATAAACAAAATATGTTACAGCTTTAGTTGCTTTGAATCATTGTGTTGTGTTTATCTGCTGTGTTTTCAAGAAATCACTCCTAAAGCAAGTGGATGTGTCCTGAATGGTCTCTGACAGTTTCTGGATTTTTCCGTCTCACCTCTTGGCACTCAGTGGCTCCTCCGTTTCCACCGTCTGCTCCTCCGGTTGGAAACGGAAATCCTCGATATAAACGCCGAAACGATTGTAAAGCCATTTCAGGAAGCTGTCAGACAGCTTGTCCTTCTGTTTGTCTGAGGACAGGAAAACAAAAGAGTCTGAACCAACACATTCATTAACACTTATTCAAGTTTATATACAAAGGTTTGGACCAAACTTTGTCCTGTATGAAAATCTGAGAGACGGATGTCTGAAAATGTGAAAACACGCGTTTTTGCGAGAGGTGGCGTCTGAATGATGAAGAACGAGCCCTGAGATTTGGCCCAAATATGAAGCTCAAAAGGCTCAGGAGGTCTCAGAACTTGAGGTAATTATTTTTAGTCGGTGCATGATGTAGTTTTATTGCCGGTAAAAAATATTTTTACTTCGTTTTAATTGCCAAAAGTTAATTTTGGACCCTGTTAGAAAATATCTGTTTCTTTAATAAAAAGCTGAATGTGCAACAAAGTGGACATTGGGAGAGAAGGAAGAACTTAAACTTTGTCTCCCATGGTGCATTTCAGCAAGACACATCCAATTACACAGCTTCAGAGTATGTTATGGGCATCGCGAACAACAAGCTGCTAATACAATCTGCAGCTTGTTTCCCACTGCCCACTCCCACAGAGCAAAGCCTTTCACATTTGCTGCTGCTCTGATTCACGCCTCTGTCTGTCTTTGGCTGAGGCTCATGGGCATTGTTGTATTTCAGCCAAACAAATGACTTCTCAGAGGCAAGGGTAAAACTGGTGGCTATAGCATAAACCTCTGGGTATAACACCTCTCTTAACAGTGTCAGTCAAATCTGACATTTTGATCTTTCTAAAGGTAGAATTTATGGCTGAGATTGCATTATATTGCATAGGTGTACCTAATAAAGTGGCCACTGAGTGCATGTTAAGTTACATTGAGGACAACAGATCTCCCACTTTGCAACTCTACTGAGCACGGAGCACAGATTAACTCAAAGGCAGACCTTCTACTAAAAGAGAGAGAGCGTTCTTGCAGCTCACCTGTGCTGCTGACAGTAGATGGAGGAGGGAGTGGGGGCGATGGTTTAGGTGTCTGAGAAGGTGAGTCTTCCAGGCTGTGAAGTGACCAGCAGACAGAAGAACAGACAACCTGTCAGAGCAGCATAACACAACAGGAACAAACCTCTCTGTCTGATGTCTCCACAATCATTAAATAAAGTTTTTATCAAACAACCACCTGGATCTCAAGACGTCGTTGATCTTCTGCTCCAGCTCGTTGCATCTGCTGCGCTCCCTCTCCAGCTCCTGTTTCAGTGACTCCACATTGGACTCCTCTTTAAGTTTCCTCAGCTCCTCCTCTGAAACAGATAAGTCAGAGCATTAAAGCATAGGTTCACTGTTTTCAAGTCTTAAAACAATACTCCTATGCCCATAAGCACATTAAAACAGTTGGTTGTTGTAAAAGTACATGTCCGTACGTATTGTGGAGACATCCCTTTCTAACATGCTTCCAATGTCAGTGATGGGGAACAAAATCCACAATCTTTTTTTGTATAAGAGTTAGCCACATCAAGTAAATATCTCCCAAAGTTATGGTCTCTTTAGTATAAAGTTTTATGTTTCCCCACAGTGTTTCCTTGCTGAGCTGCAGTGGAGGGATAGTGACACTAAGAGAATTATTTTACTTTTTAGATTTAGTGATCATGGCGATTACATAAATCCCAGCGAGAGAGCTGTTTTTACTGGTATGATGATGAAACCAGATCAATGAAGAAAAAAACGGTACTGCAGCAACATCAGCTTCAAAGCCTGATTATCAGGTCTGGACCAATGAACAACATTTATGATATAAGTTAACAAACTTGCTATAATAAACCTGTTATCAGCTGCAATAATTTTAAGCTGCAATCTGCTCTATTTAGCCGTGTGATGAGATTATACAAGGTGGACTGCAGCAGCCTTTGACGTATGGTACAGAATTTGGGAGGTAACCACACAGTATTGGGTCAAGCAGCAGCAATTGCATTATGAAGGGGCCTTTTTATGGCCTGTTATGGGACTAATACAGCAGCCAAGTACAAACGGACTTAAAATGTTGTTTTAAGACTGACTTGAAAAATTGTGAACCTGTCCTTTAAAGGTACCAGAGCTCATGAATTTAAAATGCAGCCTCTGCATCAGTGATGGATTTTAACACTCACCTCCTCTTCTCACTAACACATGTTAGTTTCACCACTTATTAGAGAACTTTTCTTCCTGGTTTATAACGTCTAACGCTGACCAAGCAGAGCATGAGGGGGCATTAAGTTAAACACTGTTACAACTGTTACTGAAGGAAACACAAGGTCCTTTTTCACCACTCTGTGTGAGTGTGGGTGTGTGTGTGTGTGGTCGGGTGGGGCGTGTCAGATCAGGTCAGCATAGTTATTAATAGCTGTGTGTGTGTTACATAAAGCAGTAGCAGATATTGATGGATTACCCAGCGTGCTGTTGTACTGTTGGACTGCAGTCCACAATGACCAGCAAATCAACACACACTGTTCCTGCACTGATTAAAAAGGGGCAGTTTACTTTTTTTTGTTTTTCTATTGTTTTTTGTTTTTTTTTTTGACCGTGATAGACTGACAAAATAATATTAAATCAAGGTCTACTTGAGCTTTACCCCGGCCGAAACATGTCAGTGTAGTAGGTGGGTTTCCATCCACCTGTTTTAATGTGCATTTTCAATTTGCGCATGAAGAACACTGAGTGGAAAGGCCACATATTTTAAGTTTAAAAAGTCAAGATATCAATAAGAAAGTTTTTAGGCTTGGGGGAAGTGGAGACGTTGGTGTATGAATTAAAAGAAAATGCAACAAGGTTCAATAGAGACGTATTCATAAATGTTGGCAAGAAAACATCAGATCTGAGTGGAGTAATGAAGAGATTGTAACCTTCCTTAAAATCAATACAGGAAACAAACACAAATGCCATATTTCCATCGTGTTTTTTAATTTTCTATCCTCCATTTGAATTTTAAGTGGCGCTCTTAACTATGTCATCTTGTTGCACCCTCTTCTTCTACTATAGTACAATGGCACCTGCCTGGAGCATTAGCGCCACCTACTGCCTATCTCGATGACCCAACTACAAGCGTACAGAAATTTGGATTTTGTTATTAAGATTTTTTGGTGGGAAACCAAATGTAGCAACTGAGAGGAAAGAGAGGGATACTGGAACAACAAATTGGCTCTGGGTCTGACTAAATGGTCTGAATCTCAGTGGTTTTTTCTTAATAAATGTTAGTGCTGTCAAACGATTAAAATATTTAATCGCGATTAATCGCATTAATGTCATAGTTAACTCGCAATTAATCGCAATTAATCGCACATTTTTATCTATTCTAAATGTCCCTTGATTTCTTTTTGTCCCATTATTTTTTCTCATTTTAATGCTCTTATCAACATGGAAAAGTGGATCAGCTTGCTTTGTGAAAATGTTGTTTTTATTGAAAACAACATAGGTATATACTGTAGTGTTCAATTTCACACTAACATTCTCACTTGGAGCAAATAATCTCTCACACAATGTAACACTGTCCATCAATAAAAGGGTGAAAAAAATACTTTGTCACACAAACAGCCCCTTCAACAGCCCTTTCTAAGGGATCAAAACATGGCGATAGAAAATAAAATTACAAAGTGCACATGTAAGGTAAACTAGGACTCAGCCTATAGTGCAGTTAAACCATGGCTTAATACGTTTTCAAGTTTGCTTTGAACATAGCAGTCAGGCTACTGCTCTTTATTCACCAGAGGCTCAACCCAGCCTCTTATTTCAGAAAGAATGAACAGTAACGGTTACCAATAAAAGGTAAGCCAATTACTTTGCATTAACACCGTTAATAACGTGTTAAACTGACAGCACTAATAAATATTCTTAATAAAATCTCACAGAGAAAAATTTACTTTGGAAATATGAAGATAAAATTCACAGATTTCATTCCACACATAAAGACCCGGATGATGCTTAAAGCTAAAACCGATCTGTGAACCAGTTACTTTGTTTGTAGTTTCACATTATGTAATTGAAGTTTTATAAAACTCCACACAAATTACAGTTCTGGTCAGACTACTCACGTAAGAAGTGTTTCTCTAACAAGGCGATTTCTAGGTGACCTTTGACCTCGTTGAGATCTGTTCTCTGGTCCTCTTGGAGAGCTGCAGAAAATGATCCTGGACCAGCCTGTAACACAAACACACAGACAGAAATATTAAATAACCAGACAGTGTAGAAAATATTATTGATGAACAGTGGGGGAAAAATCTGTTTCAAGAAACTAAAGTAACAGTAAACTAGCTTGTGGTTTTTCTTATATGTGGGGTGCCACAAGGTTCAACCCTAGGTCCTCCTATATTCACCTGCTATATTCACAGTCTATAGAGATGGACAGATGATACCAAAGCTCCAAGGCTTGATAAATTCATGTTTCAAAACATTTTGTCCGTGTTTGTGTCAAATGAAAAATACCACCAGATTCTCTATTACAGATCAGATCAGGTGTGTTTGTGTACCTGAGCTTCACTCTGCTGCTCTCCCTCCGCCTCCCTCAGCTCCTCCGTCTCTTTGACGGAGGTACGTGGCTTAATCACAATCTCCTCGGTGCATTCTGTGTCTGACGTGTTGGGCGACTCGGCCAGATCCAGGAACTCGTCCCGTCTCTGACCCCGGAACCGGATCCTGTCCAGATGCTTTCGCATGGTGGGCGCCGTGGAGCCAGTCTCTACCTACACATGACTGACAACTGTGCTGCAGAGACTGAAAGAGAAGAGGAACATGGAGAAATGATCCACAAAACATTCAATAACCAACTGAGAGCTGTGCAGCATGGCTCTAAGGATGGCAGTGCTGCTGTGTCAGTCCACCACTTTGGTCCAGACTGAAATATCTCAACTGTTGGATTGCCATGACATTTTGTACAGATATTGGGTCCCAGAGGTCCTAATGACTTTGCTGACCCCCTTACTTTTCTTCTACCACCACCACAAGGTTGACATTAGCATTTTTTGAGCGATTCAACATATTAAAATCAACAGAGACAACAGCCTGACAGTAAGGAAATAGATCCACTGAACCTGAAACTGGAGCTGGATGAAAAGCAGAAACAATAAACCAAAATGTCTGAAAATGAACACACATGTCTTCTGACTGACCTGAATGTGAGGCTCCTTCAACATTAACTGATCATACGCTTCACAAAGGGAGAGAGCACTCAACACGTCTGCCAGCTCACTTAAAGACGTATACAAACAGCAAATCAGATGTTCCACAGGGACCGTACTGTTTGTTCAGGGAGGAGGAAATGTTTCATCATCTGCTCTCCGGCCCGACACAGGGGGGCCATAAAACATGACTGTAGAGTCTGTGTGGACTCCAAACCCACTCATCTTAAACACAGACTGACAGACACACCCGTCAGTCAACACAAACAGGTTGACATCTTTGGAAATATGCTTATTCCCTTTTAGCCAGAGAGTTAGATGTCAAGATCAATACCACTATCTCATGTCTGTTAAATATGAGGCTACAGCCAGCAGCCAGTTAGCGTAGCTTAACATGAAGACTAGAAACAGGGGGAAACGGCTGGCCTGTCCAAAGAAAACAAAAGCCACCTATCACCACCTCTTGAGTTCACAAATATACACATTGCATCTGGTTTGTTTAATACAAAAACCAAAGCATAAAAACACAGATTTACAGAGGGTTATGTGTTGAACTATTTCTTGGTTGGGACCAGTAACTTACTCTCCACTTAATGCCTGGTAGCTGCATGACATAGTCCGGCAAATAACTGCGGCAAAATGCTAAAATGTGTTTTTTACATTTCAGTTTCAGTACAGATTAAATAAACAGAATATAATCAGAATCAGGTTTTTTTTGCTAAGTAGGTTTTCACATACAAGGAGTTTGCCTTGGTAAGTTAGAGCATAACAATTAAATCTAGAAAAATATTCATAAAGATAAAAATAGAGACAACAAAAAGAGACAATATATACAATATGGCCAAATACTTAAACAAATGAGTGAAGAGCTGTACAGGAATGTGCAAAAAACTGTCAGGGGAATCTGCAAGTTAGCAGTGTGACACATAATTATATTTGCAATAGGCAAAGATACAAACCAGGGGAAGTGCATTAATGTAATGCATATATTCAGGCTGGGCGGTGGGTTGAAGTATCGGATAAATATCACAGTGTATTAATTAGTGAGCTTTAAAGGATCTGGTAGGTTGATGCTGTTACCTTTAGACAGAGCCAAAGCTAGCCGTTTCCCCCTGTATCCACTCTTTATGCCACTCTATGTTAACCAGTTGCTGGTTGTAGCCTCTATCATACTACTTATTCTGTCCACAGAGGGACATCAGAAGAAGATCAGAGGTAGACAGCTGACTGTGAAAGACTGAAGGTGTTGTTCAGTCTGAAGATTACGGAGCCGTCTGACTGGACTGACTGCTTCTATATCTGTCTGAACATGTAGAATGAAATGAATTGGTTTGTCAGACACTGCCTACTGACTGACTGACTGACTGACTGACTGACAGAGACTGACTGACAGAGACTGACTGACTGACTGACTGACTGACGGGTATTGACTGACTGACAGGCAGTCTGTCTCTGAGGACAGAAACCAGTGTCGGTTCTGTTGCCACCTGGTCGGTGACAGCCAATCAGCTGCTGCTTACCTGCGGACCTCAAGGAGGACCTACAGGACCTCGACAGGACCGCGGGGTCTAGGTTGAACACACCGGGACACCTCAGAGGACCGCGATGAAAAGAGTAGGAAGTAATAAAGGAAGGAAAGAGAGGACAGATGAAGAGTTTCTCACCTTGAACAGAAAATGAAACAAACTTTCCCTCCTCCTTTCTTTCCAGGCGGTCCACACCCGTTACAAACCCGCTCCCAAACGAGTCAAATCCGCTCCAAACCGGACCGGGCTACTCTCAGATCCGCTCCAGATCAGCCCCCCCCCTTTCTCTGTCCCGACAGTTAGTCCAGATGTGGGTGTTTTTAGGGGGTGAAACCAGACCGTGTCTCCCTACCTGACACAATAATCACTGCTGTGGGCGGGGTGGCTAGCGGCAGACAAACAAGGAAGTGACGCCATCACGCTGCACTCTTAAAGCGAACGTCCGGGTCGAGGCAGGCGGAACCCAAACAGGCTGTCCTCTGTTTCTGGAGGAACTTTGAAGTAAGTTAGTTTGACAGCTGGTTCAGACACTGTGGTGCTGCTGCGACGGTGAACAGGTCAGTAGATCCAGCTGTTAGAGACGGTGTTGCTGAGAGGCGGACATGGTCTCCACGATCCAGAACACCGACGTGAAGCAGGTAAGACTCACCTGAGGCCTTATGGGTTCATCTTCTGGGGAACCACCGTGGATGTCTGTGCTAAAACTTATCGGGACCCCCATTTAGTCGATGCTGAGATGTTACACTGGATACGTGAGCCGATGGGGGAGCTACAGGAAATATCAGGGGCGGATCAGGGATCAGTCTGTATCTGTCTCACCCCGAAAGAGTGAGACAGGTGAGATCACATACCTGTAGAAACACTGCAACTCAGCCCCGACGAACATTAGAAGTATCACACTGTATTTTGTGCAGTTTCACAGAGTTTTCCCACCAAACTACATTTAAAAAAACAGGTATTTTAATGCCACTTCGGTAAAATTCAGCTCTTAAATAATTATACAGCCCACTATTGCACTAAAGTTCTTTAAAGAGAAAGTTAAAAATGACCGGTTTTATTATTTAAATGATTTCTTAATATATTAAAATGTCTGTGTAGTGTTTGCAATGTATGCCGAATTGATGATTATTTATAATATGATTTAATATACAGCTCCGTTCTTTTTAACTGTGATATACTTTAACCCGTTAGCGACGCAATGCTTAAATCGCATATTTTATAACAGGAATTCGGCCCGGAGAATATGAGGGTAAAAATTAGGAAAACCTGTGCAGAATTTCAAGAAAAGCTGTCTGCACACAACAAGCGACACTACTCTTTCAGACAGTAAAAAAAACCCCGCACAATAACATGGCGTTTTCTCCTGCACAAACATATGTGTAACAATATTAATTTAAAATGTGCCAATGAGTTTAAATTCAGGTTTCACTTCAAATTCTGTCATTTTAATCGCACTGTGAGCAGTGTTGCATGATGGTCCTGTTCAGGTGTCTAAGTGATTCCATTATGTTGTGGTTCGGTGCTGCTTCTGTGTGTGTTGTACTGCTGATTTCTGAATGAAGTGCAGATGAAGATCAGGTGTTTGTGTCTCCTCTGCAGAAAGATGCTGCTCGTGCTGCGGTTGTCGCGGTAACGTCTCGCGCTGTGTTTGACTGTGGAGTCGGTGGTGGCGATGACGTTTGCGGAGTGGGCGTGGCTTTCCCGCTGCTGCAGGTGAGAACACCAAAAGTGTGTTAGCCATCTTAAAAGCATGTATGTAATAGCAGTGATATTCACTCATGCCAAATGAATGACAACATCCCCCTCTCTTTGTGTTTGTAAAGTATTAAAAAATCCCATATGCAGACCAACAATAATTTGATTTCTAATGTGTATCTAAAGCCTGATATATCTTCTTCCTCTGTGCCATAGAGCTCCACTGTAGTCAAAAACTATTCCAAACACATCAGTGTTGCACTGGGTGACATGTTCCTACATCACCATGAACACACACACTGTAGTTTGTTTTGACTCAATCCCACATACACTGTCCTGCTGCCCCAAATACTCACGTGTTTCAATCTGCCTCTGAAAATAGTCCCCAACAAATGCACTATGTCGGCCTGTTTGGGTAATGTTTGCTAAAAACTACATTAAACAGCTGGAAATGACTGTTTGTTCGCATTTTTTAAAGATTTAAGTCTTCAGTGGGAACCAATGGGCCTGGAGCTCAGAGCCACAGACAGGGTGGGGATTCGGAGGTCCAGTGGACATGTTGACAATAAGAAAACTATAGAATAACACCAGACCGAAGCTTGGAAGGAAAATGTCAGATAATCTTAATTCCAATAAATTGTTTTACTCTTCAGGCGCTGCAGAGAGTGAATGAACGTCTGCTGGAGGAAAATCCAGCTGAGTCGCTGCTGTTTGATGTCGTGCTGATCACCACCAGTAGCCAGCAACAGCAGCAGAGCTCCCGCATCAGCAGCAGCACCAGACATTACGGTAATCAGTAATCTAACTTTAGCCTTCAGCAGACAGATGACAGTTAGTAGCTGATGAGTTGTTGGAAGTTTGTGGTCTTGTTGGTGACAGTGTTGACTTCCTGTCACAATGTCATCACCACTCTATTGCAGGTCTCGAAGTCAGCAGGTTCTGTTTTTCCAGCGAGGAGGATTTCATTGAGAGTTTACTGACAAATGGCGTGCAGCTCTTCCTGACAACAGACAGAAACGAGGCAACGCAAGCATCACAAAGTGGTAAAGAGTTGTGTTTTTTTCTGCTGTCATTTATCACAGCTCATGTGTGATGGATACGAACCTCCAGAGGCTTTTTACAGCGGATCACAGTCTCTGTCAGGTCGTGGAGCCTGAAAATCCTGATTTGGTTAAAGAGAAAATTAGATAAAACATTTATCAGAGAATAACAGTTTGACATTTAAAATGCAATCTCAGAATATAGTTTGATATCTCTGTCACCATACCATGAATGGTGCCCTTAAGGTGGAAACCTTTTTAAGCATTGTTTAGCAGACATTTTCAAGTAAGGTTTCAGAACAAGTGTCTGGCATCCAGAATTTGTTTTGCTTAACAGTTGTACTTTACTAGTCATAAGCATTATTAGCAATGTTGGTCACTTTCAAGTTGCGTAGTTTCCCCCATTTCATGTGTTTTGATAATGTGTTGATGTCTTGGTGATTGTGAAGTTAGAAGGTGAATAATCCTCTTTGTCATTGGTCCAGGTGTTCTCTCGGCGCTGCTGGACCAGCAGATTGCTTCCTGTCCTCCAGAGCAGCTCAGAGTAATGTTCTGTGGGGACGCCATCGTCCAGCCCGACACTGGCCCAACGCCAGCGAGCCGACAGGTCGCTCAGGTAACATTCTGCTGATACGTCACCTTTACTTTTTAATTCATGCAGAAGACTTCTTCATTCAAGTCACATTCTTCCTCTACAGAGTTTCTCGACTCAGCTTGGCGAGATGCGGCAGAGGTTCGGCGTGTTCAACAGCCCTCTCAGTATCGTCCTGGTGACATCTCGTGGTGGCAGGGAAAGCTGCAGCGGTGCCTTGCAGAAGCTGCGGTCCCGCGGCGTCAGCGTGGATGAGGCGTATTGCCTGGCCGGGGCCCCACAGGGCCCCATCGTGTCACTACTCCGACCTCACTTCCTGCTCAGCGAAGGCTTCAGAAACCTGGAGGAGTGATGACATCATGAGAGGATGTGCTGTCACATGACCTCACAAAGAACTTCACTGTCTTTGAAACAAGCTGCCAAACCCTCAATATGCACTTAAGTAGTTAATTGAGCCTTAAGGAACCAATCAATCATCATGATGTAAAGCTAAGTGAAGCCCCGCCCACCACCAAAATTCAAACCACAGGATTGGACGCTGTTACACAGAAGTAAAATGGGTATATATTTTTTTGACATGTAAACATTGTTTTGAGACAAATGGATGATATAAATACATCTAACAAATCAGCATGTGTGTAACTCTGTTATAGTCCAGTAGGGGGCAGTCTAGCTTTGATATTTCACAGAAATCTGACCAACTCTGTTACTGTTATTGTCTCTGACCTTTGACCCTTAATGCTGGAACTGGTGTGGACTAGAGTGGAGAACAGCTGTGGTTCAGATCAGAATTAAGTTAAACTGACTCCTTCAGGTGTTTAACCCCTTGTGTCTACTGATGTGTATGATACATTGTGGTTGGAATGGATGTGTTTCAGTCCTCCAGCAGACACGTTTGTTGAGCCTTAAATCAGACTGAATGCAGGTTTGCAGCTCATTTCTAATGTATATTTTAAGAGATATTTGTTTCTGTGCTTTAGTGGTTTTAAATGAGTATGCCACCTGATCATTATTTTCTGAAATGTTAAAACAGTGAGATATTCTAGAGCCCCTGAGGTCACAAAAAAATATGTTTTTTGTCCACACAAGGCAATAACTTATGTGTCTCTTGTCTGTCCCATTACCACACCTGTGGTCTTGATATGTGGTTATGGAAGATATCCTATAGAAAATGTTAGTTTTTTTTACTATTGCTGAAACACAGGGCAGTCTTTGTCCAAACTCTACACACAAAATATAAAAACATATATACATATCTCTTGCAAAAGCAAATCCTTTATTCAAAACTAAAAAAATTATTTTTGCATCACGACATTACACACAAACACCAAATAGCTGTCCACTTGCCACCTAAAGTAACAAGTTATTTGCAAGAAGCTGTTTTAGAATTTAAAACCGATTGTAAAAGCCGACATTCTGCTTTTGGTTTAGCATACCCAACTGTGCCACAAATACAAGTTTTTGTGTCTTAGCAATTGCAAAAAACTGTAAAAAGAAAAGGGAAGTACAGTCACGCATGTGGTGTTTTTGTTGCTGTGATGTTGAAAGAAGACCAGCAGGTGGCAGCAGAGAACTTCAGTCAGTAAAAACTGCAGCGTTTAAGACACAAACACACACACACACACACACAAAGAGACTGTTCATATAAAACAGTGTGCTAATTAAATAATCATTCTACAGTTTGTATATTTAAAGGTCAAGTGTGTAACATTTAGGAGGATCTATTGGCAGAAATGGAATATAATATTCATAAGTATGTTTTCATTAGTGTATAATCACCTGATAAGAATCGTTGAGTCCACCATGTTGAACCACCATGTTTCTACATTAGCTCAGAACAAACAAACCAAACAAGGGCTCTTGATAGGGCCTTACACAGCCACCATAGTTTCTCCTAAACGCTTCACAGCCCGTTCTCATTCCCAGGTTGTCAAATTGTGTGCTGTCTTGGCCAGTTTTCCCTCAGAAAAGACATTTAAATTAATTAATTTAAAAAACAGACATGAGCCATGTTCAGTTAGTTGCAGTCTGCAACTTTATTGCTAGATGATAAATCCGACACACTGGTTCTTTTAAGGAGGTTCCAGGATTCATGCAATCTATAAAGAGGCTCCATGTGATCCTTGGGGAGGTTCCAGCAGTCTGTAAATAGGCTGCAGCAACACTGTTTGAGGTTCCAAGAGTCCTTGAAGAGGTTCCTTAGGAAGTTGCAGGAGTTCTTGAAGATGCACTAGTGGTCCTTGGGACATTTCATGGGTCCATGAAGAGGCTTCAGGGGGTCTTGAAATGGCTGAATCCTGGATAAGACCCCAGAGATTCTAGGGGAGGCTCCCCTCAGCCTATTCCAGGTTCAGGGGTTGTTCAGGAAGGGGTCCTTGAGAACATTTTATAGATTGACTAATGGATGTAATCAGAGCTACAGCCTGAGCCTTTTACTCGTGAGAGGATGTAAACCTGACGGAGGCTGAACTGATGTCATCAGGAGCCGCCGTCTCATCTCTACTGCCACAAATTAAAACATGTTCAGTTAAATGAGGCAGCTCACTGTGGTAGTCTGTTTCTGACAGTCTCATATAGTCAGATGATCTGGAACAGAAAAAGACCTTGTTTTCATTATTTTGAGTAAGGTTTCTGTTGAACACTGCAATTACCAGCTCCTGTTCAGCTCCGCCTCCTGAACAAAACACATCTTTAATTTTAAGAAATGAACCTCCAGGAAGGTTCATTTCTGCTGCTGCCTGCAGAAAGTTTCTGTTCAAACCTTCACAAACTAATTCAGTCAGTTATTGTTACACTTCTCTTACTGAACACTGGTGCTCACACGTGTTTTAATTTTATTTCATCAGTACATCTGTGTATCATTTCAGTAAAATGATATCAAGGTACATTTGTTGTTGGTTTTCATTTCTTACCTGCCCCTGAGTAGGTTTGGAGGTCTTTCAGGAGGTTTCAGCAGTCCTAAAGGTTGTAGTGGTCTTTGTGAAGAGCGAGGGATATGTGGCTTTTTGAGCAGGTCCCATGGTCCTTGAGGAAGTTTTGTGGCTCCATAATGTGGTTCTGATGTCCCCAGAGACGGTTCTGGTTATGTTTTAGAAGATTCCACTGTCCCTTGAGGTGGTCTTCTCCCAGTGTTCCTTGAAAAGGGTTACCTTGTAGTGGGTTCCAATGGTTCTTGAGAAGGTCCTAGTTATCCTTAAAAAGGTTCCAGTGGTCCTCAAAGAGATCCCAGTGATTCTTGTAGAAATTTTTAAGGTGGTTCCTGTGGTCTTTCGGGTGGTTCAGGGGTCCCTGAGTAGGTTTTAGGGGTCAGTTTTACGGTTTATGGTTAGTTTTAAGGTGGTTCCACGGGCCCTTGAGGAGGTTATCACTGAATGGTCCTTGAGGTGGAGCAAGGGGTCTTTCAGGAGGTCCAGTGGCCTTAAAGGAAAATTCTTATTTATTTCAACCTGGCATCTACATGGGTCAGAATAATTTGCATTTGCCACCTCCATTGTTGAGATTCAGTTAATGAAACAACGTATATCGAAGCAAGGTGCACAAGCCTATTACGGCTTTCCAAACAAACATGATTGTTACACAAATCTTTTCAAGTCCAACAGAATAGCCATGTTTGCTAACTGCACAACAGGGGCAACTTACAATAGAGATGGTGAGTGCAAAGTTACCCATAGAGTCACAATAGACACATTTATGGTTGGAACATACTTAACTTTTCCTTTAAGGAACGAGAGGTCACTTAAGGTCATAAGAACATTTGTGGTGTACACAAACTGGAGTTAAATGTCACCATCAGCCAAAAACAGACACAGCATCAACTGGTCCACTGTCTACACAGCTGCTGGAAGGTAGACTAAATTATACTGTAATACTAAATTATAAATGGAGCTGTGTTATAGGTCTATTTCTGGAGACAGACAGGAGGTGTGTCCAGTGCAGCGCCATCGTCCCTGGAGGTTTGGATGACATCACTGCTTAACTGCAGTCCACAAGGTCTCCAAATTAAAAATCACCTCATGGCCTCCAGACCAGAATCAAATGAGAAGAGAGGCCCTCATCAGGATTTATGAAGAGCCTGTTCAGAATGAGTTAGAGTCAGTGATTGGAAACTAAAAGAGTTCTCAGACGTTCAACACAAAGCCAAACAGAGCAAGAAAAACATCCAGACCAAACCGGATTAAAGTAAAATAAATGCTGCTGCGTAGCAAAACTAAATGATTTCCTCACCGACCAATCTGTGGCAGTCTCAGTAGGAACCTGAATTCGGAGTAAGTCTGATCACCAGCTACACTTCTTCCATCGCTGACTCCCCTCTCCCACCAAACAACATAAAAATGACGTTGTCGTCCTGATTTCTCCGCTTTATTAATGATGCATATCATTAATCTAAAACATCCCCACACAAAAAGTGCCTCCTATCAAAGGTTCCTTAAAGTTCAGGTTCTGGGATAAACAGTATTACAGGTTGGTTATTACTGCAGTAGAGAAGAGCTGCAGATGCTTACATGTAGATGTTGGTAAAAAAAAGGAAGTATATCATGAGACTATCAGCAAGGATTCTCCCTCATCTTTTATTTTCTCTGCTTCCTCTGCTCTCAGCCACAGGCAGGAAGGTCAGGGTGGAGGGATGTGATGGAGGAGGAGGAGGAGGAGGAGGAGGAAGAGGAGGAGGAGGAGGAGGATTCTGTAGCATCTGTTGGATCCTGAAGCAAACTGTGAGGCAGCGGGAGAAGGAAAATGACAGTGATAAAACATGTGAAAACAGTCTGAAAATACTTACTGACTGAACTTTTTTTGGTTTGTTTTTTAACTAACAAATTATGAAATAAAAACGATATAATATCAAAGATAGTTTCCTGCACAGCTCAGTCCCATCAGACATGATTTTAGTAATATTGACACACCCCACCTATATAAGACATTTGTGATCAATCACGCTCCATACAATGTTATTTATACATTGTATTTATTTATTGATCAATAAGATTTTCAGTAAATCTTAAGTTTCCCAATTGATGTTCTAAATGTAAAATGAACCATTTTGGAGGGAAAAATCCTAAATCGTTTCATAATATAATTGAATTAGATATTTTTGGACTGAAAATGTTGAAGAACAAAATCTGATCTAGTCCTAAAAACCTCATTACTCATCAGGTCATTAAAGCCTTAAATTCCCAGAACCAACAGTGCCAATATGATAAATTATTAATTAATTATAAATTAACTAATTATTTACTTTTGTCTATGCTGATTGGCTCTGTCATTGTTACACTTTTACATCACAGACTTTGAACGCTTGTTTTTATTCTACATTAATAAACCATGATGCAGTTTCTGCTGGTTCTCAATCAGCTGCAGATCACTGAAAAAAAACCTAAACAAACAGAAGTTGTCCTTCATGTCTTTCACAATATAGTTCCTTGACATACTTTTCATAAAATGTAAGTATTAATAAGGAGAAAGCATGGAGATCCCTGTAACGTGAAAGCAGCATTTTCCCGTAATATATCATTGAGCTCACTCACAGGTTAGAGAAGATCTCTGCACCAAGACTGTGATACACACTAGACTCAAAACAGCTACAACACCTAGAAGCAGGTGAGGTCATTTGACAGCATCATCTCATTTGATCCCAGCTCATGTTTCCTGAGAGGCAGACTGATGTTCAGATGTTCAGTCTGACCGGCGGGGGGGATTTCTGACTGCCTGAGTGAAAACAGCAGCTGAGCTCTGACGTCCTAAAAAACACTCTGGATCTGAATGATGGAAACTTGTTCATACCTGTTCATACAGTACATCTGATTAACATAAACTACAGAGCGTAGGAGACCAGCAGTCTGCCTTATCAGTACAGTTTCCCGAGGGACCGAGTGTAACCTCACTCTGAAGACTATTTTTAGCCTCCTGTTGGACAACTGGAAGAGACTCTTGTTATCTGAAGGAACTGTGAAATATGTGAACCTTCGCATTTCATTACAGTTAAAACCTCTTTCTGGAGCATTCACGCTTTCCTATTCTTTGATGCTAATGCTAGAAAAACGCCACAGTGACCACATAGTAACACATGGACAACACCACAACAACCACCTGATAACAATGTGGCAACCACCCCAACATTCCAGGAATCACTGAGCAACCACCCCAGCCATAAACCAACATCGTATTAAGCAACCTGTTAACCTGTTTCCTTAAAACACCCTAGTAACCACTAGTGACACTGTAGCAACCATTTAGCAGCCAGTTGGTAACACTATTGCAGCACCTATGACATTCTCTATAAGATATTTAATATTCAAAAGTTAGTGACTTGGTTTAGTTGCACATATTGTTTGTTTATATTGTGGCTGTAATGAGCCCTGCAGCCTCTAGGGGATTGTAGCAGCACTTTAGACTGGTATTCTGCTGGTTGTTGTGTTTATAGTGTTCTTATTAAAAAGTGTGCAGGGATTGAGCACGAGAATGCAACCGAAGAAAATAGTTCATAATTTCACTTTGGTTCTAATCTGCCTCACCCGATGTGTCCGTCCTCGATTTAAAGAGGACCTGTTACGCTCATTTTGAGCTCTATATTTTTATTCTGGGACTCTACCTTTGCATGATTCACAGGTTAAAAAGCCCCTCTATTTACCCTCTGTCTGAAGCTTGGAAAAAAGCGATAGGAGGCACTAAATTTTATGAATTTATTGTTTCTCAAACCACAAATGAGAATAAGGTTAGAAAACGATAGACGCCACCAGAACAGAGTGTTTCATGGCCTGTGGCCTCACTGGTTACTGTACAAAAACACACTTTTAAAACTTTATTCACAGATTTTGGTAAAGCAATCATATTTTACACAACTCAATTCACAGTTTCCTGATAGACAGATAGCTTCACTTGTTATTAGCAGTTACTTTAGCCGGCTTTCTTTTGGACGGCTAGCCAACTGAGCTAGAGGCAACAACACTTAGTGGTTAGATACCCTAGCAACAAGTAAAACAATCTGGCCACATAAAGAAATCTATGATCTTACTGTACGTAAGGTTGTTGTGACAGTAGAAAAAAGGAACATATTTTTAAATACGTTTGCATCATTATTTCAAATTTGTCCACATTTAAAACGAACATGTGACGCTGTAACATTATATATGACAGAAAATAAGGGCAAGCATAACAGGTCCCTTTAAATAAATCCAGATGTTGAGACTAAACAGTGACAGAGATTTCCAGCAGTTTGCTCTCTGAGGGGGGATTCCTCCTCTCTGCCTTCTGGCCCTGCAGCTCTCTGCTCAGTTTAACCCTCAGTCCTTCACTTTACACTGCAAAAAATGTCCCACCAACATGTTTTAGCCACTAAATCTCTCCTGGACTTTGACTCTGACTCTTTATTCCCCACAGACACTTTGGTTTAAACGGCAACAAAAATTCCTTCATAGTGGAGATCACAAAGTTTCCAAATATATTATTTATTATCAATATTTCAAGGGGTTCCTTTTTTTATAGTGAAAACCATGGTGGGAAGTAACTAAGTACATTTACTCAAGTTCTGTACTTAGGTACAATTTTGAGATATTTGAACTTTACTTTTTCCATACTCGAGTCGACTTCACAGGGGAAAGTGCACATTTTACTTCACTACGTGTCTTTGACAGCCCTGTTTGTTTCTCTACAGATTCAGATTATTAATACAAAATAATAATGGCCCAACATTAAAGTGATGAACACATCAATAATAATCCAGTAATATATTATTATAATTCTGAAATGGGACATTCTGTAATGAGGAAGAATACTCTTTGTTCTTTAAACATATTTTGATGCTAATGCTTTACTTGTAACAGAGTATTTATAATTTGTGGTATAATTTTACTAAAGTAAAATATCAGAGTACTTCTTCCACTACTTAAAATTCATATGAACTTAAACTGTGTAGATTAATTAAAATAATCCTATTAAAACAACGTAATTGATGTGTATTATGCTGCATATTCTATTGTATATAAATATCAATTTCACTGCGTGTTGTTCCCGGCTGTGACATTTACTGTCCTCTTTCATTTTAATTAACTGTTAAATAAAGTAGTGGATATTTTTTGCAGCGGACTCTCCTCTCCTTACACAGGCGCGTACAGATGAACAGACAGACAGACAGATGGGCAAACTGTGTCTCCTGCTGGAGCTCAAGGACTGAAGGACACCGTAAAGCGCAGCTGATAAGCGGCTTTAATCGGCTAATTTGGCCTCGGTGGCCTTTAGCAGGCTGCAGGTAAACACACCGGATCTAAAAACACCCGCTGCCCGACACACTCACCGTGGGCAGACCGCGGAGAAGCTCCGGGTGGTCGTCACTCTCCAACCTGAGCTTTTACCTGAGGAAACATGAATTTCCTCCTCAACTTTCTAATTATTTGAGGGATATAATGCACTTTTGATCAAGTTTTTTTTTCATCTTCACGGCGCAGAATGGTCTTTCTCACGAAGACAGGCGGAACTTTATCAGCATCTATTTAATAATTATGAGTTAACGGTGAATAAGACCAAACTCCACCTGTTTCCATCCTGTTTTACGCGGAGGTTTTTTGCGTAAAGTGCGCACCGGAGCGCTCTGGAGCTCCGCGGGAGAGTCTGGTAGAGTCTGAGTCTCGGTGACACCATGATGACACCACAGTGCGGGGACAAGAGTCCGGCCCGGCCTTCATGAGAGCCCGCTGGCCGCACTGCTGCGGCTGGGACCGGGACGGAGCGGAGGAGCCGCGGTGGAGATGGCGGCCAACCTGACCGCTGCGGTGGCGGCCCCGGAGGCGGCCGCCAGGGGACACAATGTGCCGGCCCTGTTGTTCGGGGTGCTGCTGATCGTGGTGATCATCTGCGGGAACCTGCTGGTGTGTCTGAGCGTGTTCACGGAGAAGGCGCTGAAGACCACCACCAACTACTTCATCGTCAGCCTGGCGGTGGCGGATCTGATGCTCGCGGTGCTCGTGCTGCCGCTCTTCGTCTACTCCGAGGTGAGATGTTCTTTATGTTCATTTTTTTAACCCAGAGCTCCAGAGGGGCCCCTCGCTGTTTCAGGGGCCCCACAGAGTCGCTTGAGGCTTTAAATGTTAAGTCTTCGGAGTTTAGATGCAGATGTGTCTTAAAGTATCCAGATAAACTCAGATTTACTGCTGAAAACACACCGTAATCTAGATTTAGATGGTAATCGATTCATTTGGAAACGCACAACCAAGCCCATTTCATGTTCATTAAGCTGTTATTGAGGCATATAACGCATTGTCAAGAGGAAAAACTCATAAAAGAGCCCTTAATTATCAAATTAAGCATATTTTAACGAAGTTCCCCTTAATTTACATATTAATTAGCTGCTGCTGACAGGAACATTAGACTGGTGTTACCACTTTTTGTCTTCTACACACCCAATCTGCAGCAACACCAGCATCAACCAATTCACAGTTGATTAATTCATGGATTATAATATATTATGGATATTTTTATTGATTATCTGCTTGGATTAAAGGGTTGTTAATGACTGAAAACCTCTCAGAATTAACCAAAGAGCTGGAAAGTCATCACACAATTAACATGTAAATTGAAAATTAAAGGCTATTTCAATTAAGGCAGGCCCTATTTGGGTCATGTCATTTGGTCAGGTGTTGGTAATAGGTTTTTACAACCTAACCCATGCTTATAAACCACTAAACCCCACTGTCCCACATGAGGGAAAAAATAAATACATTTAAAAAGAACATTAAGACAGTTGAAGACATTAAGAGAATAAAGGAAACAATATGAACAGGGTTGCCAGCCGAGTAAGAAAAAAAAACAGAAACTTAAACCTTTATCTCTCAGAGAGGATGGTACGTATTTTCTGTGATAGAGTTGTGTTAATAAAAGTGTGATTAAACATTACGAAACACATTGCACTGTATTATACACACAAAATACAATAAATAACAATGTGGTAACATGAGTTAAAGCAGTAATACCACATGTGTAAGACTCTTTTTAACTGTTACAAGTAAAATACATGCATTCAAAATGTAGTATTAGCATCAAAACATACCTAAAGTACAAAAAGAACTCACCAAACAGAATGGCCTATTTCAGAATAATGTACTATATATTATATTATTGGATTATAATTATCTATGTATGAATGTATTCATCACTTTAATGCAGCAGCTGGTAAAGGTGGAGTTACTTTTATTGACTTTATACTGCTGGGTAGCTTGTGAATCTGTCTTATCTATAATAATACATTGTAATTGATTTGTTAATTATATTTTGTAATATTAATCTGAATTTGCAGAAAATGGAAACACACAAGTACCTCAAACTTGTATTTAAGTGCATTACTTGAGTAAATGTATTTAGTTACATTCCACCACTGATGGTAACAATCAGTGAAAGCTGCTGATCAGCGGCACCAAATGACAAAGAAGAGCAAACATGGCTCATAATCTGAGTTTTTATATAGCATATATATATTTACAGTATATATAACGGATCAATGTAGGCGTCTATCAGGAGTTTGACTGCAGTCAAAGTCTATCTTTGTGCAACCGACCTGACTTTCTCTTCCTGAAGTTTAAGCAATATAAGTGAATATCAGCTATATATACTGGAACTCAAACACATTATTGTGGGGCATTAGTAACGCATTGAATAGAAATATCTAAAGCTGGCTTTAGAAATCAATAAATTCTTTCATTTTCAAATCTTCAGACATTTTTTCCATTTTGGCAGGAAGAGTTAAATGTTTTGACAAATACATCTGTACCAACGAAAAAAGACTGTATAAGTGGTTTAAATCAGGACATTGGTGTTTTTATTAGTTTAATGCCAAAACTGAATTTTTATCCATCTCCCCCATCTCCCATTAGCTTCAAATATGGATGTACATGTTCTTTTTCAGCATTAACAGGATTTCCTGACAAAGACTAATTTGAAGTGAATAGTTGCAATGGATTCTGTACACATGTACTATTTAAGTTCTCTCAGAAAAAGCTACAAAATGCATTTTATTAAAATTTTGAAGATGCCACATGTGACAACAGTCACACAACTAATCTGTTAGGTTTTATTAATGATAAATTTGTAACACAACCACACTTTGATGCTCGAGTTACGACCAAGTTTGATCAATCATTAACTTGCTTCTAAGGACCAAGGCTATTGATTTGTTGATTTGCAACAGGATAGACCAACTGATTATTGTGCAAGCCTCACTTAAACAGTGTGGTGGGAAGCCAGCGTTTGGCTCAGTTCCAACTGAATATAAAGCAACTCATTGCATGTCTAAATATTGTAGGCAATGTTATCAGAGAGCAGCATTAAACGAGAAAAACTGAGTTTCACATGAAAGAAGATGCAAAGATTAGAGGAAAGTCCCAAAGATTAGTTACTTGTTACTTTGCAGACTCAGATAATTAATAGAAAATATGAATCATCTTATAAGTTATGATGTATAGATTAAGCTACTCACCTGTCCTCTGGTAAGTATTTTATTTATATATTTATTTCAAGGGGAAGTCGACCCGACTCCTTTTTTTAAGTAAAAGATTTTAAATGTGAGACTCGTAACAACAGAAGAGTATTTTCACATTGTGGTGTTACAATGTTTGCCACAGTAAAAGACCTGAATACTTATTTTACTGTGGCAAACATTGTAACACCACAGTGTGAAAAAAAAGACCTTCAGCACTGGCTTAAAGGATCAGTTCAGTGTTTTTACAGCCAAGACCTCATTAACATAATGTTTTACTTAACAACACAACCACAGTGGTAGCTTCAGTTTGTAGAAACGTAACAGCCAAGATGAACCAAGTTCCACCGACCCGCCTGTCCTGGAGTTTTCAACTGTGTCACACCGTCTTCATCAGCATATTGAGACTAAATTGTAAATTATTTTATTAATTCTCTGAATATCTCTGGAACTCCTCATCCACATTGACTTAAAAGTTGCTTCTGACAGTTCATTGTTGATCTCGGAAACAACAGCTAACAAAGCTATCTCAGTCGTGGTCCACTTGCTTGCTTGTTTGGGAGCTTTCGACTGTATCACAAAGGCTTCATCAGCAGATGTCAACTTCTAAGTCAGCATAGAAAACAAGTCATGCTCAGAATAATGTAAAGTTTAAATATATACAGTCTACATGACGAAAGTTCTTGCGCTGGTGGAGATCATGTTTTTGTATCTTGAATCTAATTAATTGAATTAGTGTTAATTAATTGGATGTCAGTGTTTAAACTGCTGTCTATGATCCTGCAGGGAACCAACATGTTCGCAAGATCTGGGTTTTATATTCAGTGAACTGTGCCTTCAACCATCAGCTCTGAACTCCAGCTGACCCTGTGATGAAGTCTGAAAACTCATATTTAATATTATTTACTCTGATTTTGAAGGTCCATTATATGAACGATGAATCTTGAATGTCTCTTGTTTTATCTTACTCTTCAGAGTGATGGCAAAATGATGGAGACAGGATATTTTCATCCATAAAAGATCATTTTAAATTAACCTGAGCACTTGTCCTGGTACAGTCAGGCTTTGTCTGTCAGAGCTCAGAGAAAAACAGTCTCTACATTCCGTCTGACGTCAGCTCTGTTCCAGGGGTCGGAGGCCAACCACGGGGCCCCACAATAACAATGGATGTTAGGAAAACGTTGAAAACAATAAGAATGAGTCCATGTTTATCAGTTGGTGTTCAGTCTTTTGTCCTCATCTTCTTTTGTGTGTTTATTTCCTGGCGTTTCTTTATGAGTTTATTTTTGTGTGTGTTGTTTTCTAAGCGTTTTTATCAACATCAAACATTTGAATCAGGGCCAATCAGCTGATTCACATTTCAGCTTTTGGGTCTTTCTGCAGATATCTGCACTGTGGTGGACAAAATATTATTAAGACCCTTTACTTAAGTAAAAGAAGTATTACCACAATGTCAAAATAAGATAATTAATGGACATATTTAAGGATTTCTGGCTTGATTTAAGGTGTTCAGTGTGTTTTCAGAGGTAAAAGTGAATAGTAATTAATAAATTCTGCAGAAAGTAAAATAATTTTAGAGGGTTTAAACAAATATATATATATCATTTCTTTAATAATTTGTATATACGTATTTATATTTTTTATTTTCATGAAGGTATTAATGTATCTTTAATGATTTTCAGTGTATTTATATTTTATTTCATTTATTCATTATTTGTGTGCATTTTATTAGTTAGTTTTTTATGCATATATATTTTTTATCTTAGACATATTTGTATGTTTATGGATGAATTATTCATATTTTTATTTACTTGTGTACAAATAATTCATTAATTTAATATATGTGGGTATATGTGTCAATCTGTTGTGTGTGTCTGTACTGGTGAGCACTGACCTGTCTTGGAAGATTTATATTGTGTTTTTGTCCAAATATTTATTCAAGTGAAAGTAAATAAGTATTGTCAAAGTGTACTTTAGGTACATAGGACAGGTTCAGTGGAGAAAACGCGATGCAGCTCCATATAGGTTGTCCTACGTGCTAGAAAAGGATTTAGAATTGTTTTACCACAATACTTTCTGTACGCTGGTGCCCTTTTTATGTTTTTCAAACTGACACCGGTATGAGGGAACTCACTGAGCAATTTTTCTGTGTGTCAGTTTCAGGACGGTGTATGGACCCTCAACACCACCATCTGTGACTGTCTGATGACCATGGACGTGATGCTGTGCACAGCCTCCATCTTCAACCTCTGCGCCATCAGCGTCGACAGGTCAGTGCTCACCTGTACAAGTACACACAGCAGACAGCAAGGAATCAACAAGTAAACAGTAGGTCAGTCTATATGAAAATATGATATAAATGTTGATATCAGTTGTTATCTGACCCTTGACCTGGGATGTGCTGAAGATTATGAAGTTTGAACTAGTCAGTACAGTAATTATTCTTTAACTCCAACATGTAACAACATGCTGATAGTGTAGCTATTCTTAAAGGAAAGCTCCGCTGAATTTACGGGCAAGCCTTTTTGAGCTGTATGAAATCTGATAAATAGCCTCAAGTGATGTCACTTGAGTCAGTGTAGGTTGGGGCTGAAGACTTCAAGTTTGAAAAAGAAAAAGTCTGGAGGTGTGAAATTAGAAAGAACTGAGCTTACCAGACCTCTGTAGCCCCTCCTCATCTCTACGTGAGACTAGCGGCCCAATGCGGCGCTATAAGCATAACACACCAGAATCTGCACAGTCGAGTGAATTGTGTCGTATTGCATTGTGGGTAATGTAGACACTGTATCAACGTGTATATATGTAATATACAAATAACCTTAATTGTGTCACCTCAACTTCTGAAACCAAACCTAAACCCTTACCAACCTTAAAACAAAAGACAAAACAGGAATGACGTTAAATTAGACACAAATTACAACCTGATGGTGGCGCTGGAGGAAAAGTCAGGGAATTACCAAAGTCAGTAGGATTCATCGTCTTGGGATTACGCTTGTCTGCACAAAGCGCCTGTGATACAATGACTGACTGCATCCCTAGACCCATGCAGCTAGTGTTGCTAAAACGAAGGTATTGGCCTGGGGTTTAACAATGATCCTCAGATCAGACTGAATTTTTTTCTGTAGTGACGAAGATGCACATGATTCAGATGCAGCTCTGCAACCAAACAAACCCTGAAACTCCCGCAGGACTCTGTGCAGTTGATTAAAAGGAAGAGGTCAAAGTTCAACCATAACTCACAAACTCTGTGTCATAACCAGAGCTTTAATCGGCCCCAGGGTCATCCAGCAACAAGCAGTTGATTAATCAAACCAGGACCCTGGATGGTCTGTCAGGACCACACGGGATACCTCGCTGAGAGTTTCAGTTTTCCATCTGAAGGTCGGCAGGGTCAGACAGTCACGCCACAGTTCGCTCTGATGTGGAAATATGACGATGACCTTTAGTCTGTTTCCTGTAAAAGCACGAAAAGATGAAAAATTAGAGCAGACAGAACAATTTAAAGCCCCAAATGAAGGATGTGTCTGCAGTGATGAACTGCCAGCTTCGCTCTGCACTCATTAGTTTGACTTGATGAGATTAGCTGAACTCTCGGCTGATGTTGAAGGATGAAAATCTGAGACGAAAACCCGAGCTGCTCCTCAAATCCGATGTCCCAACTCCAGAAAATATGATTACATCAGAGACTGATGGAGGCAGTGAGACTAACTTGGACTGATGCTGATGATCAGAAGCTTTTTGAAGCAGCCGACAGCAGTTAGAGGTTTAACTGGATGACAGTGGCTGAATAATTCAAAAGGCTGAGCAGGAAACATCCTGAAGGTCTGCAGAGAGTCCACCTGCTTCTGTCCGCAGACTGAAGGGGGAAATCTTCTGGTCTCTCTGCAGGTTTTGATGGTTTTAACAGCAAACTGACTGATGACTTGCTGTCAGTCATGGATGGATTGGGCTGAGGGCCCCCCTAAGCCAGGAAAACCTCTGAATGAAGTTTCTGTTATTAATGTTTCCTGTTTGAAAGTCAGAGAGGTCAATTCTTTGTTCTCATGACATTTTTGCTCCTGATCATGAGCTTAGATCTTTCAATGAACATTTGGCCAGAACAGATCCTGCACATCTCTCCATAGACAGCTGTGTAGGAGTGGGATGAGTTGACCAACTGTTGATTATTGTTATTTAACACATAGATTTCGGTATAGTATTCTATACTATCCTCACAATATTGATCTGTCCACCAAGTCTGATGTAAGTTATATTCATATCATTTTGAATCCTTGAATCCTAAAGTGTGTGAGTGTAAAGCTATTTAAACGGTCGGATTTAGAAGAGCTCTGTTACAAAAACATGGTCCCTGAGGTTCCACGGATATCAGCTGGTTTTGATGATTTGATGAACAGCTGGTGGTGGGAAAAGTACTCAGATCCTTTACTTAAGTAAAAGTAACAATACCATGGTGTCGAAATACTCTCTTACAAGTAAAAGTATAAAAGTATTCACTGTGCAAAATGGTGCCTTTCAGAATGTTCAATTATTAGTCGTCCAGAAAGGTCACTTCCTTCATACTGAGTTGTCTTCCCATTTTTATGACAACATTTATATGTTCAGATAGTTACACCCAGAAGGTTTATTGTGTTAATTTGCTGAGCTTTTTGCCAGTTTTAGTTAAGGGCTGTTGGCCAACAAAAAACCACCCACATGAGACACACAGTGTAAGATGGACTTTGTCTTGGAACTTAAAGTACACTCTCATTCAACATGAGCTTGTTTTCAATGTTGATGAAACAAAATGGCAGAAGAGAATTCTTGACTCACTTGACTTCACAGTCTGTGATAAATTCTTCGCTCTACTGTGTGCAGAAGCATGTAGCGGGAGATCTTGCATAAAACTTTGGGTGGTCCTCTTTAACCAACACAAGGGAGGTGCACTGCGTTGACCTATTAAGCTCTACTGCAAAAAACTGTCTCTGATCTCGGCAATATAATGTCAGGTCTTTTTTTTTTACTTCTTCTGAACTACAGCTCCAAACACAATTTGGAAAAACTGTTTTTTGAGTACTATAATGCTCAGAAATTGAATGAGTTACAAAAGGTTTCTGAATATAATACTTTTTCACTCATAGTTTTTCTTAATGTCCAACCACTGTTGTGTGTTTTGGTCCATGGTCTTACTGCATATGTTCCCTTATGGACAAGCCTTTTTAAAAAGGAAATTTTAATCCGTCAATCCCAAGTGTAACTAATGACTTTATTAATTGCTGCTTTGCAGTAACTGCTGGAAGGAAGCTCCATTAATGTTATTAGTTCCACCAGCAATTTTCTGGTTGTGAAAAGTCAAAGTGTTGTAAAAAGATTAATTTGGGAGCAATAAAGAAACAAGAGTGCTTGGATTCTGCCACAAACTGTCAAGATCCAGGTTAAGAAGATTTATTTAGACAAAAAAACACCCCACTGCTCAATCTTAAAGGTTTTGTGTCAAAAAGTTACATTTTCCAACAGAAATTAATGACAAAGATCCATGAAACAAAACATGCAGTCAAGAGTCCATGTCATCTTGATAATGTTATTTTAACAAAATTCAACTTTTCTCTTTGATATATATCAGGGCTTTCAGTCCATCCATCTAACATTCAATCAGAGATAGATATCTTAACAAAGACTGTCCAGACAGATCTGTTGTGTAGGACTACATGTTGATATCCCTTATTGCATTCCTGAGACACTACTAAGACTCTGTGGGATGGTCAAGTGAGTGATGGCATCCTCTGGGTTATCAAGTGGGCGCCCTCCTTCCTAGATGTTTCGCTGATAGACCCACGACACCTCCAGAGGGTTCAGCAGTGAATCCCAGTGTCCCAGGTTCACCCCCTAGATCCCATCTACTCACTTGAGGGCCTAGGTGGAGTCTTTCCTCTTTATCCACAGCCACTGACTCCCCTCTTCAGCAACTCTGGAGAGGTCCTTGACTGCCTGCCGATGGGCCTTCCCTCGCACTCCCATCTCCCGAAGTAGCCTGGATGTTGAGGTGGCTACAAACCCTCTGCAGCCTACCTCCTCTGGTCGGACCCTCGCTGTCCAGCCTCGTTGTTGTGCATCGGCTGCAAGCTCTGTGTACGTCAGCTTCTTGCGCTCGTAGGCCTCCTCTACTGCACTCTCCCAGGGGACCGTGAGCTCAATGATGTACACGTGCTTGAGCGAAGCTGACCACAGCACAAGGTCTGGTCGCAGTTTGGTGGACGCGATTTCAGTTGGGAAGCACAACTTTTGGTTTAAGTGTACCAGCAACTTCCAATCACATGCCCCGCTCAACTGCCCAGCATCTGGTCTTGAAGTGGTGAGACTGGCTTGACCCTCACCCTTCCAGACAAATGTTGTTGCCTGCCAGCGGGATGATGGGGGTTGAAGGGCGTTCACACTCTTCCGTCGCATTTCCAGCACTGCTGCAAGACACTTTAGCACCTGGGTGTGTCGCCAGGTGTAACGGCCTTGGGTGAGGCTGGTCTTGCAGCCCACTAAGAGACAGACATAAAATATGGTGTGAATATTCATGGTCCTCAGAGGATGAACTCAAGGGGAATCATTTCCACTGGGTTAGGGTTAGCCTTTCCTTTTCTGTTGTTTTATAGTTTAATGTTGATCTCTGTACTAACCAACCAACATTCAGATAAGAGAAGGTCTTGAGAAAAGTTGATAAACTCATCTGTGTCGTGGTTCGAGGACGAGATGAGAGCAGCTCTTTCGTAGTGCTGCCTGCTGAAGAAAATATCAAGATTTCTGCCAAAATATCTTAAACTTCTATACTGCTTGTACTGAAATGTCCTTGTCATATTCCTGCTCCCGGGAGGGAGGACCTTTAGATTTTAATAACCCCATGACCTTTCCTCTAGCACCACCTTCAAGACAAGCCTTACATCTTTAGCTCCACTTCTGGTAAGGTTTTCAGAATGATTATATCATCAGAATGTTCTTTGTTCATATTGTCTGTCTCTAGGGCACACTAGCAGGATGTCAGGCTCAGGGCTCCTTGTCTAAAGAACGTTATTTCTCACAAGAAAATTCCATCAGCTCTAACATGACAAGCTATGAATACCATGAATAAAACTTTTCCATAACTAATCATGTGGCAGCTCTCAGTTTTTTCTGGTTTTTTTTCAGGCGTTCAGTGGTGTCATTTCAGGTGCAGCAGATTGTAAAATTTCTCTCACTTGTTGCAGGTTCATCGCCGTGTTAATCCCTCTCAACTACAACAGGAAGCACGTGGACCTGCGGCAGACAGTGCTGCTGTCAGCCACCTGGATCCTGGCCCTGGCCGTGGCCTCGCCTGTCATATTCGGAATCAACAACGTGCCGGGCCGAGACCCCAGCGAGTGTAAACTGGAGAACGACGACTACGTCCTTTACTCTTCTGTGTGCTCTTTCTTTATCCCCTGTCCCATCATGGTGCTGCTGTACTGTGGCATGTTCCGCGGCCTGCGGCGCTGGGAGGAGGCACGTAAAGCCAAGCTGAGGAACAGCATCCAGGCCTGTCGCAAGCTCCAGGAAGCCGCTGCATCGCTGCCACCACTGGCCTCACTGCCGCCGCCGCTGCCACCCATCATAGAGAGGGAACAGACAGATACCCTGGATGAGCCGTCCACCTACCCATCCCCAGACCGGCCCTTTCACTCGTCAAAGTACAAAGACGGCCCTGTGCCTACGGTCAGCTTTGCAGAGATCAAGTTCAACCCTGACATTCGCAGGAGGAAGACGGCCAAGATCAACAGCCGGGAGAGGAAGGCCATGAAGGTGCTTCCTGTCGTTGTGGGTGAGTTCACTTCCTGTTTAGCATCATCAGTGCTGGCAGTGCTGGATTACCAACAAACTGAGCAACCAGGATGCAGGTTAAAGGATCCAAAATTCAGCAACAGTATTAAGAACAACTTTACTGTGAGCCTGATGAATGCTACAAACCGAAGCTCATCAATGTCTCAATAAAGTTATGAGTTCTTAGGCCGAGAGTGGGGGGTTTCTGGCACAACTTCACCTGCTTCCAAGGTGCATGGACAGAGAGTCAAAACTCTAGCAAAAACTTTACTATGAGACCAGTTGCATTTGGTTTGTAGACAGAACTTAGTTGCAGATTGATGATTGATCAAATGGATCATCAAATGATGGTCGATCTGTTGGAATCTTTTCCAAAATTAGTTAGGGTTACAATCTTGCTTAATCTGTAAGCTGTCTGTCCGGCATAACATATCCGGGACATGTTTGTCCACTGAACTTCACAGACACAAAACTAATATCACCCCCCCTTCCAAATCCTAGTAAACCAGTGAAAAAGGCAACAAAATGCCAAATTATCAGAGTTTGTGGGATTGGAAAGTGTATTGTAAATACTTGTGGCCTTCTTTTTGATAGAACCTGGACCCTAAAGAAGGCCACAAGCCAAGTTGTGTTCCACAATAAAGTTGTACACAATAAAATTGTTCTTTGTACTAAAAGTGCTGCTGAAGTTTTGATTTCCAGAAAAACAAAGAGGAACTGAAAGGCCATCAGCCAAGAGTAATGTGTTTGGTAACACGCGGAACAAACATTACCTCATAAACATTTAAATGAATTAGAGTTAGAAAAGATTCAGTAAAAAGTTATCCATCTACACATACACTTACATGGACAGTGATATAATGGGCACTGCAGGTACCTGAACGCCACACTTACACTTCTGATGTCTGTTCAGAGGCTGCAGGTACTTGAACGCCACATCTCCACCTCTGATGTCTGCTCAGAGGCACTAACACATCAGTTCAGAAAAGGTCACCCTAATAATAGATGCCAGTGTTGGTCCTAATGCGTAGAAGTGCTTCCCTTTAGCACACAGCAGCTAATCCGGCAGCTCCTTAATCTGAAATCCAATTATTACGTAAGCTTGGTCAGTGTGCAGGTAGTTCTCATGCATCCCTGCTTCATAAGTTCACTTTACATTTCCCTTGGCTGAGAGTTAGGCTCAACAATATAGAGAACATTGCAAATTGTCTGACCACAAAAATCCTTTGAAAAAATTAATCTCCACTCTTGTATTATATAGTATTCAACAAGAAAATAATGTTCGAGGTATAAACTGATCTAGTTATCTATCTTAGCTACATGCTGTTACTGTTGGTTAATAGGTAGGTACGTTTGTAAGGGAGTTGGTAGGGTAATAGATAGAGAAATTAGTAGTTGTGTAGGTAGGTAGATTTGGAGGTAGTTAGGTAGACTGGGGGTTTGTAGGTAGGTAAATGAGTGTAGTGTAGTTAGGTAGAGAGGTAAGTAAGTTGTTAGGTAGGTGAAGCTCTGCCTCATTAGCTCAACAGATTCAGCAGCAGGTCGGTAGGTAAGTTGGTACAGTAGTTGTATGCCAGTTGTTGTAAGTAAGCAGGTAGGGGAGGCTTTGCTGCATTATCATCTCATTAATCAGGTGGCAACCCCGAAAGTAATCTTTAATTGGTTGATTGGTAGGTAGGTTTTTAGGTAGTAAGGTAAGTTAGTAGGGTAGGTAGAAAAGTAGGGACTTTGGTAGGCTTGTAAAGTATGTACATAAATTGGTGGGTAGGTAGGGGATGCTCTGCTTCATTAGCTCATCTGACAATTAAGGAGGGCTGAGTGTAGGGCTGAACGCAAGTTGGTTGATTGTCGGTTTGTAGGTTAGTTGGTAGGCTGCTAGATAGGTAAATTAGTCGTTTTATAGGTAATTCATCTGACTATTCAAGAGGCAACTTGAGAGTAAATGGTAAATGGACCTGTATTTATACAGCACTCAGGTCTACCAAGCACTTACCACATTCACCCACACACATTCCTACCACACCAACGTGCTCATCAAGAGCAATACAGCACTTCCTATCCAAAGCGCTCACAATGATACTAAGCTCACCCGTACACACACTCACACTTACTAGACGCCATCAGGAGTAACATCTTGCCAGGGACACTTTGACTGGAATAAACAGGGGATCAAATCAGCAACCCTCATATTACTAGATGACCCGCTTTACCACCTGAGCCCCAAGAGTAGAACCAAATGGTCAGTTGGTAGTATGATATAGGTTTGTAGGTTGGTAGGCAAGATGTTAATATAAAAATATGCAGGCGTTCCGCCCAACCTGAGGGAAATGTTTTGGGATTCTCCTCTGATCCAGTAAAAGATTATCTCAAGAGTTAGAGTGAACAGAAGATGTCACACAGATTTCCTTTGGATATTTATCTTTTTGATGGAGAGTAACAGTTTCCCCCTGCTTCTTATCTTTGTACTAAGTTAGGCTAAACATGCCCTGGAGCACCTCTGTACTGGTCGCACAGAGATGAAACTGAAACATCTGACTCTGGGTAGAAGAGGGTTTACCTAAATGCAGGTAAAATCAAAGTGAGGTTCTTGGTGTTCCTGTCTTTCTCTAGACAAACTCTTTTTATTCTTCTCTTTCTGCAGGTGCCTTCCTGTTCTGCTGGACTCCCTTCTTTGTCCTCCACACCATGCGAGCTCGCTGTCAGGACTGCCATGTCCCACCGGCCCTGATGAGCGTGGTGACGTGGCTTGGCTACGTCAACAGCGCTCTCAACCCCATCATTTACACTGTCTTCAACACTGAGTTCAGGAACTTCTTCAAGAAGTTCCTGCACCGCTGCTGCTCTAAGAGCACCCGATAAGGACACTGCTGCTGAATGGACAATGTTTAAATGCACAACAGCTGAAAGAGACGCTACTGTCTGTTGATTTAGTGTCTGTAGTCCGTGTACAGTATGTTGCCATTGTTTCCTTCCTCTGTGAGGTTTTATTTTTCTACATGTGCCGACAGCAAAGTTTGTTTGAGCTTCATGTTTCCTGTGAAGAAGCTTCAGTCTGAGAAACAAACTGTTCAGAGGATCAGCAACACGTCTACATCACACAACCAACAAGAACTGATTTTATAAGTTGAAATTCATCTTTTCAGAATAAATGTTTTCACTAAAAAAAAAATGGTTAGGAGTTGTGTGTTTGTGGAGCAATGCAGACAACTGTGGTCTGTAGCTGATTTGAAATATTAGGTCAGTTGGAATTTCAGAAACTTCTGTTTGAGGTCAAATCAACCAAAATGGTACTTATATGCAACGGTGCTGTATATCTACCTAGAATACCCAAATATACATGTCAGTGTGTCCTAGTAAGGCTGCAGCCAATCATGTTATGATCTTTTATATAACCTGTGGAGTATGCTGAACTAGGGATTTTAATTCCCTGAATTTAGTCTTTAAGGCAAGGCCTCCTCCCAGGCAAAATGTGTACAGCCCGTTGACAGTCTCAAACCTGGGGAGAAGAAGTGCTGTCTGAAGGATAAACTCAGAGAACAAAAGCATCTTCAGTTAGTGATGGTCTATAATTCCTCAGCAGAGTCCAGATTATCCAGGCTCCCTGCACGATTTGGACCTCCACAATGTCATTTGAAGGTCATTAAAGTTTGATGATGATAAGTAAGAGACAACAAACTGACATGAAGCTTTTAAAGCTTCTCAGCAGATTTCATCAGAGTCAAAAGAGCTGAAATCTCTAAGGACAGACTACCGCAACAACACAGAAACACAGAGAGAGAGAGTACACCGCACTCCTGATGCCTCTGGTGTTTCTTTCCGATTATTTTAGAACTCCTGGTCCCGCCCTCTGTAGAGGTGGATGAATCCCTCCTGTTCATACTGGCCGTTAAGAAAGAAAGAAAGAACTTTATTTACTGTGGGGGGAATTTCAATGTCACAGCAGCAGTACACCAACAAACCACACGGGACAAAGACTAGTGCAGCCACATTGTTTAGGATGCTAACCAACTTGTACAGAATCCTCTTCTCCATCACCTCCTCTTCCAATCACTGAGCCGGCATTTGAGCTTGGTAGAATCTCTCGCCTCACGCTCCGGCCCCAGCACACGGCAGCATAAAAGATAGACTGGTACAGCATCTTGTTCCAGACATTAAAGCCTCCACAGGAAGTACAGCCGGCTCTGGCCCTTCCTGTAGATGGCCCCTTTGTTCCCACTCTAGTCTGTCGTCCAGTTGCACAACTATTAGTAGGTGTGACCCACCTCGACTTTCTCCCCCCGGTTGGGTACAGAAGTCAGGGGAGGCTTAGTTCACAATCAGCTCTTTCGTCTTGCTAACGTTGCAGATTCAATCTGCAGCTTAAGGAAAGAGAGCTTTGAGAAAGAGATCCTTTCCTAACATGCTTCCAATTAAAGAGATGGGGGATAAAATCCACAGTCCTCATTATGTACATATGTGTATTCCAATGTTCATTTGAATTGAATCAGGTTTATTTGGAAAAAAAGCTTTCACATACAAGGAATTTGCCATGATTCATTGGTGCATAAGAATCACAATCAAGTGTAGGAAATTATAAATAAAGATAAAATAAAAAATAGAGACAATAAGAATATATAGTGGATCTCGCTATATACAAATGTAAAGAGTGAAAGAATATGTACAATACAATACAGATACTTGAACACTTTATACAAAAAAGTAACTAACTTTGGAAAACACTCACTTGAGCTGTCCAACACAGTGCCTACTCAGCATGTGAGGAGAGCAGCAGCTGTTTCAGGCCTCCAGCAGCATCTGCACAGGATGCATTCAGGTACAGGACTGAGAATGCGGCCTGTGGTTTGGCAGTGTATAGCGAGAGTAACGGTTGATTTATAGTTGTACGTAGGCTCTGCTGTTGTGAGCATTTATACTTGTGTGCTGGAGTGTACAGACTAAACTTAAACTCTCCCTTGTGCCTCTCCTCAATCTGTCGTGTGTTTTCCTAGTCCTAGTTTCCTAGCCCCCCCCCGTGAAAAGAACAGACGAGGGAATATGAGGTGACGGACGAGCATGTAATGCAGCTAGGCAGTGTCCCACCTGTGCCTGTTTGTGTGTGTGTGTGTTTCAAGAGGGATTCTCAAACAACATTGTTGACCCATCTGGGTTCGCCTCCCATTCTCAGGCAATGCACGCCAACCAAGCGGACCGATCCCAGTTGTCTGTGTCTCTGTAATGTGTCTAATTTGGTGCAGAAGTATAAGTCGGGCTTAAAACACAAGCCTGTAAACAAGCTTTGTAGACAGAGTACTAAAGCCTTGTATTAACTAAAAGTAAACTTCTGAATGTATTTGGATTTTGTGCCCCATCATTTACATTGGAAGTGCTTAAGGAAGCGATTTATTCACTTTCAGTATGAACATGTTCACATGAGCACTTTACTATTTTTTAAAAGTCTTTTAAAGAAAAAAAAACTGCGGAGATGTTTGAAAAGACTGCAGTTGCCCCTGTTCAAGTTTTCCTACATTTACAGTTGGCTGTTAAAGCAGGAAATGTCTGGTCCTGGGGGGGTCCCTTTCACTGTCAGTGAGCAGCAGCAGACACCTGAGCGCCGCTGGGACTGAGACACAGCAGAATCAAATGTCATCACGTCTGAGGCGATTCATCAAGGGCCGCTCCGACAGATCACCTGACTGCTGACTGTCAGAAATATTATCAAACTAAACTCTGTCTTCAGCTGCTAAACACGGAATAACTAAATATAAAAGCTAAATGTGAAACAGAACACACAAATCTGTCTGCAGGAACAGTCCTGCAGGAGGAATGACGCTGAGTTTGCCCTCTCGAGACTCTAGTTGGATAAAAATAAACCTGGAATTTGTATTTCATTAATAACTTAACTTATTAAATAAACATCTGAGAAAATGAATAAAGACAGAGGGACAGAAGTCTCTTCCGAGTCCTGCTGATGGAAGAAAAGACGTCCTGAACAGAGTCAGAGGAAAATAAAGAAGTCTGATAGAAAACACGGTTGATTTTATGTTTTGATTGTAGATCAGAATAAAAGCTGATTTATGATCCTAAAAAGTGCCTCAGAAAACCTTCAGTGTTTTTTTATTTTTTATAATCTGTTAGTGATTTTGTTCAGGGTTGCTGGGAGGCAAAATTGTTCAAATTAAAATTTGATTTGAAAAAAAAAATGAAAAGAAATAACACAAAATGTCAATTCATTAAAAATATAAAAAGTAACTGGGCCTTAAAATGTCAACTCAGTACTGAATTTGGTTATTTTCTGTGAAACAGAAATGTCGTTCTTCCTGACTTCCCCCTAAATTCTGTCAAAGTCGAATTTACGATCCACTGGGTGAGACACATGATCTGATCAGGTGAAATACACCTGTCTGCTTTCTGGCAGGGTATCCATACATCATGCACTATGGTCATACATATGGAAAATTACATTTCAGGCTCATTTAATTATTTAATACTGACAGATCTGGACTCACACATACGACTGCTGCAAGTTCTTTTTCTTTCTGTCTTTCTGAACTTCTAAGTTTGAATCACAATTACCAAAAGAAAACTACAAAGCTTCAAAGTCCTGAAAGATGAAGATTTAATCTTGTACACAAGATAATAAAACAGACTTAAACTGAAACTTCCACATACTGTGAAAATAAAAACAAATTTTGTTTTAGCTCCAGAGGCCCTCTCCAGTGGCTCCTGGTTATTTATTTTCATTGTTTAAGGCCTAAATTCCTTCTATTGATTCCAACATTCTACAATTGTAAAAATGTGTAGCAATTACACACCGAATAAATAAATGTTCATCAGCTAAAATGTGGTCATACATTTCATCCTGACCATGCGCCTTTTCCTTTATATTTTGCTGAACCTCAGTAGTAGTGTCTCCCTAACTAGGCTAGTTATCGACTCCAAATCCAAAACAAGAAAAGTTTTGGAGGAAGATTAAGAGTTTAATAGCGTGTGGAGCGATTCATTTGCTGTCACCAATGCTGCTGGCTGACCTGTACGCTTGATCTGTGGCGAGGAATAAACATTATAAGGCTCAAATATGTTTTGCGGCTCCAGACAGATGTTTTATGTTTTTGGGTGGGCTCAGAAATTGCTCTTTTGATAATAAAAGTTGCTGACCCCTGTTTTAGCTGGAAGAAAAAAAATAAGAGTATTTTTTGATTCAGACAACAAAGTCGAGTCATAGTTTTTCCAGACTCATAATGATTTAAAATAAATACCACAATACCATTAACAGACGACAGATAATGCATCTCTAAGTATTGGACGGGGATGGGAGGGGTTCATTTAATAAAATATTTTATTTTATCGATGTGTTTGACCTTTATTTATCCAGGACGGTCTCTGGAGATTTAAATCTGCTTAACAACAGTTAAAAGGGCAGCAAAAACAATGTTTCGTAAAACAACAGACTGTTTGTCAGTCGCTGAGCCAAGATAAGAAAAATACTGATAAAATAATTAAGTAAATTAACTGAGAAAATAATTGCCAGATTAATCAATAATGAAAATAATAGTTAGTTGCAGCCCTAACCCTTTTTACCATCTTACCTTACTTTATGAAACATGTTATACTGGTGGTACTTTGACCTTTACTGAAACATTAAGTTCAGATCACCTTCACGTGCAGTGTCCAGTGTGTGATGAAGTGTGTTGAGCTGCAGTTCCTCTAATGTCCACCAGAGACTGCTGTGAACAAACTCTGACCGTATTGAAGTGAATGGAGAACACACTCGACTTCCAAGTCATTGCAGTTTTTATACAACAAGCTCGGCTCCCAGAAGATCAAAGAGCTCCTTTTCATGTCGTCTGAGGAGGAACTTTCACTATAAAAGTTCCAGAAGGGAGATTTTAAGTCTTCAGCACAGATATGTTCAGAAAAGTCTCCTCTTTGCCCACATAAGAGCTTCCTGTCACATGACCTCTCTGCTCATGTTTTCATGAACATTGCGGGTTACACCTCATTTCACTTTGTCCATGTCCATGGCTGTGATTGGCTCCTCCTGAACAGCCACGCCCCCTGCTGACTGACAGCAGGTGTGCTGATGATCCTTCCAGTCCTGCAGGGAAAACACAAACTAATCTGATTCAAAGATCGTTTATATGCATACATTTCTCTTTACTGTCATCCTGATAAGGCGTCCATAACAGCTGATTTTCAAGCATCTCAGAGAAGGAAAATCAGTGCTTGGCAACAATGTGCTTAGTAAGAGACACAGTTTTGAAGAAGACGTATGAGGAGTTATTTTAGTGACAGACTTTGAGCAAGATGAAGATAACACATGCAGTCTATACAGGAACCGATATTTTTTTGCAGCACTGTTACAGCTATTATGGCCAGGATACTCTTGAATAAGATATTTTTACTGAGGCTTTCTTTGTAAAAAGAAAGTGGTGAACTCTAAAGAAAAACCGGACTTTACTCGGATCGTTCAGGTGGGTCTTACCTTCCTCTGACAGAACGTGGAGCAGTAGTTGACCTTGTGACAGCCTGTACACTCACTCATCGCCACCCGACCACAGTTCACACACATCTGCTGCAGAACCAGAACAGGAGAACACATATGAACACATGAGAGTAGGACAGAGGGCTGGACTACGAAGCAAGGTCACTTATCCAGGTAACTTCAGGTGTAACTCTGGGATGTCAGGTGTAACTTCCAGGTTAACTGGTGCTTCAAAAGCTGAATAAGTCTTACCTGAGGTATGTTGTAATGGAAATTTACTCTCCATGTCTAAACTGCTCTGAGCAGGTTTTCTTCATGGTTTTCTCAATGTTACCCTATAAACCTCTCTCTCCTCCGCCTACAATCTTTTGGCAATAACTGGAAGACATTTGGAAGACGTGGCGCATGAATTGTGAGAGGCTCACTGCGGAGGGCGAGGGTGTTAAGAGACCGTCAAAATCCTCTAGTTTACCCCGATGATGTTCTCTATAAAAGATATTGATTGATCTGAGGGAGTTCAGTATCTCTGCCAGCTCCTAAAACCAGAATGCATTTATGTTCCCATTTAATCTTTATAAAGATCAAAGAGGCTTTTTATGCAGTCGCCAGTAATTCACAATATAGAAATACATAGACTAGGCCTATATACAGAACACTTAATTTCCAGAGGAATCCAGATTGGTGCGACTGACTGTACTCTTATTCAAACATTAGCACTACATTCATACAGGTAGACCTTCAGCCTCAGTGCTGTAAAGAGTAGATTTTAATTCAGGGTTTAAAATTCATATAATACTTCCTCAATACATTGTACACATTTCTTCCCAGATAACTTTCTTGCTTTAATCCCTGTTAATTAATTAATGGGTCAATTTCTGAGATTTTTTCCCCCTTAATTTACCACTTTAATCTTGGAAATGTACCGTTGTAATGTAAACTAACTCACTAACATCTTAATCACAGTCATACTTCTATTTAACACCAGTGTAGACAATCAGGGTTTGTCAACCCGGACTTTCCTTGAGTTATATCTGCGTAGGATCAGCTCCCTTCGTAGTACAGCCCTCAGGTGATAGGAACGATGTTTAAATGTCTGAATGTTTTTGTAGTTTCTCCATGTGCCATTAGAGGTCACTGCAAAGTAAATATCACTAACAACTTTACATCCTATTTCAGCTTGAATATGTCCCCGTCACTTCCAGTATCTCAATATCTGCATCAGGTATTTTCAGTCGTCTGATGGCACACGCACAGATATAAAGCAACCATACGGGCTGATAGTGCAGAGACGTGATTTCAGAGCTTGAAGGATCATGTTGGAGTATTGCATTAAGCTTTACTTTTCACAAAATATAAGGAATTTTCAAGACTTTCAAGAAGTTTTTAAGGTGTGTGTGTGTGTGTCTTACATTGATGATGATCTCTGTGATTTCAGTGCTCCTCTTGGCCTCTGAGTCGTCCGGCTGATGAAACAAGTTCTGGTTCTGAAATGACTGACTGAGACCACACTGCGCGCACACACACACACACACACACACACACACACACACACACACACACACACACACACACACACACACACACACACACACACACACACACACACACACACACACACACAGTCAGTGACTCAGTATTAAAGTAATATATTATCAGTAATACATTTTTAATTACCATGCGTCTGGTTACTAATCTAGAGATTATGTATGTCAGCGTGTGTTAGTGTGTCTTCTCACCTCTTTCCTGCCTCCCTGACCTTTGATCCCTGCCGTGTCCCCCGGAGAGCTTTTGGCCTGTTCGATCAGAGCCTTCAGCTGCTGGACGTTGCTCAGCAGCGTGTTGGCCAGCTCCTCCAGGTACAGCCAGGTGTTCTTCTGCCCCTCGCTGACCGATGGCCCCGCCCCTCCAACGGGCCCCACTTCGAGCCCGCTCACCAGCCCCGCTGACGGGGACGCCACAGTTGCCACCGTCATCTTGGCCTGAACCGGCTGAGGAGCCATGGCCAGTGCCGGCAACGCCGTCAGCACTGAGAGAGAGGAAGAGGGACAGGATTTATTATTCATCTTCGGCTGGAGTCAATTACTGAGTGTGAGTGAAGTTACACCATTGGTCCAGTTGAGTATTGGAGTTTCCCCATTGTATATTGTATCTGACAGTAATACAGAACTTGAAGGTGGGGCTCCTGGAGTTTGAGCGGCAGCAGTTCACTGTCTGTTGACAGCTAAAGCAACTGGATGCCTGCTGTTTCTGAGGTTTACATCAGCCCCTTAAACAAGTATGTAGACTTAAACAGAGCAGGTGTTGTGAACAGATCCAGGTCACTGTGTCTGTGCGTCCTCCATACATTCACTGCTGACCTACATTCGTGCTGTAATGTCTGTTTATATTCCTGCGGTGGTACACTGACAGCTCGGGGCTCCGCTGGGAACAGACGAGTCCAAAAATAACTGCACATCCATCTCAGACTCTGATATAACATGTCCTGGGGAAAAGGCATACGTGTTCTCGCAGGTAAATGAAGGTGTGTTGATGTCATCAGCTGATTTCATCGGTTCAACTTTCAGTTCACTTTTTCTCGACTCTTATTTTTCTTCTGATCTTTGGGAAAATTTCCCAGTAATTTTCTAGAAGAAGAAATTGCTGTGTGACTGTTAAATCTTTCACTTTTTGGAAAGGGTTATGTCATTTGGTAGAATTATAATTGAAAAGCAAAAGTTTACAGTTAGTACAGTACTGGGTTTATACATAGCGGCTGTCCTCACTTCCTGGTGGAGTTTGGGGGACTTCTCAGCAAAGAAGTACCGTTTACAGGTCTGAAAAGGTGAGTAGTACTCCTACGGAAAAGAATATTTCAAAAGAGTATTTAAACTTTTTTTGCGCAATATATTCGTATTTATTGATAATATTGTCCTAAAAAGATACTAGGATCAAACATTAGGCAAAGATAACACAGTAAAGCACCGAGCAATTTGCTGTAAAGATTCAAATACATTATTTTATATATATATATATATATATAAGTATCAGGTCTCTATCAAAGAAACTTAACATGATTTAATTAGGGTGCATTAATACTACAGAGACTATTCAGATACTAATTTCATTCCCACTGTGTTTGTAAAGTGCAGGTAATCTGAAAATAAAACAGCAGTTATTTTTTTACTTTCCAGGTCAATCAGTTTCTCGTTATATCAGGTTGTATAAAGAATGTATGCAGTTGTTTCTGTGCTGTGTGTTTCTGTCCTGAATCAAAGTGTCTCATCTGTCCAAACAGCTTCTGGCTTTAATTCTCTGGACTGTGTTTGATCTGCAGCAGAGACTTCACTGCCCTCTACTGTTCCCCAGCTCAAGATAAAAATAAATCAGACCAAACAGCTTCATCATTCGTTCATTTTAAAATCAGTTTCTTCTCTTCATCCAAACTCAACCTTTATACCTCATTTGACTGATTTAGTTTGAATATGAATATCTGTGCATACCAGTTGATATAACGAAATCTTTCACTTATTTTCTGATGCATATCTCTTCATCTGAAACACACACACACACACACACACACACACACACACACACACACACACACACACACACACACACACACACACACACACACACACACACACACACACACACACACACACACAGAGGCCCAGGGTGCTTCATTAACCTCAGGGTGAAGGACAGAGAGACAGTACTGACAGCTGGATCACTGCTGTGTGTGTACATATTTCCTAGAAGTCAGATGGAGACATCAGAAGCCTTCCAGCCAATCCGAAGAGTCCCGGTGATAGTAGTAGTGATCCAATTAGTAATGGTTTCTCCCATTTAAGTTACATGTATTTTCATCAGTTTGTGTGTTTTCCAGCTGATCATAAGAGAAAATATTAACCTCAGAAACACGAATAACTCTGATTTAGCCGTTCAGTGTTAGTCCCTGTGTTAGGAGAAGGAGTGAGGAGGTACGGGAGATCTCTGATTGGTCCTTTAAAGAGTAGGTTAGGATCGGACAGAGAAATTAATCACACAGCGCTCACACCTACGGCGCTGGACTCTCTTGAGAGCTCATTACAGCAGCATGGCAGCCAATCAGAAAGGAGCTGGGGTGCTTCCCTAACACCTGATAGGATGATGGATAGGCTACAGGTCAGTAGCGATGCAGGGCATTCACATTAAAAATCCTGGATGACCGGAGGAAGGCAAAACATTCAGAGGAAACAGAGAGACACTTTGCTACTGAACTAAAGAGCTCAGTGTTGCACAATGCTTGCATCACTCTTGGCCAGTAGAAAGCAATCGTTAGTTATACACCTTTGCTCTGTACCGTTACATCATCTATTGTAGGCTAAAATTAACACTGTCATGACACATAAGTTAGTATCACCGATCACTTCTACTCAGCTGGTGAGTATTTCTGCAAGATAGACAATGAACATAGCGATAACGTTAGCGAGCAAGCCAGTGCACGGGTCTGGCGTTGGTCGCTTCATAAAGCTGGGCAAGACAGCCAATTCACCAGCCCAGGGAGTCTGGATGAATTAGCTGACGTTATCCACTCAAGACAGGATTTTGCTATGTGAGCTAGCTAGCAATTTCACTTTAGCAAGCAAGCTAAAATTTGCTAACATTAGCCAGCTAAACCCGCAATATCATAATATATTTCACATGCTTTGCAGTAATGTTAGCTTTGACTTTGGAAACTGTGTCGTGTTGGGTGTCAGTCATTTGTAGACGTTAATGTGCACTAGTGTTGTACACTGTTGGCACTGTAGGGGAGCGGAAGAGAAGGCACTCAAAGTGTCACATCCTTTGGATTTTCCCGGAAAACCGCCCTGAGTGTGTTATGGGCAAGAAAGTCTCTGACAAAGTGATTTACATTTGCACAGTGCACCTTTGAAATAATACTGTTATACAATATGTACATTCAAAGAGTTCATGATGCTTTTTTTGTTTTTCTTTTTGTTTTTTGTAATGACTTACTGTCTTGTAATGAAGAGAATAGATTATTACGAAGAAACCATCTTATTATATTTACAAGATCAGGATCTCAACATTTCAAGGAAACTATCTTATTATTATTTATGACGTGCGGTGCTCCTATTTCTTGTCCTAAAAGCTCTTAAAATGGACAGGGAAACCTAATCTGCTTCATATTCACTCCAGGAGACACATCCATGTCTGACACTCAGATACAGCTCACAATACACCAATGTAGCACAGACGATGGACAGTCACAGTGATGATGGTACCTGCTGTGCTGGCGAACACTTCGCTCTGCGCTGAGCCTTCCGAGATGATGGCAGCAGCGGCAGCGGCGGTGGCGTCACCCGCTTGAGTCCGGTCAAAGGTCAAGGTACCGGAAGTGGTGAACTGTCCTGACGGAGACACCGTGACTGTTGGGAGGACAGAAGTGTTTGGACTGTCAGTAACTTCTGAGGTTAAAGTTTAAATGTTCACACCAAAGACCTGATGGAAACTCAATAACTTCCAATCACTTTTCATGTCTTATTCAGAGGACCACCAACTACTGTACAGGCAATATGTTCATCACTATTTTATTAATTGAAATAATTCAATATTGTATTGAATTCAGGGGCAAAACAAACAAACTATCTTTTCCCGTCAAGCTGTGTAACACTGAGGCTCCACCACTCCTCCAGTCACACATCAGACTGAGGTCACATGACGTACACGTTGTGCCCGGGGCCAGTGTGATGTTTTTGGTGGCAGGAAGTTCCTTTTTGGGAGGGGTGACCGGAGGCTCATTATCCTTCTTCCGTCTCTTGTATGGGACGAAGAGGCGGACTGGACCAGTCTACAGATAGGAGACGGAGAGAGCGATGAAATCAACACAACGTCCAACAACAGTGATAACGCCAAATATTAAATGTTGCCTAAACACAAGCAGCCATACAAGACATTTATCTAATACTGGTGAAACGACCAGAAACTAACTCTGATCAAAGAATACGAAAACATGATGTGACTACAGTTGCCTTTTCAATATAGACAAGCCTAGCACATAGCATATTTAAGTACAGGAAAGGAGAAAGCTGACTGAGGCTTGCTCAACTCTTATTGGAGCACAGCGCAAAAAGGGGCGGGACTTTAGGCAGCTTTATAAAACATTCTGCTGACAAAAAAAAACAGTTAACGAGCAAACACACACCTGGAGAGAGAAACAGAAAGAGGTAGAGCAAGCAAGTTTGTGTGCAGGAAGTGACCAGAGGTGTAGGTGTGTGTAACAGAGAACTGAAGGGAAAAGCAAGGTGAGCAGATTAAAGCAGTTCGTCATTCTCATCATCTGAGTTAGTCTGGGAGTATGATGGCTAACCTTTTAGGCTTAAGATAAGCCAGTTCTTATTTTTGTGAAACTAATTAATTTAAATAATTTATCGGACAAATCTAAATCAAAATCAAGACTGACCTAACGCTACAGACCAGTCGAAGATATCTCCTGAAACTGACCCCTGGTGTTTCAGTCTATCAGTAATCCATAGCTAATTGGCATATTGAAATGTCATTACAACGCAACCTGAGATAAAGAGAAAGCCTATTATTCAGGTAATGAATACAAATACAGAGCAGTCTAAAAACAGGTTGGGATTATGAGGTCTCAATTACAGAAATAAAGATTAAATTTACCATACTGATGTTTTCAGCGGCCATGGAGTCTGTTTCCTTTGGACACTGAAGAAAGAGGAGAAGAACAGGAGAATAAGACAAACACAAACTCGATCTGCCTGCTGTCTGACTGATCAGATGTTTCGGAATAACAACCATGCTTTCAATTGATCAATTAACCCTTTAGTTTATTGAAATGACAGCAAACATCAGTCTTATGTTTCCAAAGTGATTCTTCAACCCGTTTGTTCAGTCTGACAACACAAACAGGTTCAAACAGATCAAGAGATCAGGTCATAGAAACTGCTTCCAGAAACAGTGTAGAAAATGATATAATTATATTATTATTATGTAATAATCATCAGGGGCTTTCCTATTGTTATGTGACTGAGTCTAAGAATAAAATAAAGCATTTGGTTAAGTTGCACCTCCAGTTTTCTTTAGAGGAACCCAAAATTCCAAAAATGAAAAATATCTCCTTTTGAACAGAAAAAGTCATGAACAAATGAGGCTTTAACACACAGCTATGACTTTGTCACCAAATTGTTTTTGAACCCTATTTGTGATAAACTGAAATTACACTTGTCGGCCACCAGTTAATATGGGTCACTGTGTGTCGAGTCTATTGAACTCAGAGCGCAGACTGCCAATCCACGATCCATCGATTATAATGTGACTTACAACTTTTATTCAGCTGAAAGTTTCAATCAGGTTTCAAAAACAGCCCAACAGGGTGGAAATCCCAATCTGGAAACACTGAGCAGATAATGTTTGAATATTTAACAAGAAATTACCAACACTAACACTAATAACTAATCAACTAACTAACTTATGACTTATTTCATCACTTGTTAGCTCACTGAAAAAACACGATCTTCTTCCTTGACTCTGCTTCCTGAGCTAAACTCTTCCCTGGACCTGCAGGTTGTCCAGGACCAGGACCAGTCCTGCTGACTTACTCCTGTCAGGTCATCACAACAGGCTGCACAGGTACAGGACGCCGCGTGGGGATTCAGGATACGCTCCTACGCACACACACAGACACACAGACAAGGTTAAACTTGACCTTTTGGTCATAATGAGTTGATCTGTATGCAGACTGAAGAAGTGCTTTGTGTAGTACTAAGTGTGGTAAAATAGTACAGCATTAGGACAGTGTAGATAGACAGTATTGCAGAGGTACCTGTATGAGGCAGAGCAGAGGTCTGCCAGCGTATCTGATACTCCTCTTCCAGTCTTTGCTGCTCGCTCTTCCTGCCAGACCTTCAAACTCAGTGGGAGTGTACCACTGCTGGTTGTGTCTGATGCAGCGACCTTTACCACCTGAACACAACACAACACTGTCAGTCTCGGTGATAACAAGACAAATTACTCAAAGAACACAGTACGATAGAGTAGTGAAGTGGGTAATTACATTAACGGTCTGATTCATGTTCTCTTAGGCCAGTGGTTCTGAGATAGCAGAGTTGCGGTGTCCTGAGCAGAGAATGACGTCACACTCGCTCTGTGTGTGTTGTAACTGAGCTTCTCTGTGCTTGGTTTCTCTGCCTGTGAAACTGTTGGCTTTGAGCAGAGTGATATAGTGGCTGTTTCTTTTCTCATCTACATCAGTGAGTTGGTTGTTGTTGGGACAACGAAAAGAAAAACAAAGATGGTTTTGGTGAGTTTTATGATGTTGTTCGAATGAAGTGTGTTTGACGATGATCTGTGAGGTAAATTTACTGTTCTGGTGTTGAGTCTGGTGGTGAGCGAGAGCCGTTTCTGGTTAAACAAAAGTGATCTAATGCTTTAACAAAAAGGTCCATCTCTGTAGGGATCCTTTAAATAATGCTGTCAGACACTTATAATACAGGGATTAAAGCAAGGAAAGATTTGTGATTTGTGATTGAGTGTGAAAACTATTATATTCATTTAAAGCAGCTCTATGCCTGAAATCGGGCATAGTGATTTTGTGTTGATCACCTGATCCCAGTCGGCTCTTGTAGAGGACGCCACTAGTGTTCCTGCAGCGGACCGGCAGCTCGTTGTTGTAGACCGAGGGGTCCCAGTTGTACTTGGAACACGAGTCTTTCTCTTGGGGTGGAGTCAAAGGGGTGGGCGGAGTCTGTGGGCCTGAGGGATGCAGCAAAAAGCCTTGGTCATGATCTAGCTAACAGTTGATAAGTCTGCATTTTAGTAGGTTAGGCTTGAGGACTTGTTGCTATGACAACGTTTCAGTTGGATTTTAAACCAGTTTAGAAGAACCAATAAATCTAGACTCAAATAGTCAGTCAGCGTTTTTAATTTAGACATTTACATACAAAAACGGACTAGTTCAATATGGACACCCCAGAGACAGCGGTACCTTCCCAGTGTTGTAACACACACACACACACACACACACACACACACACACACACACACACACACACACACACACACACACGTACCTGATGCGATGGCGGCAGCAGACTTGAGGCCAGCCTCCACAATGCTGCCGTCAGTGTGAACCACAATCAAAGTGGCCTTCTGGGTACTGAGACCTTCACTGAGCTGGAGGGTTGCCCTTCCACTCTGTGTGACACACACACATACACACAAACAGTGTTTATCTACACCTACGAAGATGGTGCAGATATAAGCAGGCTCAGCTTACTGGAACTGGTAACACAGAGAGCCCAGTGAGGTTCCAGAGGGCCTTTAGGGGTTTTTCTAGGTTTCCTTTAAGAGGTTGAACACATTTTGGGACCCTTAAGAGTCTCCACCACCATTACTGAGGAGTGAAATCAAACTGAAAGAAATAAGTCGCAAGTTCTCTAAATCAGCAGATCAGCATCTGAAGTTCTTCATCTTCAACATGAGTCATTTGAGGATACAAATTACTGATTGCTAATACAAAATACTAAGAGTAATTAATGTACACATGTTTTTAAACTGTTACGTCTGAACGTCTGTGGCTGACTGTCTGATGAAAGAAGATTCAGATGCAAGCACATTGTTTTACCAGCAGATGGCAGTGTGCACTGTTTCAATTTAAGCTTTAACCTTTTTGCAGCAGTGTGTCAGGAACCCTTTCAGAAAGCTAATTTCACCAGTACAATTTCTGATGGAACTAAACCACATATTCAACCATACACAGGTGCACGTTGGTCCTCCTCGCTGTTCATTTGACAATATGAGTACTATTTATCAGAAAGTGGTCAATACCTAACTGGACAGAAATCGAATGTACTGGTCGTGTTCAAGTTGTGGTTTAATTCTCATTCTTTATTTTAAACAGTCAGGTAGTTATTTTATACAGTTTATCACTTTAATGGTGCCTTCAATTAACAATTGTGCTTTTAGAAATTATGAGTTCAGCTTCACTTTTTACTGATATTAATTTGCACCAGTCAAGTTTCCAGAGTTTAACCAAAAGAACAAATCCAGGTAGAAAGCGGAGCTGTCTAACTCTACTTCCTATGTTCTAACAACTGACTGTTTCTGCCGTCTATATTGTGCTCTGATTACTCAGAGCACAATGAGGTTGTTTTGGATTATTAATGATAAGAAACATCAGTTTAATAAGGTGTGGAGTGACAACCATGAAGCTGCTCTTTGAAGCTGATCTGATCTGACAGCATAGACTGTACATACAGGGTGACACTGAGCATGTGCAGTAGCGTGACCATCAGTGTGTGTTGTCTATCTACCAGCATGTGTTCAGGGAGACTTCCTGACGTGGCAACCGTCGTGGTAAAAACATTGTCCTCCGCTTGAACGTCTGCCACCGTCACAGCCGTCACCTCTGATCAAAGTCAAGAAATACAAATATTTTATAATCACATACATTTTCAGTAGGTCCATTGCATTATAGCTACTACAGTAATCCAGTAATGTAAAGATAAAATATCCAAACCCAGTGTTATAACAGCATGTAGTGCTACACGGGACAATATGGAAAACGATAAAATCAGAATCAGAAGACCTTATCTAATAACATATATACCAAAATAGGTTAAGTAAGGAAAATCACTAATCAAACATTTCAGCTGATGTCCCTGTCAGTAGACTGCACAGTGATGGAAGTTACAATGAATGCCTATTGAGCTGATCAATATTTCAGACATCAATGTGAGTGGGAGAAATCTAAAGCAGAATTTATTTTCCTAAGATATGAAAGTTACATTATTATCATTTCTCATCAAACTACATTAAAATAAATATGTGATGTCAGTAAAACATAGACTTCAAACACGGTTAATCATATCCAGTCAACTATATTAATCCACCAGTGAACACACTGTGGTGGGCAGTGGGCCAGCAGTGGAAAACAACTCTATGAGTTGTAATTTTAAGGTTGCATAGGGGCTTAATGATATCTGTAATTGCCGAATATGGAGACATGCGCTCACTTAGTAAACTGAATATATGCGGTGTAACATATGTGTGGTATGTGCTATCGATAGGATAAATATCTTTAAATTGCACAATAATTGAACGGAGTCTGGCAACAGCAGTATTACTGCTATGTAGCAACTACGATGATTGTTGTGCTTACTGAAAGGCTGCGCAGTTAAGTGTGTGAATCACTGCCGATTCACTTTAATTGATCAGATACATGAACCAGGCATCTGTCTTCTCATCGTGTTGACACTGAGTTAAGCTAACGGTACTAGCATCATCATCACACTTTGTGTTTTAGCGCCACCCCGGCCTGCTGCTAGCTTAAGCCCGCCTTGCCTGCAAATGCAGCCTCGGCCTCGTCTGGGTTCGGCAAGGACTCGGCTCCCATGTCGATGTTTCCCGGTTCGGCCATCACAGCCATCGTGGTGACTTCGGCCTCCGACTCGGTATCCGAGCCGTCCACCGGCTGCATGCCGATAGGCGGTTCATCCAGCCCGAGTGCCTTCGTGGCCGAGTCCGCCTCGTCCATTCTTCCGCCTAACGACAAGAGCCGAATGTGGACGAGCAGTTCGCGGGGCAGAGCGGGGTCCGAACGTAGCCGAGCCGGGTACGAACCAGAGAGGAACCGCAAACACGGAACCCGTTAACAATAATCGGTAAAAAAAAATAAAATAATCAAGAGTATTTAACACATTTAAGGAAACGTCAGGGAACCCGGCGGCCAAATCCGGAGAGAGAACGGCTGCTCGGCTGTTTGTTTTTCACGAAGTCAGGAAAGAGATGCAGCGGAGACTGCCGAAAGAACACGAACGGATCCGAAGCGACACAGTGTGGCCGATACCCAGCTACACAGCGACAGGAACCGGATCATCTAAATGTATAGGCAATTTATTACACTTTCAGTATAATATCAACCCACCACTGTGTTTCCATTCATTCAATTTATTTTTTGTTGCGTTTGAAGATTATATTTGTTTTTATTTACTGATTGGTTACCGCAGGACTGACTCATAAACTTATTTCTGATGAAGAACATTTGTTTCACTGTCTGTGATTTCACCTGAACATACCATAGTAAAAAAGTGCTGAGAGGAAGTGGGGAATACAACATGATGGGTATGTGGGTTAGTTTGCATTCTCTAACTAAAACTTACACATGGCATGCATAATAAAATATAAATAGTACATAATTATGTATAATATCAAGAACAAGATAAATTGATACATTTAAAGTGCAATTCCATATATGTTTTTAATCTTTCATTATACTTTAAGACAAAGTTTAAGATACTATACTTTCCAATCAATCCTGGTTAGAAACAGCATTTAGAGCTTTATGTTGGGAAATCAAATGCACACAACTATAACCGTTAAAAAAAAATCTAAATTATAATAAGATTTGAAGGGAGACATGGGTACATTCAGTATTTCTGAAATACAGCCCTGTGTCTAAGGTACAACAATATGTGGGTAATATGGACAATTAACAGTTTCATTTAAAATGACACTGATGTGATATTGAAATCTGTCCTGTTGGGGCTTTTATTGAATTATAATTTATTCTCATATGTTATCAAAATAAAATCTTTATAATTTTCTCAAAGTCATACTATGATTATAAAAATAAAAATATACACCTCTTTTACTGAAGACTGTAAAAGTGCCAGTCATAAATTATTTCTACCATACCTCACATAATGCCCTGAAACTATATATACCATGTAAAAAAGGAGCAATTCTCCCCAACAAGTTCCACAATTAAAACCATGTATTACATGTGTATTAAGAATAGTATTAAATGTTGGCTGTGGCTGATTAACAGTCCAGACAGCTGGAATGTAAACCCATAGAGAAAGGAAACTCTTTTGAACCCTCTTTAATCTCCTCCGGTCTCACCTGTGATTTGCTGAGCAGACCGACTGGATGTGGAATAAAAAATACAAAATGTTATGATACAAAACAGCCCTATGTAAACCACAAACAGAACAGGTCCAAACATTTAAGATGGATTATTAAAAGAGGACAGGAGAATAAAATCACATGTTACAATATTTGGTGTGTGTATCTCCTGTCAATGAACTGCAATGTTAATAAAGATTCATTAGACATTTACAGAAGCTACATGCTAACACAAACTTTTGTTAACATATACAGATGTTAAAAAAAAAAAAAAAAGGGCAGGAAGATCAAACAGTTGGTTGACAATCCTTAAAGTCACAGTGATATCACCTGGCACACTGAATACCAGCAAACAGCCAGTGGTCACGTCACTTCCTGCTCGCACCAGCAGATTGTCACCTGCTGTGTCCAAATGGTCCAAATTCCACACTACATACAAATTGGCAGACAGTGCCTATAATATATTAACTGTCATATAATAGTGTTTTTGCTATTTGTATACTAAACATCTTTTTTTTTTAAACTTCTGTTTCATACTGAGGGAAAATAATAAAATATGTACCTCTATGTCAATCAAACTTTCATCTTGGAATAACCCTGCCAATTACAATTCATTTATTCATACAATGTTTTACGGTGGTTTAATATTTTTCACCTCAACATTTCTGTAGCTATGTTGCCATCAAACTCAATTTGAGTTTCTGCAGCTCTGAGTCGTTCCTTCATTTCCTTTGTGCACTGATATGCGAGCGTACATAAAACAGCACTCTCAATTTTCTCTCTCGATTTCTTTAGTCTGTAGAATATATTTTGGAGTATTTCACTTCTGCAGTTTGAACAGACAAGCTACAACTCAACACTTTCTTTAAATAAAGTATTGTGCAGTCTGGAACTAAGACACAGCCACTGTGTACACTGTAATGAAAGCATGTTGTGGGGCAGATTTGTCTTGACAGGTTCATAAGCCTATCACACTTAACTGTGGTGGGCTACACTCCCACCTGAGCCGTATTCAGGCCCCACCTTCTCTTTGACCATATTGGGACGGTAGGACCACATCACAGGAAGGTACAAAGTTGGCGGCAAGTGGAAAGTAAAGTGTGGAAGTCCAGGCATTTTTTGTTATTAACACCAGCATCTTTGGTAAGACAACACCCACTACCATTTCCCCTGCTGGCCGACACTCCCCGCTGCCCAGTTCAACAATTCAACAAAATGTTTTTTTCTTCCTGTTTGTTTCCTCACTTTGGTGCAGAATAAAAAGTCGTCTCCTGTGCAGGAGAATCACAGAGATGATTATAATGTCAGAGTCTACAGCCTGAGCTCCACATCAGGTCCAGCTCCTTGGTGATCCGCTTTTCCAGTCAGCGTTGAATCCTGGAGACCATGTAGTAAAGCAGGAAGAAGAGCAAGACCAGGCCCACAGAGACATAGCAAAGGATGCGGCGGTTATCTCTGCCGGATCGGACCATGGTGGAGAAACGTTTCACGCTGCCGCTCAGAAGGCCTGTGGCACTCAGGAAGTTTGAGTCCTGAAAGGTAAAAGAGAAGAGGGAGGAAAATTGTGAAGGGTCTTTTATAAACTGAAGAGAAAATGAAAATGAGAAAATGTTATTTTACACTCCATTTTAGCTAGAACGTCCCTTCACATATTTAAACTATGTGTTAAAATCCAGGGGAGTCCTGCGGAAGTGTCTGTAGATCACCAGCAGCCTTATTTTAACAGATAGACTATTTTATCAATTGTACCAATCCACACAGTCTAAGACTTTTTCTCACTTCTTTTTTAAAATTTCTCTAGCACTTTTGGTTAAGTAAATCTAATATGAAGCACATTTGGCGTCCCCGTGTTCTAGGACCACCATTATGGATTGACAACCAATGATTTCACAGCATCTCTCTCCCTTTATTAAATAGCAACTTGCAGACTGATGTCCCAGTGAATAAGTGAAAAAATAATGCAGAAACTAGATTGTCTTGTCTTTTGTCAGACAGCTCAAACCAAAAGTCACAGGGTGGAGGGGCACTAACAAATAGTGGTAATAGGCGTTTAGTTTGTAGGGGGCATGTTTGTAGGAGCGTCTGCAAGGCTTCTTCTTTTATATTGCTTCACTCACCATGTTGTCCAGATACTCATTCTGATCATCAGCCTCTCTGTCGATGTCGTACGCCAGCTGTCAGATTCAGAGACAGGACAGATGATTAAAAGTTAAAATGGCAGGTTCTTACACTTGAGTTTATCAGTTTTTAGAAAATAAATTAGTTAATGACATCGAATGAATGTTCCCATCATCTCAGTATCAAACTACAGACAGATGAGAGAACATAAAGGTATTTAAAAAGCACCATATCACTAATTTACAATCTGTGTACCCCTTTCCTGATTCATATCAGAGTCACATGAAGTGTCACTCACAGATTTCAGTCTGGAGACTTTGGTGGCCAGGTTCTCAGCCAGCCGTTTGTTTTCAGCATCCAACATGTCGTCCACAGAGCCATGACCTGGAAACACACCAACACGTTAGATGAGAAATGAAACTGCGGTTAAAGTGTTGACTTTAATATCTGTTGTAGATATTATGTTTCTGTGTTAAGTCCTCAATAGGTTATGTGGTTAGATTCCTACTATTAATTTACAAATATGAAATTTATAAATAAATAACTTATGGGTTCTATATCTTATAATATCAACTCTACAGCCATAAACTTGACCTCTTGAATGACTATTGCTAAAGTCTAAATAAAGTTCTAAACATTTAAAATTGACATTAATACTTCAAATTAAAAGCTTTTGTTCTGCAATTTATCTGTTTTTACTTTGGTGAATCTAAAAGATAGATATTTACAGACATTTTAATAATTAAATTCAAACTGGAAACGTTTAAAAAATAAAAAATGTGGGCCACTTCTAAGGTTGATGATTGGTGGATTTGTCTCTTTAATAGTGTAGACCGGTGACAGCCAGTGCACAGCCTCTGTCAGCAGGCTTTAACCAGTCCTGTAGGCAGTCATCGTCGAGCACTCCGTCGACACTTTCGGCGGGAAATTAATTTTACTGTAAAACAAACGATGCAACAGCCTCTCCTCCATTAACCAGCACACCCAGATAGCAGTTGACATAAATTGAGGATTATAATCTGGAAGGACTGGCCAAGCGCGATATCTAGAGGTAAGACAAACTTGGTAACTTTACAAAAAACGTATTATTGTTAAGAACTAACGTTAATATAACTTCTATATGTTAGAGCGGTGATTTTCAAACGGGGGTCCTTGAGTGGGTTGTAAGGGGGTCCCCCGGCAAAAGGAGGAAGATATTTTTTTGCTATGATGAAAAGGCGATTTTTGGTTTACTTTAGGCGATTTAAGCTAGCACTTGCAAGAGCAGCGATCTTATGGTAACGTTAGCAACGCCTCAACGTAGACACCGCGCGTTCTCAATCAGTTAGACCCGCGTCTGCGCGGTCGCCATATTGTAATATAATATTCAATAAGAGCTCAGTTTGAATGCTGCTTCTATCCTCTGCTGTGTGGGGGTTCAACAAACACACACCACGGTGGATTTGACGCTACAGTTCTGGTTATCCAGTGGCCCTGTGGCTCTCAGAGGGGTTTAACGTTGGAGTCCTGCTGGGACGCCATGGACACTTTCGGCGGGAAATTCACTTTACTGTAAAACAAACCATGCAAGCAAGACTCTTCTCCATCAACCAGCCCTGACATAAATTGAGGATTATAACGTAGAAGGACAGGCCAAGTGCCGAGGGGCGATATCGAGGTAAAACAAACTTGGTAACAAAAACATTATTGTTGGAAGAAATCATGTTAGAGCAGTGATTTTCAAACTGTTCAGGACCACCTGTCCTTGAGTGGGTTGTAACAGCAAAAGGAGGAATATATTTAAACTTTTAATCACATTTGTTGCTTGCATGTTGTCATGATGTAAGGCTTTTGTAGCTATAATTTAACGAGCTAAAAGTTCGCTATATTTTATTCTAGCATTAGGAGTCAGCGGGAACGAAGATATCTGGTTTTCAATTAGACTTGAGTCTGCGCGGTCGCCATATTGTAATATATAACTTATATATACGTTATATAACTTATATATTTACACACCACCGTATGGGTTTTCACGCGCGTCTGTGTCCAGCGCTCCTAGTTTCGCGGTAGTATTATTATATACAGTACAAGACGTCAACTTAATTAATTAAATAACGTTATGTATGTATGTGTGTGTGTTGTAGTAGAATATAAGAGTCTGATGAGGAGGTTTTAGTGGATTGTAATGATGAATCATCAGAAGTAGAATGTTGAGCTCCGCCCCTAGCAACTGAATTAATTCCAACCAGCAACCAGCATCGGTACCAATATCTCACGGTTATAACAAACCAAAGTAACAGCTCACAGTATTGTTTCCATGTGGAGACCGCGCAGTTGGTGTTTGTGTGTTTAAGTCTGTCTCCCCTTCAAATTGTGTTTCCCTCAAGTTAAAATGATGTCTTCCTCTTTGGTTGGGCTAACCATCTCAGAAGACGACTGGTTGGGGTTGACTTTGGTTTCTACAATTCAGCCACAGTAATCAAGCCAACTTTGTCGATCGGTCACTAACATACATTATTTACTAAAAGTTAACTTTATCCCTTTAAAGTTAGATGGTAACTATGTGCACATATTAAATATAAGCTTATCTCTAGCTTGCAGGAAAAAAGCGACCTGTTTAACCATCTGATGACCTAGTTCATCAGTTGTTGCGGAGTGACTAAACCTGTCCGTTCATAGTGCGTTAACGATAGTTAAGACTTGTTTGATGTTAGGACAGCTATATATATATAACGTTATATATTATACTAATCTATACTTAACAGCTACACTCTTTAGCTAGTTAGCCTGCTAGCTAAGCTTCATACTTGTGCTCGGCTCTAAGTGAAGTAACTACAGATCCAAACACCAAACAAGCTGCTGGTCTGATCTATCGTTTATATTGTACACTCCACCACACGGCTGTAACATTAGCTCTGTACTGTGCGGACAGTTAAAGGCTGAACATTAAGAGCTGAAGACGTGTCAAAAACAATACCTCGGTTCCAGTCCGCCATGTTGACGAGTGATGTCACGATCAGCTGCTCACAGGTTTGATAGACCCATGTGATCATGGCCACTCCCCCTGGAAAGCACACTCCTCCACAGCTCCTGTTTGTGTTCCTCTTTCGGTTTTAATTGGAGTGGCAAACCGCATTAAGGCGCATTACAGCCACCTACGATGTTGGACTGTGGACCAGAGTTATCTACCCCTTAATCAAATAAACAAAAAATAATAACAACAACAACAATAGTACATAAAACACTAAAATATTTTGATCAACCCAGTTTATTTCAAATTATAAAATTGTCTCCTTAACCAGATGAAATGTAATCATTTATCATTTAAATTTATAATTTAAATTACAAAGAAAAATATACAGCATCATTATAGATGAGTGTAACTAATGATACAACGTTTTGGTGCCTGATGTACAAATCAAACAAAGAGGTATGTGGTTTTCAAGAAAAACTGAAGCTGAGCTCTGTGACTGCAATGTAATGATAATACATGAAAGACAAAATGGGGTTTAGGAAAAAACAAAACATTCAGCATCTGTATTGTGCAGCCAAACAACAAGCAAGACATCATTAAACAATGTAGTATCATTCACAGCACAAAGCGGTTATAGTGGTGTAATGTGGTAGATGGAAGGAAGCTTTTCCTCCAATGGTAGAGGTGGTATTCCTAGACTGAAGAGGCCTTTCTCATTTCCCCGTTTGTACATCCTTGATTCCTCTCCTCGCATCTTAGTCCCTGCCACCAGAGATGCAAGTGGAGGAAGCCAGGAGAGAGGAGTCAAGACAACAGGCATTTAACAATATGTCCTTGAATCAGAGTCAACAACTGCACAGCTGCATCATCTGCCTATTGTTTTCTTATATATTACTGCTGTATGCTGTCAGATGAACAGTGTTCATAACAATTATTGTATATTGATTTTTAATTTAATTGACAACATGGCATAATGTGGCAAGAATGTAGTCTACGGATGTCATACATTTCTATTTTGATCACAACCTATAAAGCTGCTCTTTTACTATTGTATATAAAAATATTTGTTCTTCATTCTGTTCTGTACTTTCAGGGAATATATAGCGCCTAACTCCCTTTAAGAAATATTACGGACACGTAAGGCATTGTGCCTTACGTGTCCGTAACAACACGTAACTCCAGAAGCACGAGATAAAGTGACCACAGTCTTCTTGTCAATTGGGCATCAATATAATCCATAAAGATTAACTTTTTGACGATTTTGTCTTCTCAGCTTGCAACAGTGTCAGTGGGAAAAGGATGTGGGAATGAGAGGCGGACCATTTTAATTATTTCTCACTATAGTAAGTGCTCATAACACTGTTAACTCACCGTCTATAATTATGTGTGTTGTGGTATTTGAGGAGGTTTTTTGGCCGTTACCATAGTAATACATAACATATCTTTAAGGAATGCTGTTAGAACAGTGCCTTACGAAGCGCTACACAAACAATAAAGGGCAGAAAGTTTGATCATCTTCAATAACTAATACAACTTATGAGTACATCTGTACAGAGCTCCCGCCATGGTTTGTATATTCCAGCTCTGTGTCACGCCTCTTTTATGTGTCAACGGTGCTGAAAACATTGAAAAGACATCCACAAAGGATACACATGTGCACCCTCGCTCATAACTCCTCCAGCGTGCCTCCTCTCGTCTCCTCCAGATGCAATTTAGGAATTGAGACGTCCTTCAAGATGGCGCACTGAGATTGATTTCCGGGTCTCAGGCAGGAGGACAGAGGAGAGAGGAGACGAGGAGGCACAAATTAGAGAAATGAGAAAGGTCCAAGGTAGTGTGAGTGTGTGGCGTGTGTTGACTATCTGTGACCACTGGGTGGCGCACACACACACACACACACACACACACCAAATAGACAGATGAGCTGATCCCATGTCAACTTGCCCAGTGCTGACTGAACCAATTCACCCAGAATGAATTTATCAAGCAAGTTTATTTCACAAACTTTAATCTTGTTTTTGAGATTAATTTATCTATTTGAACTATAATAGTCTCTGGATTACTCACCTTATCATCTGAGTTGTAACATGCAGTTAAGTGTGTACAAGAAGAGGGTTTATCAGAAATTTGTATCAGTGTGGGGGATTTGGGGGCATGGGCAATCCCTGGCTGATCGGTTCAATAAGTTGTTAAACTACTGCAGTGGTAGTTCTCTTTAGAGTGTAGGGTCAAAGGTCATGTTAGCTCAGTGTGAAAACACTATCATGCAAATGTGAAACAGTGATATCACCCTGTGTGTATGTGTGTATGAGTGTGCTCAGTTAATCCTCCTGTGTCTCTATGTGCTGTAATCCACCTGTGTGTGTGTGTGTGTGTGTGTGTGTGTGCCACCTGACGTCAGCCTGCGGGGGGAAGGGAAGTCTACATGAGTTTTGTGTGTGTCTGTAAGAAATGAAAACAACAGTAATGAACAACAACTAATGCAGCTAGAGCACTAAGAACAGGATAGACATGACATTCTGTTTCTTGGTTGTTGCTAAGATATACTAGCTGGTTGCCAGGGTTTTTCATGGTGGTTGCTTGAGATTTTCTTAATGGTTGCTAAGGTGTGCTAGCTGGTTTCTTTTTCTTTCTTCTTAGTGGTTCCTAGGGGATGCAACTGGTTGCTATGGTATCTTTTGGTGGTTGCTCCTCAAGTTGTTCAGTCTGACCACCTGTCTTCAGTCTAACATCTCCTCAAGTCTGTTTAGACCTGGTGTGTAGACCTGGTTTATGTTGACCTGGCATGTCCCTCTCAATAGGACGAGCTGCTGCAGGTTTAGTTGTAGTCTGTGTAGACCTAGTGTGTGTAGACATGGTGTGTCTCTCTCAGCAGGAGGAGCTGCAGCAGAGTCTATCTGGCGCTCACTGAAGCCACAGATTGTCTAATTAGATTAAGCAAGGCTTTCCTCAGATAATCATTTAGCCAGCTCCTGTTTTTTCCTCCGATGGAGCGCTGCTTGTGACTGTGAGCTTGCTGAAGGTCAAACGGAATTTCTAAAAAACAGGCTGGTTTTGTGTGTAAATTGTGGTCTTGGAGCAGGTCTGCATACTGCCGAAGCTGTGGCCAGGTTATGGGCTGTTTCTGGAGCTGTGAGTGTGACGCTGCTCAGAGTAATCAGACTGCCACTAATACCTGCTGCTGCTGCTAACAGGAGGCGATGGGGGAAATTTCTGTAAGTAAAGCCTTTCTTCTCCGCAGTGCTGCACTAATGAAATGATAATAATGTTTTATCAGGAATTACACATTCTTAATAGTGTGGGGTTTTTTTGTTTTTTTTTTTTTGTTTGTTGTTTTGTTTGTTGTTTTTTTCAAAAGCTTGAATGTATTTCCTCGGTGTGGAGGGCTGGCTACTGCTGCAATGATTAGTTCATTAGTAATTGATCAACAAAGAATTCTCCAATAAAAATCTAAATTATCTTGTTGCAGCCTCTCTAAAGTGAGGATTTACTGTCTTTTTTGGGCATCCATTTGTCAAATCTCTTTGTGTTTTGGGACCGTATGTTGTAATCACTCAAGAGGCTCTAGCAATTTCACTGATATAACTTAAGTTCAGCCTGGTCACCTCTCAATAGCTTTTTCTCCATCAGCCTCAAACAGGTTGCTTCTCTCTTGCTCAGATTAAGCCTCGGCTGACTGATTGACAGATTACAGCTGAAGGCACAGAGGTCACAACCTGTGAAGAACAAGTATAAAGGCTTTCAGTTCACATATGAGCAGGCACAATACTCTACAGCACACACAAATATCCATTCAGATTCAGTCTGTTCAAAGTGAATGAACAGTTAAAATGTACTTGTTAGTTTTTAGTTAACTAAGGTTTTAAGAATAGAGCAGTCTGATGGCTGGAGGTTTGATCAGGTCTGGCAGGTCTTGACTGTCTTGCTTCACACGCATACAGCTGGTTACTAACAGTGATGAGGTAAGACGATGTAACAAGTACAACGTGACACACTAGTCCTGCCGCCCAAGACATAGATAGTAATTTTTGTCAATAAGTTTGTTCTTGCCTTGATTTCATTTTTACTCCTGCTGCTGCCCTTGAGCAAAGTACTGTTCTTTGAGCTGGAGTTTATTTCATTTTATTTTTACTTTATTTATTTACACATGACACATTAACCTGTCACTACCAGCATTTCAAGTTTTTCAGTTCAGTTCAGTTCAACAAGCTCATTAGGCAACATTAAAGTTATATACAAATACTCTGTTTGGGACAGTAATGTTTGTCTGATGTGTTGTTTCTGCAAAAAACAATAATATTGTCATTAAAACCCTTAAAAAGGTTCATTCTAGCCCATTGAACATTCAGAAATCATGCAAAGGGAACCTTTCATTTCTGAAGTTTTTCTGCTGGACACAAAATGACTTCTACTTCACTGTAAAGTCTGTTCTCAGTGTATGTGCACTGGTGGCCTTAAGTTCAACTGCACACTTGAGTAAGTTACATACTGGAAGAAGATTGATCTTTCTGTGGTTTTTTACATTTTTATAGCCCATTAAATTGAGATTTTCAGTGAGCACAGAGAAACTTTGTACTTATAGCAGATGAATGTGAAACCATCCTTCTAGTGTCAAACTCTGCACAGACATCATTCTGCACAGAAGCTCAAACATACAACTGTAGGAACAAGAAGATAAATATATATATATATATATATATATATATATTTTGTGGAGGGAGACTTCATGTTAAACTCAGTTTCTCTCCAAACTGATTGCTAAACAGTTTTTGACTATACAATATTTGAATATTAAATCAGCTTTCGGATGAAGCATACCACGATGATATGATCTAATTGTTCTCCCATCATTTGTTGTCATCATTTGTTATTCAGAGTGTGCTGTAGTTTCAAAAAATGAAAATAGTTATTGAATATTTAAGTTTTTTTTAAAGTTTGATTTATTGCATGCCAGAGGAACACAGCGGTTTATTGTTTTGGAACGCACTTTATTGATTATTTAAAGTAGTCAACCAAATTACATATAAAATAAATGTATTTTTATGTAATTTAGCCAACATCTGCCATTTGATGATTGATGGTAGTTGATATTGGCAAACTATTGTTAACTATGGTGATAATTAATTTAGCCATATTGCCCATCTAGTGCTGTTGCCAGGATTTTATAAATGAGTCGACGTCCCCCATCGTATTCCCACCTCCCTCAAGAACTTATTATATTTACACTAAATTCGATCTTTCTAAATTATGTTCTAAATGCCATTTCAAAACCTCCATAATCCCATGAATATGAATTTGCTAGTAAAGTAATGAATCCCGCATACTTTTTTGACATCACATTTCTCGCCAGAAAAAGTCAAATATAAATATGTATGTAGTTGTAGAATGAAAACCCCCACATTCCCAGAGACAATACCAAATACCAAGGACATGACCTGTGTCCAATCACGCCCTTTGTGTGGTGATATTCTCTACAATTTTCCCATAGAGTTACTTATTTGTTTTCCCATGAGACTTCTGAAATAACCTGATTTGTCTATCCCCCTACAGTCACAGAGTCCCTGTACGGCCAGATTTGCAACTCGGGCCGACCACTGAGTCTGTGTTTTTTGGGAAGGCCTCTGTCGAGTCCCAGAGGAAGGAGACATGGCTAACAACTCTTTTCGTGGGTCCAAACATGGACGACATGGCGAGGCCAACCACGAAGGGGAGTTCAGCTGCTCACTACAGGAGCTGCGCTCGCTCATGGAGCTGAGGGGAGCTGAGTCACTGACCAAGATCCAGGAGTGTTATGGAGATGTTAACGGACTGTGTGCCAGACTGAGGACCTCACCTGTTGAAGGTAAATATGTTCAGAAACTCTGTTATCTATGATAAACAATAATAATACTAATGAATTCATAAAGACTAGAAACAGTATCGCGGCTAATCTCAACTTTTCACAATAATAAAACTTTTACTGTTGTAAAATTCAAGCATTGTGTGCTACAGCTAGAACAGAGAGGAGGCTACATCATACAGTGTAACTATAAACTATTTTACATTTCTGACTTTTGCCTTAAAAATAAAGAAACAATAATGGGACAGCTCAAATAACAAATAGGTTTTTACCTAAAATGAAGATGCATGAAGAGGAAAAGCGAGACTGAGAGAGAATTGTAGGCAATGGAACCCAAAACCGCCCAATTTGGCAAGACAGTCAGTCAGTGTGATGCTCCTTTCTAATTACAGTTTGGTGTTTTCAGTCAGAGCCAATCTAATGCCCCTTCACCAGTGACTCACAAACCCCTCCCCCTGGTGCAGGCACCATCAAACCGACGTAGGACGTATTGGTTTAGTCTGGCTTAAGGCACTGTTGACTGTGTGATGGTCAAAGTCAACCGTGACCTGCAGCCTCTGTTGATCCTGCCCTACTCTCTGTCAGCTTCAGGACAATATAAGACAAACACAGCATGTTCCAGTCTGTAAATTCTGCATTTAAATTAGGACAATTTCAAATGGAGGATTTAGACAGCGAGGACAAGATTATAATTTTTTTCACATTTGCTATATTATTTGACAGTACAGTAAAGAGAGACAGGAAATGCACAAGAGAGAGAGGAGATGACATGCTGCAAAAGGCTGAACTCAAACCTGGGCCACTGCAGTAGGGACTTGAACGTTGATACATGGTACACACTCTGTCAGGTGTGCTACCGGCGCTTCATTTTGGTGATGTCTTGTGGTCTAAAGCACTTTATTGGGATTGTTCAACATCAACAGTGACCTGAGAAGAAACGTTGGTGGATGCTGTAAGAAAATCGCAGTGTGTGTGTGTCTTTAAGTAGGGATGCACTGATCATTTGAGCAAACAGTCATTTGACTTATATTGGTTGTGACCTTATTAAGCAGATCAGGTGCACACTCAGTAGAGTGACACTAACTAACTAACTTTCACAATCAGTGCAGCTGCGCTTTTACGACTGAAGAAAAAACAACACTAGCTTCACATAGTGAGGAAGTAGTGCTATAAAGAGTTAAAATTTAGGAAAAAATGAGCACTGGTATTTTATCAGTACGCTGTATCGGCAGAGAAAAAGCCAGATCTGTGCATTCATAAATGTGACCTAAATCTGTGGTTAATTACTTTTACAGAGGGGCGTGGCACCAGAAAGAGACGCAGTCTGAGTTTCCACCAAAATATCAACAAACAAAACAAACTAGCTTTATGCTGCCCATTTAAATGAACCTTCCACCTGTTAGCATTTCTTTTCCCTGTGTACTGCGCTCGAAGCGCTGGGCACCAAAACACCACGCAGAGGGGGAAAGCGAATTTCAAGGTCAGGAAATACCTAACTGTGTAACAAAGATAAAACTTAAATTTTTAAAAATCCACCACTGTAATATTAGTTTTTGTTGAGCAGTGATGCTCATCTTGTCTGATCAGCATGTAAAACCTTTCTACATGATGACCTCAGTGACCTCTGCTGAACCCTGGAGGATGTGTCCTGTATGATCTCATGCAGAGGATGACCAGAGGAGTTTTGCATTTGACTTTAAATGCTAAACTTAGACTCCATGCCCCGGTGACTGCGGGTTTAGACAGAACACTGAGCTGCTTTGATGAACATCCTGCTGTTTGTACGTTTTTGCACTTTTATTACAAATCATAAGTTCATTACAAAAAAAAATTCCATTATCCACTTGTTTTTAGATTAGATTAGATTTGCTTTCTACCATACACCCATAGAGACATAGTCCATCACACTTGAGATTAGCCAAACTTTATTGCTTTGGTAATGTTCTGCTACGGTGTGGTTAAGATGTGGATGTGTCCCACATTGAGCTACAGACAGTAGATTCAATGTGTCTCACACTGAACTACAGTGGATTCAGTGGTGTCTCATTTGTCTGCCCTTTGACATTTTTCTCCTCATCATTAATTCATTCAGTCTGTCCATCTTTCACACTCTCAGTAAACACCGTCAGAGTTTTGACTCCTGCTGCCAGAGAGAGGTAAAATGTCAACAGCAGCTTGAAATCACTGGAAAATCCATCACACTGCTTTACTTGTCTGTGTGTCTGTGTGGTGACAGCTGGGGTGCAGATCCATTAACTTTCAGTGTAATCCCACTCATCTGAAAGCACAGAGCATGCTCAGTGCTTTGCTCACTGAGTTTCATTTTCAGACAACACGAAGAAAGGTGCTGCATTAAAAACCTGTTCAGACTGACCGAGTCAGCTGCAGCCATGCAGCAGCTGCCGTGTGTCCAAAGGGATCTGAGCAAGTCGTGACACGTTCTGCTCCACAGAGCAAACCAGTCTGCTCTCTGCTCCCACACAACACCACACTACTGTAGAGAGACACAAACACCAGGCATGATAAACCATGTGCAAATTTTCATTAAAAAAAAATCATTTTTAAATTAAAGCTGCAAGCAGGAATGATTGGTCCCTCGCTTACATGGCAGTTGTACATGTCTTGGGAGCGTGGCTAAGCCATTTTGCGAATGCTGATGTTAGGGAAGAATAGAATACGTAAATTTCTCCTACCGTAGAATTTTCAACAAAAAAAAAGTTTCATGAGTTTCCGAGTATGCTAAAGCCTCCAAAAATGCAGAATAATAATATTATTCTAATAATTCCTTGCATTTCAATAGGGTCCTAGCACGCTTGGTGCTCGGGCACTAATGATTGGAATTGACATTAGTTCTACTAGTAGTAGTAGTAATAGTAGTATTTCTACTTCCTAGTACAGGAAACAGTTTAAAAAAGAGCAGGCGCTTTCAAAAATAATCAGTAGGTGATTGGATGAACCATCTGTCTATCATTATCTATCATGAGCAAACTTCAACCAATCAGATCAACGAACCATATAGCGTAGTCAAACTAAAGTTTTGGGAGAAGAGTGAAAACATCTTTTCGAGAAAAGCTTTGAGTTCCGTTCTTTGCTCTTCTTTTAATGAAGAAATATTCTCCAGTTTTTATTTTATATTTTTTGGGGCTTTTATTGCGTTTAATTGATAGTGACAGCCCGAAGATAGACAGGAAAGGGGGGCAGAGAGAGGGGATGACATGCAGCAAAGGGATACAGGTCAAATACGAACCCTGGGCCACTGCAGCAAGGACTCAGCCTTGGTACATGGGGTGCCAGCTCTACCAGATCAGCTAACCGAGTGCCTCACTTTTCACATCTTGTCACACACCTAGCGTTAAACCACACCCGTAGCTAATGTCACAGCTGCCAGTAGCTCCTTATAGGACGCTGATTGGTCTGAACCACTGTGGTCTCCTGGCAAGATGGATTCTTGCATGATTTCATAATCTTGTGAGTCTGGCTGCCTTGCAAGGTTAATTGTAGGCATAGTTTCAAAGTACTTCTATAGTGTTAAATCCAAAATGTTTCTTCACATTAGTTCTCTGTTGTTTTGGTGTTCTGATCATCTGTACAGCACAGAATTTGTTTAATACTGTGTGTGTCAAAGAGGAGAGCAACAGTCTGGTTTTACAGATAAAAACAGGACATGCAGTGGGTGAGATGGACAGTGCATTTTAGGAACAGTGGAGTATATGATACGGCATTCAGACAGATTATTGCAGATTGGCTATTAGATCTTTTTCTACATTCACATAGTAGTTGGAATTTCAAATAAAAAACAACAGCCCTCATGAGCACAACTGGAGAGGTTTCATCCTTTAAAACTTTATGGAAAAACTGTATGAACTTCATACAGGTTAAGGTTAATCTGGCTATGACTTTCTTCTGGTCAATGGCTGCATATATGTTCATGCTTCCACTGTGGGCTGTTTTTCACAGACAGTGTGCACATCAACCTGAGCAGGATTCAGCTGCAGGATGAAAGCAGAACACAAAGGAAACAGATCTAGTCCTCAGACTATATTGTTTTACAGGGCTCCAGAGTGCGACCAAAAAGTTTTTTTTAAAGGCGACACAATGAAAAATTTGGGCGCACCTACATTTTGTGCTGGTGCACCTAAAAAAAAAAAAGTTAGGCGCACCAGTGCAACCAATGCAAAAAGTTAGTCTGGAGCCCTGTTTTAGTATGACACGCTTTCAAAAATGTAATGATGCAACAGTTCTTTAGGATCTCTGACTTAAATCCAGTTTTAGTTAGTTATGTTAGTTAGTAAGTGTGCTGTCATATTCAGATTTTTTAATATCATATGCTCACAGTATATGTTAGTAGTATTCCACCCCATCATAAGGCAACAGACCTGCCAGTTCTAACCCATATCCACAGTCTTAGGCTCACACTTTCGGGATGAATGAGTCAAATAATCTGATGATTCTGAACCTTGTTTAACCCCAAAGACTTGTAATGTTGGGCAGAGTTTCAGAGTTTACACCATATGAAGAGGTTGGGATTAAGCATTATCTTGGATTAACAGATGTTAGATTAAATATAAAGTCAGTTTAATGGTGTAAAACAGGCTCAAAGGAGGACATGTCACTGATGTTGTCTTTGTGTCTCCTGCTGCAGGTTTAGATGGAAACTCTGAGGACATCGACAGAAGGAAACAGGAGTTTGGACAGAACCTCATCCCTCCTAAAAAGCCAAAAACCTTTGTGCAGTTAGTGTGGGAAGCCCTGCAGGATGTCACGCTCATCATCCTGGAGGTGGCAGCCATCATTTCACTAGGCCTTTCTTTCTACAGTCCGCCAGATGCTGGGAGACAGAGTGAGTTTATCCGTTTAATTGTTCAAATGAAACCTTTGTATCTTATCTTGAGCCTGTGTGTAACCAGGTGTCTCACTGAACTTGTTTACAGAGACATTGTGATGAGATATGAGCACAGCTGTCAGGTGATCCGATGTTCAAAATTTGTTTCCTGTCTGTCTAAATGTCTCGTCATCAGGCTTCAGTCAGTGAGGGCTTTTGGGACTTCCTGTGATACTTTACATCAGCAGTATTTGTGATAACACTGGTTCATAAAAATGATGTTCACACAGTGACCAGCTGAGAAGCAGCTTCTTAAATATAGACATTTATTCATTTTTAAATAGATTCAGCATTGTTTCTGATGTTTTCCATCAATACTTCTTACCTAGCATATGAGAAATACTATATTATCCAGTCTAGCTCACCTGCTGAGCAACCGCCTCAGACTGAAACATACAGGTCAAGGTTTTATTTGTTAAACTCTGTGAAAACAGACTTAAACACAATAAGAGGCGAGTTGGCATCTGGTTATAGTTCGGTCAAACTCTTCCTACAGGAGACATGTATAGCATGTGGGTCCACTCAAGTCTTATTTCTGTTGGAGCTGTTCATATGAGACAACTGTCACAGCTTCATCTCAGCAGAGACTCCAGTCTGTGGCATAGTTCATACACCACAGACCTACAGTGAAATCAATACGTTATATTAGTACAAAATAAAAGCTTTCTCGCTGAGTCCATATGCATGGATTCTGTTTTGTCTGTGAATCAATTATGTAGTGTGTAAATTATCAGCTTCCATTCCTGACAGAAAGGTCAGTTAACCAAAGCCAGGCTGCATCTGACCCTGTTCGGGAGGAGAGTTGAGAAAGACAGTTGGCTGATATGCTTTTACACATTCAGATGTGTGTTATTAAGTCTGAATGCGCTATTAGCCAGATAGACCAACTACCATATATTGAACCGTATACAGGACAGGGTGCCAGATATATCTGATTGAACTGACACTTTTTAGTTAATCAAGTTCACCAATAAATTGTTTATCTTTTGAATGGTATAGGCTGCTGCTTTAAAGGACCAGTGTAAGATTTAGTGGCATCTAGCAATGGGAATGAGAACAAGCTATGAAGTGTATAGGTGAAACAAAAGGCCCTATCTAAAGTCAATGTTAGGTTTGTCCATTCTCGGATAACGTAGAAACACAGTGGTTCAACATGGCGGCCTCCACAGAAGGTGACCCGCAGCATCTGTAAACAAAAACTGCTTATTCTGAGGTAGCTAAAACACCATGAATCTTATTTTCAGGTGATTGCACACTAATGAAAACATACCTATGAATATTGTATTCCATTTTCTGCCAATCCTCCTAAATGTTACATGCTGGACCTTTAAAGTGTTTTAAGTGATCATTTTCATTCAAGCTGCCTCCTCATCTGACAGTCCACAGGATTTCATGTGTCAGAGTTAACTCTATGAACATGTTCAGGCAACTACACAGCTCACATCTGCATGCATAAGGTTATAACTTTTTGCTTCACAGCAGCTCTCCTCTCAAAGTTAAGACCTGGATCCTCCTGTGCAGGAAGGTCAGACATCCCTTCCTGTTAGGCTGCACTGTTTGAGTGTGTAAAGAAGCTATGGAAAATTAAAGAGGCATTGACACATATTTAGAGAACAAACTCCAGCCTGTATTGTTTGTGTTCAGACTGTGGCAGTGCGGCTGGCGGCGTGGAAGAGGAGAGTGAGGCGGAGGCTGGATGGATCGAAGGTGCTGCCATCCTTTTGTCGGTGGTGTGCGTGGTCCTGGTGACAGCCTTCAATGACTGGAGCAAAGAGAAGCAGTTCCGTGGCCTCCAGAGCCGCATTGAGCAGGAGCAGAAGTTCACCGTGGTGCGAGGGGGGCAGGTGATCCAGATCCAAGTGTCCGAGCTCGTTGTTGGAGACATCGCTCAAGTCAAATATGGTTAGAGAAACAAAGTATAACAGAGCATAACACTGGTTTAAAATCAAGTTCCCTGAGTGATTTTTAGAGCTTGATATAAAACTTTAGTACTATTAGTTTTTAGTTTTTTGATTTAAACCACAATGTTATTTATTGTCCCCTATTCGCCTGAACAACAGCCTTCAAGGGATCATCAAACCTTAATTTTAAATTTTAAAAATGTAATTTCTTTTCTCTATTAGTTGTCATGTGACAGACTGGTGGGTTCTTGCCATAATGATGATGTAACATAATGACCTGATGAGGGTGAGCTGTTGTTACACTGTGTGTGTGTGTGTGTGTGTGTGTGTGTGTGTGTGTGTGTGTGTGTGTGTGTGTGTGTCGTTTTTCCAGGTGACCTCCTCCCTACTGATGGTGTCCTGATTCAGAGCAACGATCTAAAGATTGATGAGAGCTCGCTGACCGGAGAGTCAGATCATGTCAAGAAGAGTCTCGACAGAGACCCCATGTTGCTGTCAGGTGCTTCACTCTACTCCATTCACATCAAATTGCAGCCACGTTCAGTGTGACCTGCATTGTTATTGCCAGCTCTTACCAGCCTTTCCTTGCTGCTGATTTTCCACTGTTAAATTAAATCAACTCTGTAGTTTTCACACCTAAGATTAACATTAAAGCTCTTCCTACAATGTAATTATACAACTTTGAACCAGAAATGACTGAATTTGAATTGATTTTATGGTTTAGGCAGAGTCACTCCACTAACAGTAAAGTGATAATTTAGGAATATATAGTTTTTGGAGACAGCCTATTAGACCATAAATTTATAGCCTGTGGTTCTTATGCTCATATAGGCACCAGGTGTGTTTGGCTCGCTGAATCTGCACAAGGTTTTGCGTTTACAGATGACATACAGAACACATTAACACATTAGGGTGCACACAGGGTGCTTGAACCCAGTGTGTGTTGCAAAATTTTAAACATCACAGTCAGCAGCCACACTGACTGCACATGACTCCTTATTGATGATTGGCAGCAGTTAGGTGTGTGTTAAGAGTTACTTGCCATTACTCCCATAGTCCCAGGAAGGGAGAGGCATACAAAGAAAACACCAGCACGGCATCAAGTAGGGATCGCTTCCAGTCCATATGCTCAAAGGGAATTAAAAAGCCTGCTGACATCCAAATACACATACAAACCCAGTATGAGTTCACTGAACAAATTCATCACAGGAATACGGTGAATGAATTATACATTTGATAATACTAGTAGACCACAACCAAGAGGAAGGAGAGCTCTATAAAATATCTATATTCATGTGTATACACCATTTGGACCAATACTTTATTGATACAAAGTCATAGAAAAAAGTCTCAGGTCAGTTTCTCCATTTCATACATTTGTTTTCTTATTGCTATCAACTCTCCTTTTGCTGGTGGGTCCTTATCTAACCATTTCTTAATTATTGCTTTTTTGCTAGCTACAAATAGTATTTTAACAACATACTTATCCTATGTTGTGTTAAATTCAGTTGAAATTTTAACTAAATGTATGGTGCCAAAACTATAATCAATACTCAAAACCCATTATTGATTTTATTTTTTTAGTATCTGTAGCCAATCGGATTGGATTAGTGGACGATTCCAAAATATGTGAAAGTGATTAGCCATTGAATTATAACATTGTCTCCAGCATTGAATCTGGTCTAGCATTCTGTAAATATATTCTTCTTGGAGTAATAAAAACCCTAATATTGTTCTTTCATCTCTCCACTAGCCAGACCTGGAGGTGGTGGATTGTATTTGTTGTAGATTCTTGAGATATCAAGGACAACAAACTGTTCCTGTGGCATATGACATTATTGTTTTTTTTTTTCATAGCATTGGTCTTTGGTTGGGGAACCCTCTTACCTTCCTTGTCTGATAATTGTGTGTATTTCCACAAAATATTTCCAAATACTACCAATATGGTAAAATACCTGTCTCCCTCAGGTACCCATGTGATGGAGGGCTCTGGAAAGATGTTGGTCACCGCTGTAGGTGTGAACTCTCAAACTGGAATCATCCTCATGCTGCTCGGTGCTAGTGAAGAAGGTGATGATGGTGAGGACAAGGCTGAGAAAGAGAAAAGGAAGAAGGAGAAAGAGAAGAAAAAAGAGGAGCGGAAAAAGAAAGAGAAGATGGACAAGAAAAGTAAGTTTAGAAAATAGGGATCTTTGTTGTCTTTTTAATGGTTTATTGATGTTTTGTTCCATTTGTATGACTAACTAATGGCTGTTCTTACATGTTTTTCCTTTGCAGGTAAAAAAGATGACAAAGAAAAGAAAGGTGAGCCACTTTAGCACTGTGAGTTACCGTATATGACTCTGAGTGGATGTGAAGGTTGAACTGAATAGCAGCATTTTCAGTTCATCTGTCCATCTGTTACCTGAGGCGGGCTGTTTTTTCTGAGCTCTGGTGGTTCTGAGCTGCAACAACAGCTGGTAACATTAGTTATGTCTGTGGAACTGCCTTATTAATGTTTTTATTCATCTGTCATGTTGGCTGTATGTACAGTAGGCTATGTGTTCTGTGAGGCAGTATAGAAGTCAACAGGCTGTCAGGGGTCAGACGGTATCACACAGTCGCAGCTGATCTGTCCTCCTTAGATGTGTGTAGTGTTTCTCTTCCTAATTATGGTGAGGGTTGTAAAGATTCAGTCTCTGACTTGACAGAAATGCAACAGTCTGGATCAAACCTGTGAGACATTGTTTTTTGTGTGTTTCTGTTCTTGTGAAATGTAATTAGTGACTACATTTACATGCACACTACTTTTCCACTATAATTCCAAATATGACAAATATTCTCATATTCTGTTTGGATATGCCTAATTATGCTTTATTCCCAATTTTTCCAATTAAGACATGTGGGATATACCAATATTATTCAGGTTTTAGGAGCATTCTTTGGACGTTTATACATTCGGAATATGCGTCTCAATTGGGGTTTTTACCGGTTTCTGAAAGACTTTGATATCAACAGATTTTCAGATAAACGTAAATGTCGCAATTCCAACATTTCAAAAAGGTGGTTGAATGAGTGAAAGAGGAACGTGGTGTTTGCATGGTCAAAAAAGTCTGGAAACCGAGAACGTTGGTGGAGGGTCTTAGTTTTTTAAGTTACGTTAAAGCCTGTTCACACATTGGCAGTAAAAACTGATTCATTTGTGCTTCAGAATCTTATATTTACATTTACAAGAGGTGGTTCTGGTCAGACAAGTCAAATATCCTGCAGGACATTAGGGGTCTGAAGTGCATCTCATCTGAAGTCTGTCATTTCTGGGTTTCCCTGGTTCTGCTAGTGGTCCTTTTGGTCCCACATGGTGCAGTGTATGTCCCTGTGGTCTGAGCAGCAGCAGCAGGTGCTCCTGACTCTGTTGATGGTGATTAGGACCAAGCAGATTATCAGCCTTAAGCTCGGCAGCTGCTTTCTTCTCCTGCCTGCTGCTGCCTGCCTGTCCACTAATAACCTCATTACTGAGCTGGGATCAGCACGCTCACACACACAGAGAAACAAATTCACACACACACACACACACACCTGCAGATACCTCACACTCTGTCACAGAGCTACAGTGTCAGTGGACTCTGTTTGTAGTGCTGTTAATTGTTTCTGTAGTGATCCAGAGGGAACAGAGATAATGTATTCAGGTTAGTGAGCTTGTTGGTTTGTTGTCAGTAAGTTAGTTTGGAGGTCTGCTCTCTGACTCTACGTGAAGTTAAACAACACAGCACAATAAACTCAGACTTGGATTAGACAAACATTTGACACACAGCATCGTAGCCCCGCCCTCCACTCTTTGTCCAGTACTTTAATGGCTTTAACTTTATCCTGATGACAAAATGTTAGTTGTGTGATGGAAAAGTGGATAGTATGACCCACATACTGACATCATCATCCTCCAGTTCTGCTGTGTTATTACAAGCATATGGAATCATATTTTAGTAAGGATCCTCCCTGTTGTCTGATTTGCCCCTGTTTTAGTTTGCAAACTCAACTCTCCATGTTTAAATGTTATCTTAATAAATTATAAGTATAAAGTGTAATACACATTCCTATAATGCAACAGCAATCCAAACAAGAACAGACATGTCACTCATTGAAGTTGAATTCTATACTCATCCCTACATAAAATTATTTTTCTTATTTACCCAATGTGTTCATTGGAGTGAAAATACGATATAATGGTCAGCCCTGAGACCTCAATAAATTAATTTTCCTTGACCTGACTCAAACTATTAGTGGCAGTTTTGATGGCTGTGTTTTACTGACTTTCTGTGTACTCTTCAGGAAAAAGCAAGGATGGAGCCTCCGTGGAAATGACACCACTCAATGAGGACGGAGAACCAGAGAAAAAGACAAGCCTGCCAAAGAAAGAGAAGTCTGTCCTCCAGGGGAAGCTCACCAAAATGACTGTGCAGATCGGAAAAGCAGGTATGAACAGAGAATCAGATAAATGTCAAGTGTGAATATTAGATTAGATTAAACTTCATTGTCATTGCAGTGCAAGTGCTGAGACAATGAAATGCAGTTTAGCATGCACCAAAGTGCAAAAAATAAATACCAATACATACCAGATACTAAGTAGTCAATACCAGTACCAGTGAAATTTCACAATATTCGATACCACAGTAAAAATGTCCCAGTAAAGTGTTTTTGCTCCTGATCCCCATTGAATATCTACTGATACCGAGTCCTGATCCAATACTTGTATTTTCCTTAATAATACAGGTGAGCTCTGCATTGCATTAAGAAACGAAATTGCCTGCAACCAAGCTGTTCCTTAATGTTTTTTATACATAATACATTGATTTTAATATAGCCTATTATATATGTATTTTATACTTAATTACTTGCTTACTAATTACCAATCTTTTTTTGATTTTGTCAATCTGGTATTGTCACTGTCTCCAGGGAATTTAAAAGTCTCTTACAGAGTTTGTTGCTTCAGTGCACCCTTTACCTGAGTTAAGTGTATTCTGCTGAGCGTTTATTTCCTCGTCTGTACATCTTTTGCGCAGATTACATTAATAAATCACGCTTATTTGCTTTTTGTTTGTGGGGCTTTTGTTACACTTGCAGTGGCGTGGTGTGCAGCTCCCCACTGTCTCTGACCAGGAGCCCCCCTAGATAATAGAATTGCCTGCATCCAAGCTGTTCCTTATTGTCTTTATATATATATATATATATATACTTATGTGCTGCCTTTAAAGTTAGTAATTTAAATAAATTCTTAGTTTAAAAAGTGAGATTATTAAATTAATACATTAAAATCATTTAATTTATTTGCATTGGTTCATATTGTGTGCTACCCTCTACTGGTCTGGGCTATTTCTGCAGTCAAGTACATTCTTCAGTTGAGCACAGACAGGCAAGACAGACAGTGCTGGATACATGTTGATGCTGAATGTATATCTGACACGCTTCTCCCTTGGAGACTATTTGTCTGTGAGTAATATGTGTAAATAATTAGCTAGTATACAGCAGTAGCTAACTCTGTACACTGACTGACTGTCACTTGTAGTTGTGGCAGTTGTGCTGTATTTTTTTACACAGTATAGTGCTGCTTTTTGCTTTAGTAGTAATTTGAATGTGTGAATCATTTTGTATGATTTTTTATCTTTTTTCTCTATAATGTTTTCAAGAGCAGTACAACTTCACTAAATAACAAAGTACTACTACAAATTAGTATAATATAGCTTAACAAACCATGTAATCTTTTTTGGGGGGGCTGCTGTCTCCAGGGAATTTCTCTCTCCCTTTAAAAGTCTCCTGCAGAGTTTGTTGCTTCAGTGCAGGCTTTACCTGAGTTACCTGAACGAAGTGTATTCTGCTGAGTGTTTATTTCCTGGTCCATACATCTTTTGTGCAGATTACATTGTAAATGACTCTTAATGGATTTTTGTTTGCGGAGCTTTTGTTGCACTTGCAGTGGCGTAGTGAGTGTGTGGCTCTCCACTGCTGTCTCACCTCTGACCAGGAGCTCAGCCCCGCCCGCGATGGTGTGACTAGAATATTTGTAGCCACATATGCTGCCCTGTCTGGTCTGGAAGAATTGCATCCCTGGTACCTACAGTGCTGTAGAAAAATAGTACCAACTAGAGTCAGTGTCCATCAAGCATCTCAAAGTAGGTCCTAACTGTCCAAAGATTCTTGGTGACGAATATTTGGTCCTAGTCTTAATACTAGTAATACTACTAAAAGCATTGTATCACCTATGTTGATAAGTGCAGTGCTGATATTTAGAAGAGTTCCAGAAGGTCCCCTAACTAGGACTGTACATAACGATACATTTTTTAGCGACTAACAACTAATTTATCCAATATTCTATTTTTTTTTTAATACTTGATTAATTTAACATTTGACACAAAATACATATCAAAAACAAACAAATACAGCAAGAAACAAAGTATGCACTGTATGTCACAGCAACCCTTTCCCTAAACTTGAGAATCAATTGTTTTATTTAAAGGTCCAGTGTGTAACATTTGACTTTTTATCACCTTAGAATGAGCACATGTTCTCCTAAGATCCTTGCAGCCTTGTTCTTTGGCTAAAAATTTATATTTTTTCAACTAAAACAGCAATGACAGTGGCAAATTATATTGTTGGGATCACATTCAGAGCGATTTCATGAACGATATTGTGGTATACAACTTATTACTTATTAATTAATGAATATAGAACGTAATTTAAAAAAACATTAAAAAAAAATGTATTTTACCTGAGGGGGGTTCAACATGTTAAAATAATGTTTATTTTTTCAACTGTGCAAGTGGGTCAGAAATATACTTGCCCCAAGTACATGACTTGCCCCTATAGAAACCTCGGTTATAAGCGGTTTAAATCCTCAAACACAACCCAACTAAACTTCCATTTCCAGGATAATTGAAATGCTTGCTTCAGTTCATTGACTTAGTGCCCAGCCAGTACTCTGCATATGCAACTCTCAATAGAGATGACAAGGAAGCGAAGACTCTTTAGCTACTTAATGTACAGCAAATACATGCAATATATCAACTAACTGTTAGAGATATCACTATGCCAAAGATCTGAAAAATGGGTGTTAGTACATGCTTGGCAGAGACGCTGTCTGGCACAGATACTGGGGGAATTTTATGCAGTAGCACAAGTATGGACCAGGTAAAGCAAGAGTGAACAGCAGTAAACACATCAGCAGGTAACAGTGTCATACGGTACCGCATTGTTTTTGATCTGTTTGTACGTCATTAACAACAAGCCTCCTCCACACAGGGCTCACCTGAAGTTGTTAAAATGGAATTGCGCGTGAAAAAATCCCAAGGATGAGTTTTTTTTTTTTTTTAAGCAACTCTGTAAAAACTTACAGCAGAAGAAAGTCAACAGAGACACATACAGGGAGAGAGAAACAAAGGGGCAGGGAGGGCCAGGCTGGTGTGTATGTGTGATGGTAAAAGCAAAGTGAGCAGATTAAAGTAGTGTATGTGTTAAGTAGTGAATTAAGTAAATAAGAAAACATCTATTAGTAATGGGGCCACTGTTGTTGCTTTTTGTAATGTCCAGATGTTTTTATTATGTTTATGTTCATGACATCATCTCCGCACATGGCGCTGCACTAGTCAGTGTCAAATTATATGATTGTATAGGTAACACTTGATAAATACAGACCCAGAACCCTGTAAACAACATCTGTTGTGCTTATGATCACCTTTATAACTGAACTCTCCATGTCTCTGTCTGTGTCCTCAGGTCTGTTTATGTCAGCTCTCACTGTCATCATCCTCATTGTTCGCTTCCTGATCGATACCTTCTGGATTCAGGCGGTTCCCTGGAACACTGAGTGTATTCCCATCTACGTGCAGTTCTTGGTCAAGTTCTTCATCATTGGTGTGACAGTGCTGGTGGTGGCTGTGCCTGAAGGTCTCCCTCTGGCTGTCACCATCTCCCTGGCATATTCAGTCAAGGTCTGTTTGTATACTGTACACTTTCCTCCAGATTCTGTTCTTTTCCTTTTCCTGTTTCCCATATGATATTATAATTACCCCCAAAAATGACATTAGCTTAGTGTAATCAGAAGTTGCCTTAGTTAAATGTCCAATATAGTGCATCAAATACTACGTTTTAATATCATTTTTTTTATTTTTAGTACTCAGACCTGTGAAACGTGCATCTGTTTTTATCAGTTCCACCCACATGCTCTATATGAATGTGTGTTTGTGCGTGTTGATAGGCTTTGGTCCAGTGTGTAACATTTAGGAGGATCTATTGGCAGAAAAGAAATGTAATATTTATAGGTATGTTTTCATTAGTGTATAATGTAGTGAATATAGGAATGGTTGTGTGTGTGGTCATCTCAGAATGAGACGGTTTTATCTACAGATGCCACACTACACACACAAACACAGACTAAAACAGGCAATGTTGTCAAAGTAACACCCATATCATTTGAGGAATAGGTTACGCCTCAGCCTAAACCTGTAACTTTACAGTTTAAAATATCCTACAACGTGAAATAATACATTAACCATCACTGTAGCATATGATAAACCTTACAGTAAAGGTGTCAATTAATAAATAACAAATAAGGTCTAATCATTCTTATTACAAAAGTTCTGATCAGTCAGGAACAGGCATAGTTTTAAATGTTATATGAATTTCATAAATAATGTCATTTTTATATATGTGATTATGTATTATGAATATAATGTCCTTTACAGACAATGTGGGCTAAAACACACAAGATTCGGTCAGATTTACTACTCTTTGGCCCCCTCCAGACAATCCTGGATTAAACACTGTTCATTCTGTAAATGTCTTACATTGTCAAATACATTCAGAACAAAGTACTCAGATTCAGTTAACACTTTTCTTTCAGAAAATGATGAAAGATAACAACCTGGTCCGCCACCTGGATGCCTGTGAGACAATGGGTAATGCTACGGCCATCTGCTCCGACAAGACAGGCACTCTCACAATGAACCGCATGACAGTGGTGCAGACCTACATCGCAGGACGGTACTACAAAAAGGTGCCAGAACCGGACCTGATTCCTGCCAAGATCCTGGAACTGCTCATCACAGGCATCGGGGTCAACTGCGCCTACACCACCAAGATTATGGTGAGCTGTAAGAATAGCTATCCATTCAGGAAGCTTTGTGAGTTAAGCATTTGGCCTAGAGCTGGTTGGTTTGGAGAGCTGCCACAGCAGCTCAAGACTCATCTGATCACTGTCTCCTGGATCCACTGCAGAGATCAGAGGAGACAAACAAGTATTTTATTTATCAGATAAAACCCTCTGCAGTGACTGTCTTCAGACAAGCATTTTCATTATCAGTTAGTGGCAGTTATTTTCTGGATTAACAGATTTATTGTTTAGTGGTTCCCTCTAATGGGTCACCTAATAAAACTAAGGGATCGTGAGATACCAAAAATTAAAAAACAAAATATACAAGAAAGACAAAGTATTACTGCTACACAAAATGTCTGCAAAGGTCAAGCCAACCAGATCAGCCCCAAGAATCTGGATGAAGCAGCTGACAGTATTTTTTTATATAAGCTACCTAGCAGTTTGTCTGCGTGCATCACAATATATTTCACAACTGTGCAGTAATGTTAGCTTCGACTTTGGTCTTTATGTTGGACTCGGTCATTTGTAGATGTTAGGGGACTCCATTTATAAGCTAACAGCTGTTTACACTGTAGTGAAGCAAAGAGAGATGGTAAATGTTACATCTAAATCAGTCCATAGGCAACTGAGAAATTTGGGTAAGGTCTCATTTTTAACTTACGTGACATCCCATTTACTAATTGGCAGTAAAAAGTGATTAATAAATACAATTAACTGTAAAATGCTTCAGAATCTTACACATGGAACATTTAACCTTAGGGTTAGGGTTACCTGTGTTTGTTGAAACTTGTATCTCATTGCTGCTATTGGATTGATGTTATTGTCATATGCTGCTGCCGTTGTGAGTTTAATTCCCATACCACGTAAAAAGGAGCTGATTAGTTATGAAAAGCTCAAACTTAAAGTGTGATTTAACATCTTTCTTGCTCCTTCCTCCAGCCTCCAGAGAAGGAGGGCGGGCTGGCTCGCCAGGTGGGAAACAAGACTGAATGTGCCTTACTGGGACTCTCCATCAAACTGCACCGAGACTACCAGACCATCCGCAACGAAATCCCAGAAGAGAAGCTGTTCAAGGTCTACACCTTCAACTCTGTGAGGAAGTCCATGAGCACTGTGCTAAAGATGCATGACGGCAGCTACCGAATGTACAGCAAGGGGGCCTCTGAGATCCTGCTCAGGAAGTACGTTTCATGCTGCTGCTGCTGCTCGCCCAACTCTGTGCTCAGTTACATGATGATCACATGACTCTTTACTTTGGTTGCAGGTGCTGTAAGATCCTGACGGCCAGCGGCGAGGCCAAAGCGTTTAAACCTCGGGACCGAGACGACCTGGTGAAAAAGGTGATTGAGCCGATGGCGTCGGAGGGCCTCAGAACCATCTGCCTTGCCTACAGAGATTTCCCCGCTGCTGATGGAGAGCCTGAGTGGGACGAGGAGGCCCACATCCTCACCAACCTCACCTGCATCGCCGTGGTTGGCATTGAAGACCCTGTACGACCTGAGGTAAGTTAGCCCTCTCTTTACACCGGGATGCATAGAGGCAACCAGCCAATCACAGTTGAACTACCAACAGTATGAGTCACTACTCAATTCAATTCAGATTTATTTTTATAGCGCCAGTTCATAATAAAAGTAATCTCATGACACTTCAAATAGAGTAGGTCTAGACCGTACTCCATATAAAATTATTCATAGAACATCTGAAGAAGAGCTCCCTTAAACACTGGTCCATTCTTATTTTAAGACTTGTTGATCTAAAAGTACATTAGGCCTTTTCTCTAGTAAAATAATGGCATGTATTAATGTGTACATTAACTTGGAGGCTTGTTAATGATGTTGCATATGGAGAACGAAACAGTTGCTTTTCTCTGCAAAATACTAAATGTATTAATATTATTTATTCAATTGTCTTAGGGTAAGAAACTCAGTCTGACTCCTATGTGGGCTGGTATTGAAGAGGTCATGGATTCAGGGAATGGAGAAGAGTGGATTTGGGAATACTTATTAACAAATATACAGTGTAGGATTTAAAGAGCTCACATGCTTACTCTTAAGAAACTGAGGTCCTCAAAACCTCAAATTAAGAGGGGAAATGCTGCTTTCCAACAGTGATAATTCTCTTCTAGGGCAAAGAAAGTTTATTGATCGCTCGTACAGCTCCTCAGATAATGTGCAAATTTATCCATCTCCTTACACATCAGAGTGAGGTTAATCTGGCAAAACAAACTGCAGCCCACAGATGGTTTGTGACCTCATTGCTGCATGTGCAGTATTGTACGTTACATGCAAGATTCTGCATATTAATACAGGTTGTGTGATTGTCAGATTTACTACTCTTTTACTTTGTGTAGATGTTTTCACGCTGCAGTGCTTTGCCATTTACTAACAGCCTGTTAAAATGGCTCATTGGTAAATAGCATTATGAGATGTAAGTTATTTATTTATTTTGGCATTATATTTTGGCATATTTAACCATGTGCCTTTGCAGATGTCTGAAGGGTTGGATCACAGCCAACAATAAACCACACTCTTTACACCCCACAGGACCAACATTTCTTTGGACTTAAATAGCTATAACAAGTGTGTGAAGAAGCTGTCTGACAGTCATCAGTTTTTGTTCTTTCCATCATATTGTTTCTTAATTTCTTCAGTGTTCTGTCATCTGTCTGGAGGCCTCAGTAAACCTCAACATGTATCATTGTTGATGTTTCCACTGGTGTTCTCATCAGGTACCAGAAGCCATCAGAAAGTGCCAGCGGGCCGGGATCACTGTCCGCATGGTTACCGGAGACAACATCAACACCGCCCGGGCCATCGCTACAAAATGTGGTATCCTGCAACCTGGAGACGACTTCCTGTGTATGGAGGGGAAAGAGTTCAACCGACGGATACACAACGAGCTGGGAGAGGTCAGACTGGACCAAAAGACAGCAGTCAATCTAAAACTTTTTTGTTTTTGATTTGTGGCTCTAATGTACACTAGAGGGTTGAATATTTCTAAGTACCTGTAAAGGCAAAACAATACAGGTTCAGAAAAGTCTACAAATAATAAATCTTTTTGCATTGTAGACTTATTTATGTATTCTCTTTCTCTCTGCAGATTGAGCAGGAGCGTATTGACAAGATTTGGCCAAAGCTGAGAGTCCTCGCCCGATCATCTCCAACGGATAAACATACCCTGGTCAAAGGTTAGGCACACTTTAACCAAGTCAAGAAGGGCAGAGGAAGACAGGAAGTTAGATAGACGTATGGGTGAGACAGATGGTATTGAGACATATAAAGCAAAGGCAAGTTCATTTTATCTTTTCTTTATCTTATACAGGACAATCTTCACAAGGCAGTTTTACAGTGATTTACATACATGTAAACATTTAAATGAATAAGATAGTGAAAAAAAGAAAATGTGAGCATAAGTTTAAATTCATATGCAACCCTGATATAAAATTAAAACAGATATGAAAACAAAATAAGAGCCGGTCAGAGTTAATACACACTTTGGATCCTTATTTGGTCAGTAAGTGTGTCTTAGCTGTGTGTCTGTGTGTTGTCATCTCAGGTATCATTGACAGTACTGTGCTGGAGCAGAGGCAGGTTGTCGCTGTAACAGGTGATGGTACAAATGACGGTCCTGCCCTCAAGAAAGCGGACGTCGGCTTCGCCATGGTAACGATTGCTGCCAATGTCATCAAACTGCTGCGCCTAGTTAACAGTTTTTGTAAACTAAAGTTTGCCATTAGTGTTTATAAAACAGTTGAAATAGTAAGCAGTACATACATGATAAAAAGTAAGTAACTTAAGTTGTGAACTTATTTGTAAATGTATTAATATGTCATTAAATATTCAGATATATACGATTTATATTAAATGGCTACATTTTCAAGTTTAAGGAAATTAAACTTGAATCTAGATTAAAGTTAAAACTTCTGCTGTTTTCTGTTGTGGCCCCATCCTCTCAGACCTTCAGGTCATTCTGACCGTTTTTTTTTAAATGTTTTTACCAGGTTCTAATCCAGAGCAGACAGCAGGTCAAAAAAGACAAACAATTGTTTATTCTAGCTTTATTGGTCTGTTATTATCATAAGAACGGCAACCTAAACCTATCCTATGTAACCTTCAGCCTCTCTCTACTGCCTCGTATAACTCCACTCAGTTGATCCTGACCAATCAGAAATGTGTGAGGCGCATTTAGCTGATTACATCATGTCCTTCAGTCATCAGCGTTCTTCACATGTAGACTGATAGCAGACAAGTTCAGGAGAGTCCTGAACCCCCTGGTCTTAACCAAGGCTCACGACCAGGTTCAGTTTTAGGTTTACGTAAGCTAACCTACATGCTGTGTTTTGCAGGGCATCGCAGGGACGGACGTAGCAAAGGAGGCATCTGACATCATCCTGACTGACGATAACTTCACAAGTATTGTGAAGGCCGTGATGTGGGGCAGGAACGTCTACGATAGCATCTCCAAGTTCCTTCAGTTCCAGCTCACTGTCAATGTGGTCGCCGTCATCGTGGCCTTCACCGGAGCCTGCATCACCCAGGTCTGAGCCATCTAATACTGCTGCTACTTACATAAAGGGTGGACAAAATAACACTAATGTTTGACAGTCTAACAGTCCAATCTAAGTGACAGTGGGGACTTTGTCAGATAAGTTTTGATTCATTCTGCTTACTTTGTTGATCAGCAGTACGTTTTATAAAACACAACTTGCCTTTTGAATGTTTTCACACGCGATTTAGTTTTTACTGCCCCAGGTGAGCCGTGCATTAAACGGAGGCTCGTTAATGATGTTGCATATCGAAAACGATGCTGTTGCTTTTCTCTGCAAAATACTAAAACAAGTCCCTGAACACAACATGCCCAAGTAAATATATGTGTTAAAGACTGAATAACCTTCCTGTGGAATAAAATAAATGTGTTAGCTGATCACCTCTTCTGATCGGCGTTTATAGAGATTGCAGATCAAACTAATTAGAGCAAATATTGTCCAATTACAACAAATGTATTTTGAAAAAGGTGATGTCGCTTCCATGCACCTATCAGAGGTTGGCCTCATTTGAATAAAAAAGTTATGATGAACATCAGTTTGTTTCCTTATGACATCAGGCCGTTCTGATCATACCACTCCCAAACAATCCTGATTAAACAAATTAGAAGTTGATTTATATTTTTATTCATATTACCCTGGTTTGGTTCTGTACTCTTACCTGCACCTGTGTATCATTCTTCTTCTGCTGTTGGTGCTATGAGTTACCCTTAATTAATAAATGTTTATCCTTTCTTAAGTTTTCAGGGACTTTAAGGTTTCCCTTGCAGTAAAAAAAATACTGGTTTTGTCTGCAAATAAAAGAACAGATACTAATACATGGACTGCATTTGTATAGCACTTTTACCAAAACACTTTCATTCAGCCACACACTCACACAAGTGGCACAACAATACAGTTGAGCATCCATGTAAGTTGTTAGTCTGTCCTGGGAACGATTCAGTGTCTTGCCTCCTAGGCTACACCAGACTTCTACTTTAAACAGGAAAATGTATTTTACATTACAAATCTCTTTTTCAAGATTTTCCAGGCCACAGCTGGCAGCAGTGCCTCTTAGCTGAAGACAAACAACATAACAGAAGAGTACATGACATACACTAACCTCTAAAAGTCAAATACTGTATAAAGTCAACCAAAAACTTCCTGAGACTCAGCAAACACTATATTCAGAAGATCATTATTAGTCTAAAGATGTGTGAATTTATGATTTTTGTAGGAAATATCAAATTTGTTTTTATGTTTTAAATGGACACTAAACAGTTCTGAAACTCCAGGTTGATTGGTTTGTGGTTTCTCTGCTGGCTGATACTGACTGTAGATCTGTGTGTGTTTCCAGGACTCTCCTCTGAAAGCCGTGCAGATGTTGTGGGTCAACCTCATCATGGACACCTTTGCTTCGCTGGCTCTCGCCACCGAGCCACCGACCGAGGCACTACTGCTCAGAAATCCGTACGGCCGCAACAAGCCGCTCATTTCCCGGACCATGATGAAGAACATCCTGGGACATGCCATCTACCAGCTAACCATAATCTTCACCCTGCTCTTCATTGGTCAGTGAACGCACCACAGTTTCATGGTCTGAAACAGACTCAGTTTGTGTTTAAGGCACAGATCCACATAATTCTGTATCTTAACACATCTTAATACAATTAGATGTGCTAAGATTGCTGTCCATTGAAATGCAGATAAGGATTTGCTAACGTGTTTCTGTGCATGTCGTACAGTATTGATTATCGGAGGTCTTAGACAATGAACCATACTGGTGAATGAAATATTCTTGAAAAAGAAAAAATAACAATTAGGCTGGGGCACCTTCCTTTTATATGAGATGCAATTTGTGCATATATTGAATCAAAAAGATGATAATACATATGAACATGAAAAACACAAATATACAGAAAAGGAAAACAGGAAAATGTAAAAATCCCAATAGAAGCTAGAGGGGCTTGCAAAGCGACATGAAAGTTGACACTAGAGCAGAGGCTTGAGTTCCTTCAGCAATGTGAACCATTAATATCAGGTATTATCCCTTACATATATATGCATTTACCTCTACTATTATTAACATATAGTACATAGTAGTTACTATTTATTTGTGTTTGCTTACCTTTGTTAAGCTTTGTTGTCCTTGTTTTCGCTGTATTTCTGTGTATCTTCCTTAACATTGTTCTTGTAACTGTGTGTAAGCACACTGAAAGTCAAATTCCCTGTATGTATAAATATACTTGGCCGATAAATCAAATATTAAGGGAATTAAGGGAATTATTAAGGTGCAAAAACCTTAATTATCCTCCTGATATCCCATTAACAATACTTTAATTCCATCATTATTAATGTGTACACAACTGGAATGTTGATGTAAAAGCATAGGAGGGATTGAGTTGATTTCTACACCTTCTCTCACAGGTGAGAAGATATTTGACATCGACAGTGGCAGGAATGCCCCCCTCCATGCCCCGCCCTCTGAGCACTACACCATTGTGTTCAACACGTTCGTCTTGATGCAGATATTTAACGAGCTCAATGCTCGCAAGATACATGGTGAGAGGAATGTGTTTGAGGGAATCTTCAAAAACCCCATCTTCTGCTCCATCGTCCTGGGAACCCTCGTCACACAGGTAATCTGTGAGAGCCGAGGTTACTGTCAAGCTCACAGTCTGAGGTGATAAAAAAAGACTTGTATGATGTCGTCTTTCTTTTGTCCTGTAGATCGCCATCGTGCAGTTTGGTGGTAAACCGTTCAGCTGTGTGCGTCTGACCATCGAGCAGTGGCTGTGGTGTGTCTTCCTGGGCCTCGGCAGCCTCCTGTGGGGACAGGTGAGACACATTTTACCATTATTTTGATAGTAGACAGAAGACAGAAAATTAGGTGAGAAAGAGGAGGGATGGGGATTACATGGTCAGCAAGGCTTTAGCTGTGATTTTAAAAAAGTAGGGGCAGCAGGGCTCAGTGAGTCAGGGTTAACATTTACAGATCAACTTGTAAAAAAGTTAGAAATCATCGTCATTACACAAGAAACTGGCTCTAACCCTTAATTGTGTTGGTCCCCCTCTCAGCTGGTGTCCAGTGTCCCCACTAGCTGGCTGAGGTTCCTGAAGACAGCAGGTCACGGCACCCAGCAGGACGAGATCTCTGAGGATGAGCTGGAGGAGATGAAGGACCTGGATGAGATTGACCACGCTGAAATGGAGCTGAAGAGGGGCCAAGTGCTCTGGTGCCGCGGCCTCAACCGCATCCAGACGCAGGTATGGTTTCACCTTTAAAGGAAAATTCCAACTGGGTCCTATTCTCATGACAGCGTCCAGTCTGAATTGTGGGTTATCGTAACTCTGGACTCTTCATTGAAGATATTCAGGAACTGTAACAACGTACAGTACATTGAGACTTCAGCTGGAGCTTTCAGATAAACTTCAGTTTTACATAAAACATTTTGAATAGTTGTTTCTGAGACCAAACACAAGTAAACAGGAAATATTGTTTTATTAGTGCTGCTTTGTCTTATGTGTTTATATCAGATATTATTATTATACCATCACTGAGGTTCCCTTGAGCAAGGCCCTTAACCCCAGCCGCTCTAGTGGAGCTGCATAGTCAGATCCATAGTCACAACAGACTCGTTGAGAATAAAACCCAGGTAGTAAAACCACCAGAACTTTCCTCCGCCATTAGACCCTAAATTGTTCTCCTTCATCTTTCAGATTCGTGTAGTGAACGCCTTCAGAGACAGCGTCTCTCCCTACGAAGGTCTGGAGACGCCCGAGTCCCGCAGCTCCATCCACAACTTCATGAGCCACCCTGAGTTCCGCATCGAGGACTCTGAGCCTCAGATACCCCTTATCGATGAGGTAGAAGGCGAGGAAGAGGCCCCCACCAAACGCAACTCCATTGTCATCCCGCCACCGCTAACTGGATTGTCCCACCTGCCGCCTCTCCCGTCCTCACCCAATCAGAACAACAGCGCCCTGGACCGCATTGTCCCACTGCACAAGGACGCCTCCAGGTCCGGTCTAATCCCGCCCAACTCAGCAGGTTTGCCGCCATGTCCGGGGAGCCCCCTCCACAGCCTGGAGACCTCACTCTGAAGCCCCACCCCCTGACCTGACCACCTTTTGTTACTGTTGGTCTGCTCTTACTGTTTGTTACGGCGAGAGTTCTGGTTCTTCTGAGAGCCAAAGAATGAAAAAAAAAACATTTTAAAAACAGACTTGTCTGATTGGTTCTCGTCAGGAGTTCACCTGCTGGTTTTTAGGATCCAGGAAGCAGAAATGTTTCCAGGTGTGTTTGTGGTTGTGAGCTGAGCGGCGGTGGCAGGTTCACAGACTTATGTTTCCTTCTTTACTTTAATAGACATGAACTCTGCAGTTGTTATTTAGGAGAAAGAGTGTTTGTGAGGTGGTCGATCAATAATCAGTTTCTGATCTGTAAATATTCATGTTGATGTTCAGACGTAGTCAGAGCTCGTTTTGATCTGCATCCTGTCAGTTTGTCAGCAACCGAGCTGATGTGAGGTGACGGTGACGAGTTCGGGTTAGTTTTATGTCAAGGTTTAACTTTAAGGATCTGTGACTGAAATGTAGTAAATGTCTTACGTTGGATTTTATTCTAGTGTTTTTGTAAAAAATGTTTTAGGTTGTTGTTGTTGTTTCAAAAGATGTAAATCTTAAAGTTATTAAAAGTTTAAAAAAACAACTTCCAGAGCAGGATCTTTGTGACCCACCTTCACATCAGATAGAAGAAGAAATGATGATTCCTTTTGTCCTTTATATCCAATGTATAAATAACTCTTTAAAGGCATCTTTACCTCCAGAAGATTAACAACAAGTCAAACTGTCTACTGACTGTTTCTGTGGAGAGTTAGAAGAACAGCGTTCCACGCATCCTGGAAAGACTTGTTTTCCAGTCATGGAAACACCTGGAAATGTAATAAAATGACCAAATATCCTGGAAATAATCAAGATTGTCTAGAAATGTTTTATTTTTTTAATTTTAACCCCTCACTCAGATTGCCTACGTAGACCTAGGTTAGAGGAAAACTACTGACCTGTAGTGAAATCCCCTGTGGTTTAGTTTAGGAAATGCTGACCACCTACCTGTAATGAACGTTCTTCATGAGTCCTGCATCATTAAATAAAGAGGAATAAAACTGGGGAAGATGTTAAAATACGAGGCCTACAGATTAGTTATATGACCGTCTGTGAGAAAGTGCTGTCCTATATGGTCAGGAAAACTGGAAAAGAGTGGAAACCCTGAAGCAGCTTCACTGTGACCTGCTGAAGCTCCGCCTCCTTCATAATGCATTTACAACAATAATTCATTACTCCGGTTTCAGGCTTTGCCTTATTAATACATAATACTTCCCTCTTCTCATTTCTCAGTTCGTACATCCTCAGTTCCTTTCCTCACCTCCTGCCCTCGCATCTGAGAAGAGACAAAAGGAGAAAGGAGTGAAGGGAACAAGCATTTCACTAAGTGAGACATCCTTTCATCTTTGGGGACCTACATGTGACATTGTATTGACCAAACGAAAAAATATTAAGTTTAAATAAGTTGCAGCCTTTTTTAATCATATCATAATTTTATTCTTTCTATTTGGTATTGTATAATTCCTTTCATGCAGCCCCTGGGACCTGCAGAAGCTCCTCCTGGATACAAGTGACCCTGGTAATGAATCACTGGCCTGAAGCACTGTTTCTCATCAAGGCATCTGTGGACCTCTAGTGGTGTGTGTCAGTATTACAGGGGTCTGTGGAACGTTGAATTAATAGGCCTGTGTGTGTGTGTGTGTGTGTGTGTGTGTGTGTGTGTGTGTGTGACTTTATATATGAATACATGTATTTTGCTTATTAAAAATGAAAATTATTCGATTACAAATGGCACTGCGTCTGACTTCCAAGACACAGACTGACAGTGGTTAGAATAGCCTGAGCAGACACTTTTCAAATTGTGTCCTACTTTTCCATGTCAACTGGTAAAGGTTATATAGACTGACAGCTCAGGTGTCTAAAAGGACCTTGTGGTGGGATTGTCAACCTTTTCAGGCTTGTTTCTGTGTGACAGAAAATGTCCTCTTAGCTTTCATGTATAATTTCTATTCTACATTTAAAGCTGTTTTGATTTCTTTTTGTATATATATTACAGAAGAGTACGGGTAAACCTGTATCACATGCTCTCCCCTGTTTTCCGTCTACACCTTCACCTGCCACTATCCAATAACAGCTGCCACTATCCAATAACAGCAAAAATGTCCTATTTCTACTTCTGTTAGGCAACTACTTTCATTCTTTATGAATTGTATTCTTCGTTTCTTTAGTCTATCCTTTAATGAATCGCTTTGATTCATTCATTGAGTTTCACTTACTAATAAACCTTTGAAAAAATGAACAATCCCCAGGGTAAAAAAGGTAATATTTTACTAACTAATTACAGTTTAAGATAAACGTTTTCTTTTTCGTGGCTAAAACTCAGAGATGTTGCTGTAAAGCAGTTATATATTAAAATAATGTATGGCCACATTATTATTTTATATTATTTTTTCATATGAAAGTTCATTTTTATTTATTTTATTAGAAACAAACTTTGAATCGGATTTAAAACCGGTTTAAACCAACCCGGAAACTACTCTGTGGACTACAATCCCCACAACTCTGGTCCCTCCCCCGTCAGACACCTCCAACCAATGGCTGAGTGCGTCTGAATCACGTGACCAGCAGCGCAGCAGATTTGAATTGTTGGTGTGGATATGTGTGTTTGCAGTTTGAATGCGAAGCACTGAGCATAAAAGAAGATTAGAGAGTTTTCCGAGGAACCTGAGGTTTGTAGTTTTTACTTTAACTAAGCAGTGACTCCGTGTGAGTCCCGTGAGCCGCTGAATGAGACAAAGTTCAGGTTTAAATTCTCACTTTAAAGCTCCGTTCACATTGACGCTAGCGGTTAGATGGTTAGCTAATGGGCTAGGTAACGTTAAAGTTAGCATTACGTTTAACGTTCAACTCTCTCCGGTGTGCTCGCGTGAAAAAAAATATATATATTATTATAGTTGAATGTGTGGTTGTACCGCTGCAGGTCTGATCCGGATCAATCTGTAACCCACAGAGAGGAACCAGCAGCGGGATGGACTGTCGACCTAACAGCGGTACGTTCACACTCACTGACCCTGAGTCAGCACTGGTACACAGTTAACCCACGGTCATGTGTTTTATTAACTGTTTCATGAACCACGTTTGTGTCTCTGAACAGATCTGTTCTTTCTGCCTGATGAGAAGTTTGACTTCGATGTTTCTCTGTCACCTGCCAGGTAGGAAACCCAGGACGGGTTCTGGTAAACTCAGTTTTAGGTAGTGGGAGGTATGATCAGGACCAGAATCACCAGTACTCCCACTGATACCAATACCTGTTGGTCTTGTGAACTGTCATGTCAGGGTTATAATTTATCAAGTAAAAGCATCATTAACAACTCTCTCTATTTATAAAATCTTGTTTTGCCCCAGCCACTTTCAGCTTGATCTTTTTAAATCTCTGTAGGTCAAGGTTGAAGGTTCAGCTTTGCCATTATGATACTATACAGGATGAAAAATGAGGGTAGTCACAAGGTAATGGTGTGGTAATGTACAACCTGTCAGATGTATTACAGAAGAGTTCCACGTGAATAGTCTGGCGGTGCAGCAGATACTGTATCAGCAGGGGGACCAGGCTGTGGTTCGGTGGGGGGGGGATCTGGTCTTTTAGTATCCTCTGGGCTCTGCGGATGGATACCAATGATGTTCTGGGTGGTGCAGAGGGTTAGGGTTACAAGAGAGGAGCCGATCAACATGTTAATTCTCATAATGACTCTCCTTCAGTCACTACTCACAGTTATAAGGTCAGGTTTGTTTTTCAGCCTGCTATCCAGGTAATCTTTGTGATGTTATCAACATCTATGAATGATACAATGTTCACTTGGGTGAAAATCAACATTTAAGTAAAATATTTCCATACCATATTTCTTCACTGCTCTACCTATGGCAGACTGGGGCAGTAAGTGGCACTGTGTATACTTTGGATTGAAAACTTGGTTTCAGGGAACGTTTTATCAGTTCAAACAGTCTGTCAAATCACAACAATACGTCTTTTGAAGATAAAATATGTGGAAAAACTCCCTTAAATCTTGCATAGGATATGCACTGAGGTCTCAAATGGGGCTAAATCATGAAAGTAAACCTTATTGTACAGTGAGAAAGTGATATGGAGCTTTAGCTTACACCACATGTATTCTTTCTGTTACATTAGCATTATGATCAATAGCAGTTTGTTTTGGACTGTCAAAATGTTGACATCTGCTGGTGAACTACTGGTACTACATTAACTGTAAGACTTCATGACTGAGCTCATCTTTTTTGGTTTAACAAACAAACAAACAAACATTATTTAAAAAACATTTACATCTTCAAACTGTAAAAGCTGAGCTCAGTTTTAGAGCTTTCACCTTCTTCCTCCTTGAGTTTTAGCTCTCTCACATCACTCCTAAGCTCTGTGTGTTCCTGTCATCTCTGATGTCTGTTATGTCTCTCCACTCTGCAGCTCCAAAGGTGACGAAGATGAAGATGAGGTGTTCGTGGGTCCAGTCAGCCATAAGGAGAAGTGTGTCTCTGTTAACGTGGCGTCTCGGCTTGAGGACAGCAATGGTGGCACGCGGGCCAGCTGGAGTCCGCTGACCGGAGATCAGCTGGAGGCGGTGTGTGAGGAAGCCCACAGACTGGCCGACCAGCTACAGAGCAACGAGCTGAGCCTGGCACACAGCGAGGATGATAAGATCACCAACATGTCCACTGACACCACAACCGGCAGGGAGGAGTTTGTCCAGGACTCTGAGGCCAAACTGGGTGTGCTCGGTCAGAGCGCCAATACGCTCAGCCCCATCAAACGCCAGACCTTCTGTGTGCAGGACAGTCCCATGAAGCAGCTGCCACCTGCTGTCCAGCGCAGCCTGCTGAGAGGAAGCAGCTCCAAAGCAGCGCCATCCACCCGCCCTGCCAACGCACGTTTATCCACCCGGCATGCCTCTGCCAACACAAATTCATTCACCCGCCCAGCTGCCAGACTTAGCACCTCCAGCCCTCTGACCAGGGCCAAGACTCAGGCCAGGACAGGACTGCGAGGGAAAGCCACACTGGGTGTAGTACTGCCGAGCAAACCGGCTGCCCCAACAACTTCCTGTTCAGCCAGCAAGAGCAGAGTGGAGAAACCCAGACTGCAACCACCGAGCAAAGTAGGAGATTTATGTATCTTTTACTTTTCAATTATTAGGTGAAACATTTCGTCTATAAAAACACCCAAACAATTGTCAAAGGTAGTCTGCTGTCAGCCTGTAACAGCGGCTCTCTTGTAGGCCTTCCTCAACAGGAACTCAACAACTTTAAAACTTGTTCCTCCCAGAACCTGAGCTTACAGAACCTTGTGAGTCTTTGGTACAAGGTGCTGATTTTAAAATGATCACCACCTGGGAATATGTCACTCTTTTCCCACATTTTAAGTTTTGGACTATAAACACAACCAAGCTATAAATAATTAATTAGACATTGTTAAAAGAAAGAATTATGCTATTCTTTAGTTTTTGTGGCAGTAGAGCAACATATCCTCTTAGAAGTTCACCTCAAAGATGGTGTCTTTGTATCAGTTCAGGTCATTACCAGCAGACAGGTACATGCACAATA